TTTAGGAGGCACACAGGACCTGCAGTGTCTTACAGGCGGCCGTCGGTACACCTTCATCACTGCTCCACAGTATAATTAATTAACCAGGTGATGTACCTAGGCTACTGCTAGCGAGTTTCAAAGCTTAACCCATCTGTGTAGCCTATCTTGTTTTCTTCTCCAGATTTTAGACACATTTTTAAAACAACTCTTCAATAATATGTTTATCATACTCGTCTTCAATATTATATAGGACCGGCATTTCAAACTGAGAATTGTGCACCACCGCTGATATGCACACGCTGGCTTCTGGACGCGCCTCGCGCAGGTCCCTGACCACTGTTTCCAGGATGGCCAAGTCTTCCATCGCGGTCGCTTACAACACGAACACAATTTTAAGCCCGGGGCCTCCGAGACCCGGACGGGGTATTCCATGCCCCGAACGGGATATACCATGCCCTGAACGCGATATTCCATGTCCCGAACGAGATATTCCATGTTCCGAACGGGGCATTACAACGTGGTTTTTGCTCAGAATCGTTTTCTTGAGTGGAAACCATAGTACGTGCAGGAAAGGATACCCATACGACGGGTATTAGCTCACATAGAAGGCGGGGAGCTTCCTGCTACTCCTGGTGCTCCTGGGACCGCCCGACGTGGTGGCTTCCCTATCCTGAGGACGACTATTTTCAGTACTCTGGGGACGACCATCATCTGTACTCTGGGGACGACCATCTTCTGTGCTCTGGGGACGACCATCATCTGTACTCTGGAGACGACCATCCCCTGTACTCTGAGGACGACCATCTTCTGTACTCTGGGGACGACCATCCCCTGTACTCTGAGGACGACTATCCCCTGTACCCTGAAGGGTATTACATACAGTTTGTAGTTGAGTATTCACATACATAACTTCATGACCAGTTTTGTCATAATATGTCATTTTAACTTGACAGGAGACCGCACTGGAAGGCTTCACTGCCTAGCACGAAATTTACAGTTTACCTTCATCGTGCAGACAATACGAAAATAAAATATTATCTCTTTTCCAACTATAGAGTTAGTGAGAGGCGACTTTGACCAGCTGCCAGCCCTCTGATAAGAGTATTTTGACTTTAGTGTGGTATGCAATTGTGTTTGTTATTCCCAGAATGCATTCCAAGCTGCTTTGTAAGTCCGCCATGTTGTTTATCTGTATGACTCTACTGCTTGAGGACATTAAGGTTTAAACCACACGTTGGTCCAGCTTCAGAGGTCTATCGCCAGGACAAGTAAAGAGGCACATGGTAATGTTTACACACTAAGTCATAATGACTTCAGTGGCGTCTTCTGGAAATTCGCTCCAGTGGTTCATGAGGATAATTTTTCCCGGTGCTGACTGGAGCCATCTGGCAGCCTTCCGGAGACCGCGGGCCACAGCTGACACGTCTGAAGACTTGGGCGAGAAACACTGGAAAATCAGATGTAAGAAGTTGGAAGGTACTGTGGTAGTTAACCATTTGCTCTTGTTAAGCTAGATGACCTTAATGCTCCCGCGACTCTCGTCACACAGGTAGACTCTTAGTTATGGCCGGTGGTCATTTTTCCATGTTGAAATTTTTTTTACCACTTGCTAAATTACATTAAGAACTTTATAGTTCTTGCAATCAATAATAAACGCATATTTAACAGTGCAATTCTAACTCGTAAACATCTAAAACTGCGACCGGAGTTAATTACGATATTGATTCACTACCTCTTGGTCAACCTTTGTGAAACAAAAATTACACAAATAATGTGAAGCGTCGCTGCTCCAGCAGGGGTTAACTACCGCCCCACATTTACATTTAGATACATCAGCGGTATCCACAAATGTCACATCACTGGGTGGTACAGTTACTATGAATGTAACGACTTTATTTAGCTCGGCGCCCTCTGTTACAGTGGTCATCTCGCGCGACTCTCTAGTGGGCAACACCAGTCTCGGCTCCATAACGTCTATAAAAAAATCCTGTTTTTTCCTAGACCGTTTTCGATATTTATATAAACACAGTTGAATAATGTATATAGATGTTTATATATATAATTTACAGTTTAAATAGTAAGCGTGGAAGATCCCAAGAGTGACAATCTTGAATTTACGTGAGTGTTTTTTTTTTTATTAACAAGCTTAGGTATACCCAGCAATGTGCTGCTACCCTATTCTATATGAAAGATTACACAGTGTAGATAAAAAACTAGCTATAGGTTCATCTAATACTCCCATCTCATAGGATGGTTAGTCATACATGGAATCAGGGGAGAAAATACCAGCCTCAGTACAAAAAACAAATCAACTTTCACTAAAAATTCAGGAGAGTTGGGAGTGAAAATGCCGACGAAAATCGAGCCATCATCACCCTGAAGTCCTCCAAGAAATCCATTGTGAGTAAACGGCATTACAGCAAAATTTGAGGATTATCAACAGGTACATTGTAGCATAATTTGCTTTCACCATAGCAACTATGATATAAGTTTATTGTGATTACAATAGTGAAGTTGTATGGCTTAGGCACACATATTGGGGGAGTGGGTAGCACAAGATACAGTGTGGGTTTGAAGTACAAGGTAGGAAACTATGAGGATGAAACTAGGTACTTTTTGGTTTTACTTTTGAATAAGGCATAAGTTGGACAGCTTTTTAATTGGTTAGGGAGTGAGTTCCATAGACTAGGTCCCTTTATTTGCATAGAGTGTTTACACAGATTTAGTTTGACTCTGGGGGATATCAAAGAGATATTTATTTCTGGTGTGGTGATTATGGGTCCTATTACATCTGTCCATGAAGAGTTTCGGATCAGGATTTGCATTTAGGTTTTGTACGTGTAATTATCACAAGAGAATGTGTGGAGTGATTTAATGTTTAGCATGTTTAGGGATTTAAATAGAGGGGCTGTGTGTTGTCTGGAACTAGAGTGAGTTATTGTTCTAATGGTAGATTTTTGCTGGGTGATGATGGGCTTGGGGTAGTTTGCAGTAGTTGAACCCCATATACAGATACCATATGTAAGATAGGGATAGATTAGCGAGTACTATAGTGAGAGGAGAGCAGGGTTAGGAACATAATATCTAATTTTAGAGAGTATACCAACAGTTTTTGATACTTTTTGACTATGTGTTGTATGTGGGGGCTGAAGTTGAGTCTCTTGTCTAGGTATAGGCCAAGGAACTTTCCATTATTTTCATTGCTGTCTACCTGAAGACAGATAATGACAATTGCTGTCATTGTCTATTTGATGTTGAATTTCATTTGATGATTTGCTTCCAAATAAAATGTAGTAGGTCGTTTCTATGTTTAGTGGGAGTTTGTTGGTTGACATCCATAAGTGTATTTTTTTAATTCGTTATTTACAATATTATTTAGTGTGTGTGGGTTGGGGTCTGAGTAGATGAGGGTAGTATCATCAGGAAATAGTAAAGGTTAAGAATGTTAGAGACATTTGGCAGATCATTGATGTATATAAGAAGCAGGAGGATCCTAGGATGCTGCCCTGTGGCACTCCTATGGTTAATAGTAGAGTAGGTGAGGTTATATCATTGATGGCTACAGATTGGTGTCTGTCACTAAGATAGGATCGAATATAGTTCAATTCAAGGCCTCGGATTCCATAATGGTGGAGTTTAAGTAAGAGGTAGTTATGGTTTACAGTATTAAAGACCTTTCTCAGGTCAATGAAGAGCCCAATTGGGAACTCATTTTTATCAAGAGCTGTGTAGATTACATCAAGCAGACTAATAATGCCATCGTTGGTACTATTTTTGGGAACGGAAACCTAACTGACAGGGACTTAATGTGTTGAGTTTTACGAGGTATGAGTAGAGTTTGTAGCCAGTACATTATGTCAATAATATTCCCGCTCCAAACTTATTAGCTTAATGAGAGTAGCACAACTCTCATTAAAGTTGTGACTTTACAGTCACAAGCTGTTTGTAAATAATTTGTTCAAATATTTTTGATAATATAGGTAGATTAGATACCGGTCTGTAATTGTTTATGTCTGGTTTCTGTAATTGTAATTACATAATAGTAATAGTTTATATAACAGAAGGAAGAGTAATAATTATTAATTAGTTATATTATTATTTTAATAATAATTATATTAATAATTGTTGTAATTAATAATTATTACTCTTCCTTCTGCTGGGTCATGAAGGAAGCCGGCCTCGGGTGAAAGAGGGCTGTGACGGTCTCTGTCAGGAACCCGTCGGTGCTAGGCCGGGACGTCCACCTCCTGGGGCTCGTGCGGCCCCCCAGGCTCTGCTTCAGGAGGCTGGGGTCGTTCTTACCCTTGCTGGGGTGGTTCTTCTTCGGCCCCGATCACGGCGGTCTCCGGGTTTGGAGTCCCTGTGCCTTCTTATACCAACTTCGAGGTTAACTCTGGAACTAGAGCCACTAGGGGCAGTTCGCTGTTGCCTTCAACCTCGTTCTCACAGTTCCTGCGATGGCGCTAGAACCAATCGTATTAAATAGCGTTTGCCTTTCCATTGGAGACTTTCGACGCCGTGGAGAGGGGGGGACCTGCTGCTTGGGTGACAGTTTCTCCTCCATATCAACCTGCCTTGGCATTACACCCTCGGAGGGTGGGGGGTCACTCCAGACCGACAACCAGAGCGCAACTCCATAGTCTTCTGAGACTGATGGATGCCTACTAGTTCTGGTTTACATTTCTCCTCATAATTACCTCATCTTACAAAATACTAATTAGGTTGAAAAAAACGAGAGCTATATTCCAGCCAATAATTAATCTTTGTAATTTAATGAAGCAGGTCCTTTGTGTATTATCATTATCATTATCATTATCATTTTTATTATTATCATTATTATTGTTATTATTATTATTATTATTATTATTATTATTATTATTATTATTATTATTATTATTATTATTATTATTATTATTATTATTATTATTATTTATTTATTTATTTATTTATTTATTTATTTATTTATTTATTTATTTTTATTATTATCGAAGATGGGCCAAGAGGGATCACTTAGTTGAGTTGGGGGTTGGTCTGAGGCGACACTGTCCAGAGAAAACGGTGTTGGTCAGCTGGTGCCGGGGGTGTGGAGGGGCGGTGTTTGTTGACACTCTTGACACTCTTGACACTTGGCACTCCCATGGCGGCCCTCCTCCAGGTATGGTGCCTCGTCACCCCTCGTGCCACAGGCCCTTGTAGGCCGGCAACTACCAGCTGGTTGCTTGTGAGAGCGGTTACTGGGCGGTGTGGTGATTCGTTCCTCCCTAGGCCTGCCGGGCCTATATTGGGGGGGGGGGTGTAGGCCTACACTAGGCCAGGGAAGTGTACCCTAGGCCAAGGAGGTGTACCCTAGGCCAGGGAGGTGTACCCTAGGCCAGGGAGGTGTACTCTAGGCCAGGGAGGTGTACCCTGGCCCAGGGTGATGTACCCTAGACCAGGATGATGTACCCTAGACTAGCAGTATATTTCCAAAACAGTTTGCATTCTTTCTAAAATCAGATACCATATACAATGCCTCACTCAACCCTGGTAACACTATCTAATGAGAAGATCCGTATGAGCCGTGATAAGGATTCGAACCCACGCGGAGGGTGTTCCCACGCACACGCCCCAGACAACCAGGCCACGACATGGCCTGGCAGGAAAGGATGGAGAGAAAATAGAGGGGCAGAAAAGGGAGAAGCAGGAGGGTTGATTGGAGGGGGGGAGGAGGAGAGGTGGACCGGGAGGTGGGGGGGGGGAGGTATACGTTCCCAGGTGCCCCATCTAATATTGTATAAAGAACTGGATACTGTACTACAGTATAGTGCGTTATCTGTAACTTGCTAAGACATGTCTCGGGTGCATCCCCATCTGGACTACTGTATCTACTGTATACTATTCTTCTTTAATAAATACCAGTTTTTACCTGTTATATTTTCATTAATTTTAAGTTATTATACTGTAGCACCTGTTTAACTTCACACTGACGGTGTACTGTACTTATGCCGACAGTGGCGGAAGTTTGGATTCTTCGACATCAAGGCCAACATTGATGGAGGGAAGTTAGCCGAGGTAGTGAAGGTAAGTTACTTTCACGTCGTTTGCTTTATATGTGGGTGATACGATGAGTCCCGAGACCAAAATGTTCAAAATATACATTAATGTCTTGCTGGGAAAATACAATGATGTACTGTACTATGGGCACTAATTTCCTCTTTGGAATGCTGACAAATATGTATTTTAAGTTTTTTTTTGGGCAGTGATGTATTAGTTTGATATACCTAACTTGCTGAATTATCATACTTTATTGATATTGCTTGAATGTTTTGTTGAATGGCACATATAGTATAGTACAGTATTTCAGATATGCTGAAGCTCTGTAAATGATTGATGACATGCTTATCTAGCATTCAAGATTTGCTATGTAATGAAGTCATCAATACCTATTGAACTGAGCTAATGTGTCCTTGCCAGCACTGCCACTTGCCCTTGTGTCAGCTCTTGCTTAGTGTAGTCCACCTCTCCTTTCCCTCCTTCCCTCCATGCTTCCTCTGAGTCGTGTCATGTTCTTTCTCTCCATCACTCGTTTGCTTGTCACCCCCCCCCCTCCCCTTGTTGCACCGTGCCTCCACTCTGTCACTCATGTGCCACCAAGTACTTAGAACGATTCTCAGCCCTGTCACCTCCCTCCTTTCACCATCCCTCCAAGTCGTTACTCCAAGGTTGTCGTCCCCTTCCTTCCCCCCTCCGTCTTTCCATCCCTCGACAACTCGCCCACCTACTTACCCATCTGCTTCACCCCTCATCCACCCCTCACTCATAGAAAATATAATATATGTTTTGCATTAGTGTTAACTTGTAAAGCTAGTGTGCAGATTGGAATGTATAAAGTATATGTATACATGCTAATTGTCACCTACAGGTATAACTTGAGCTTGTAAAAGCACCTGGAAATGGTTATGTGCTCAATACCCCACAACACTGTGTAGTATAACAGTCAGAAATGTAAGGGGCCTCTGTACTGGTTAGTATTGTATTGACTGAATAGCCACATTTGTGGTAAGGAAGAAAGTAGTCTAATCAATTAATAAATTATTTGAAAATGTTTACATGTCTCAATAATTGTTGTGTTTAGTAGATGATGAAAGTAAAGTGAGATAGTGTGCATATTGGTCAATTTGGTTCAGATACAGAGGAACCTCGAGTGACGAGAGTCTTCATCTACGAGCATTTCGAGTAACGAGCGAGCTACTCGCTGAAAATTTGTCTCAATTGACGAGTTTCCGCTCTTTTTAACGAGAAAACCATGTGGTGCTTCCTAGCGTTCCCACAGATTCTTGCAAATTCTCAGACACCTCCGACGATGCAAATGAATGATTTTTTTTTTAAGATGCTAATGATGCTGGGATGTAAAGAGGTGAATGCTGTGATGTTGCAAAGCATTGATTTTTTTAAATAAAAAATAAAAAATTAAAAAAAAAATTACAAAGGAACAAATCTCATAAAAGTTTGTTCAGTGTATGTCAGGTAGGCTGCTCCATTTTCTTAAAAAAAAAAATAAAAAAAATGAACAAATTTGAAAAAAGGAAAATATAAAGATTTGTTCAGTGTATGTCAGGTAGGCTGCTCCATTATTTAAAAAATTGAATATCATATTGATGTTTTTCGGCAGTAGAATGGTTTAATTTTATTTCCATTATTTTAAATGGAGAAATTTGTTTCGAAAGACGAACATTTCACATGACAAGCTCGGTGTCGGAACGGATTAAATTCGTTAATCAAGGTTCCACTGTAGTTTATACATTGATAAACTAGCATACAACTTTCATGGAAATATAGAGCATTTGGCTAGTTTATAATTGTGTACATCATAAAGTGACTTTAAATAACTGATATGTTACCCAACCACTTGGACTGGATGATGGCCTCGCTTCTTGTTAGGTCGGTGATTGATTCCTGTTGGTCCAAGTGGTAGGGCGCCGTTCCTGCACCCCTGTCCTTATATGTCAGCTCCTTGTCCTCATATTCCCTCCCAAGTGTTTTATAATTATCCTGGCTTTGCACTTTATGCTGATACTTATTAATATACTGTATTGTCATAGTTTATAATTATTCCAGGATGCAGATGTCACCTGTGCAGCCGCAGGCCGTGGACACGTTTACGTAGGGGACACAAATGGTTGGGTCCACAGCCTCACGCGTCAGCTTAAACTGGATTCTTTCCAGGCACATGACCGAGCAGTGAACTCCATCACTGCCTTTGATAATACCAGTGTCATTATCACCGTAGCTGTGAGTAACCCATATGTAGAGTTCTAAGTACTGTGATGCAGTAAACAAACAGCAAGAAAGCATACAAGTCCCCCTTGGGAGGGTCAGGAAGCTTGTACTTGAGCATAACGCATTCCCCCTAGACCAACTACTGACTTTTCCTAGGATGCAATACACAACAGTTGCCTAGCTCTTTGGTACCTATTTTACTTCTAGGTAAACAAAGGCATTAGGTGAAAGGAAATTTGCCTCTGACTGGGGATTGAGCCCTTGGAACCGAGGACGCCAAAATGAGGTGCCATCCATTCTGTGCACACAAAGTTTGTTTCTGACCTCGCACCTAGATTAATGATGATAGTTACCAAATAGCAGCTGGCTAATGTTGGAGTTGAAAAATGTGGTTGTGAAAAAGCTCTTAAGCCAAAAAAAGGTCTTCAAGACGTTCAAGTCACCTTAAAGAAAGGTGACTGTCTTGAACCCTCTTAAGTATTGCCTTACTGCCTTTTTTTTCTATCTCAAAAGTGTTTACATCTTTCTCTATAGTATAATGTTTCTTAAACACCTGACTTAAAATGCTGTTATCTTCCCTTGGATAACTGTTCACTACTACCACTTCCACTAGATGGCAATACTATCATAACAGGGTTTGAGAAACAGGTAACCCTCACTTGAAGCCAAAACCAAAGTTGATGTCCCAACTTCTCTATGGGAAGTTGGGACATCAAAGAGCGAGAACGGAAGCGACTGAAGGGCGGGTCAAAAAGGAGAACTTCATAATACTTAATGCCCTACTTCTGTATTTCTGAATAAAACCCTGTCAGTCACATCCTGATCAACTCCTGCACTGAGATCCTCTGAGAAGGAGAAATGATCCAAAAGAACATTAAGCAGAAGGAACACTTATCCTAGGAGGAGAAAACCACAGCCACCATGGAGAGGGCCACCTGCCAAGAAGGTCAGAAGACACAATCAGTGCCCAGAGCCATCCCTGAGGGTAGACCCCAAAACTTATCTGGCAGAAAACAGAAAGCACATAAGTAAAAGATTCATAAAAAAAAAATCATAGGCTTCAGAACTTAGTAGCAGGGAATCGGTCTCAAAAGTGAAACTGACAGACGGGAAATCGAGGGAACACCCATGATATCCAAACCACACATCAGAAGATAAAGACATCATTGTTTCTTCATTCTCTGATGTGTAGTCTGGATATCATGCCTTCAGCCATGTTAATGTGACTCATTGTCTGCAAGACCAGTGAACTAACTACCAGCATGCAGCTCAAACCTGTGGCCTAGTACATGGGTGGCTATGCATAGGTGTCCATGTCTGTAAACATGAAACAGCAGTACCATCAAGGAGAAAAACTGCTGAAACATTATGTTCCAATGGAAAGAAGCTGACATACAGTAAGTTGGAAGCACTGCTCTCTAGTAAGACAGCATAGTACAATAAGATTAAGGAAAAATTGAGGTATGACAGCGTCTCCACACATACTCATTGTTAGGTGAAGTACATAGCTGAAACAGAAGAAATGCACGGCCAATGTCAAGGGGACGTCTCAATTCGTGTGTGGGGTGATACAAGGTGATTCATAGGACTGCCTGCACGAAGATATAGAGAGGCTTCAGACCACTCCACAGAAGGAAACTATGTGAGCATTGCTATAGGAGGTTATCTTGAGATGATTCCGGTGCTTAGTGTCCCTGCAGCCCAGTCCTCGACCAGGCCTCCTTTTTGGTACACATCCCCAGGAAGCAGCCCATAGCAGCTGTATAATTCCAGGTACCTATTTACTGCTAGGTAAACAAGGGCATCATGGTGAAAGAAACTCTGCCTATTTGTTTCTGCCTCTGCCGGGGATTGAACCCGGAACCTTAGGACTACGAATCCTGAGCACTGTCCACTCAGCCGTCGGGCACCATAGCCGTCAGGCGCCATAGCCGTCAGGCGCCATAGCCGTCAGGCGCCATAGCCGTCAGGCGCCATAGCCGTCAGGCGCCATAGCTGTCATGACCCATAGCTGTCAGGAGCCTCATAACTGTTAGGTCCCAGGGGTAAAGGCAGGCCTTGCATAAACAAAGTTGTGATAACAGATTTTTAATATAGCAGAAGCAGTGTAGTTGAATAGGGGGAGAATTTCTAAATGGAAGAAATTGAGTCTTTGAGTAGTAATTACTTAAGTGTAATTATACAGTGAGAGGTATGCTCATGGTATCCTGTTTTTCCCTGTAATCTTTGTCATATGACACTTTGAAACCACTGATTGCTTTGGCATTTATTATCTACCATTATTTCACAGATTATGACATTTTACAGTAATGTTAATTATAGGCATCAAACAGGGTACAATAACATTCTATCTGATTTAAATATTGAACAGTAATTTATTATTTACTAGAATAATTGCTTTCATGTTTTTTCTTAACATTAGGATGGCAAAGATGGCCCATCCGAGATCAAAGTCTGGGCTCCGGACAAGCCAGATGTTCATGGTCATCCAGCATGTTTACGCACCCTCTGTCCTGACCCGAGGCCCTCAACGTCTGGGTCGAGGTCGACACCGCATCAGGCACTCCAGGTGCCCAGAGTCACTGCTATAGCTGTTAACCCCAACTTGTCCCTAATGGCAGTGGGCTTTTCTGATGGGGCAATTATGCTTTATAGAGGTTTGTATTATGATGATTGCTTGCTGTTTGGACAAGCTGGCCATTCTTGCAGGTGTGTACTTAACTCATTATGCTAACCTAGTTATGCTTGCGAGAGTTGAGCATCTGCTCTTTGAACCCACCTCGTAGCTTCCAAATCAAGTGGTGTACATTTATACATATAGGTATTTAGGTCAATTTTTTAACCCTTTCTCTATTGACTGGGGGTTCATGCACTTGTTTCATGTGGTGCGTCGAGGTGAGGTTGACCTTCACAGCTGTGTTAATTAAGCTGTGTTGGTCTACTTGCATAATTCCCATCAGGTGAACCTAGTGCCTGGTTGTCCTGTTTGGCCTGCAGATTTTTGGTGGATATCGTCTCTGAACTGCTCTTGCCTCACAGGAGGATTCAAACCTGCACACTGGGTAATCCCAAGCACATGCCATAAACCACTGAACCACAATATGCTATGGTTTTGTATGCTTGTAGGCTTTGAAGTATGCTTTTGAGTACTCAGTATGCAGGTTTGAATCCTTCTCATGGCTCCTACTAATTTTCTCACTGATACATCATATTAATGCATGTTTCTTCTCAGTAGGTAGTTGACTTTAGGGAGCCACAAGGTGCTCACTCAGAAAACCAGTGTTGAATGTAGTGAAACACCACTTTCTGGATGAGTCCCAGTGGCTCCCTGATTCTCTCCTTAACTTTCAGACTTGTTGGTTGATGTTTGTGGTTACCTTGAGGTTACCTTGAGGTGCTTCCAGGGCTTAACGTCCCTGCGGTCCGGTCGTCGACCAGGCCTCCTGGTTGCCGGACTGATCAACCAGGCTATTGGACGCGGCTGCTCGCAGCCTGACGTACATCTGCTCCAGAGCTGCCATAGAAGGCTTGAGGGAGGGGCGGTCCTTGAGCTCCAGGGCTCAATCCTTACTGGTTAACAAGTGCTAACGAGCTCAAACTATATTTGAGAGATTTTGTCGTTTGTTTATGTTGTTTGGGGAGTTTGCTTGGCAGTTTTGAGGCTTTCATTCTTTTGAACCCAGCAGTGGTCTATATTGGTTCACTGACCTTCTGGATACTTTCCCAGTGGGTTAGTGCAGTCACCTGCTCTCTGAGCTTCTGTGAGGTGGCCAGGTTCTCACTCAGGTCCCTGGAAGGCCAAACAGAACTCCATGACAGACATGCGTCTAAATTGATTTCTGCATGTCAGGGGTGTAGGATCAGTGCCAAGTCGATCCCCTTTGCCCAGGACTTGACCTTCACAACTGTCAAGGGGAAACTTGAACCTGGCTGAACGCACTTGAGGTGTGGGGTGAGCATGCTAGGGGGCCAGGTGTGGGGTGAGCATGTTAGGGGCCAAGTGTGGGGGTGAGCATGCTAGGGGCGAGGTGTGGGGGTGAGCATGCTAGGGGGCAAGGTGTGGGAGGTGAGCATGCTAAGGGCCAGGTGTGGGGGTGAGCATGCTAGGGGGCCAGGTGTGGGGTGAGCATGCTAGGGGGCAAGGTGTGGGAGGTGAGCATGCTAAGGGCCAGGTGTGGGGGTGAGCATGCTAGGGGCTCGTATCATTTCTATACTTGAAAATACGTATAAAATCTACTTCCACCACTTCATGTCTTGGGGCATTCCATTTGTTCATAACTCTGATACTTGACATGTTCTTTCTGCTTTGTCTGTCTCTCATTTGGGAACTTAGTTTTCACCTGTGTACACTTGTTCATGTACCAGCCGTCCCAAGTTATCTGTTGATTATGGTTTCCGGATCAGCCGGGCTGTGGTGGATATGTGGGCCTGCGGGCCGCTCCAAGCAACAGCCTGGTGGACCAAACTCTCACAAGTCAAGCCTGGCCTCGGGCCGGGCTTGGGGAGTAGAAGAACTCCCAGAACCCCATCAAGCAGGTATCAAGCAGGTGTTCTTCTCTGCCCTATTAATTGCCTTCAGAATTGTGCATGTTGTCATCGTGCCTTCCCTAACCCATCTATCTTCTAGTAATGTGAGATTTAGTTCCGTTAGTCTCTCCTCGTAACTCACACCTCTCGGTTCTCAGACTAGCCTGTTGGCGTATCTCAAAACTTTTGCAAAACAGGTTCAGAGTAATATATACAGTTTTCGATGCGTGTACTATTATTATACACAACATTCTTTGCCTAATTAATGGCTTTATTGAATATTTATATCCTGAACCTTGTACTGTAATTAACTACAGTAACTGTTTCTTTGTATATCTTACCATAAAAAAAATATATTTGCCTATATGATCTCCTTACTATGTTGTCGATCTTGTATTTTTTTTAATCTAAATCTTAATAATGATTGATTTATTTCATCAGGATGCTGTCATGTATGCTTCATCCACAGGAGAAGTGAGTAGGGAACGAGGCAGCAAACACCGTGTTCTGTTGACAGTCTCGAGTGGCATCACGTCTCTTCACATACGCCACACACCACGCTCCACTCACCTATTTGTAACGTCCCACACCAATATTTATTGTGTCAACTGCACTGTCAGGGACAAGGAAACTACAGTGAGTGGCTAGATCTCTTATATTACCTAAATATTGTTACAGAGGGAAAACTATGCTCATAGTATCCCATCTTCACTATAATCTTTGTCATATGACGCTGCATGACATCTCCAATGTTGTGTGTGTCTTGGAATGATTCAGTACCTTTATTTATCAAATTATTTGTGTATTCTCTTTTTTGAGAAAAACTATCTACAGTCACTGTATTAAATTTCACATAAGTTTGGATATCTGTTTATGTTAATGTCTAGTAGCAAATGGCCATCATCTCTAGTGACCTTGACAGGGACAGAAAACGGGTGGCTTGTGAAAGGTTCCCTCCTGTTGAGAATAATATTTAATAAATGTGTTATTAGGCAATAGTTGTGTAAATGTGGCATACATGAACTGTGTGTAAGGGAGCCGGTCGGCCGAGCAGACAGCACACTGGACTTGTGATCCTGTGGTCCTGGGTTCGATCCCAGGCGCCGGCAAGAAACAATTGGCAGAGTTTCTTTCACCCTATGCCCCTGTTACCTAACTTAATTAACACTTTCGCGCTATCTGGACGCGCCGGCGCGTCCCGTTTCGTCTAACGCTAACGCATAGTGGACATAAAGTTGAGTCCTCTTTTAAAATATTTGTATAAAATTCAATTTTTATCCGATTTACTTTGGGTTTGTTTCAAACTGCGCGCTATGAGGCTCTCTTTCTCACCACTAGGCTGCATGGTACAATAAGTTCATGAAAGGTGTGGATAACTTCGATCAAATGGTATTTTGTCCCAAACGGGTTGCAGGTGGGTGACTTTAGCCGTTTATACTGGTAATGCTTCCCCCATATCATGTATTATATGCATATGTCTGTTTAGGGAATTTTATTCCGATCAATATACAACCAAAAATAACTGTGTGCAACAAGTATAAACTTGACAAACATAACAAAAGTAAAAACATTTCGTGTGTGTTTGACGCTCACTGATATGTTCCAGCGTTGTTTTATATTTGGCGCTATTCTAACTTACGCTTTGTTGATATTTTTTACCTATGGGCACATAGAACATTCTATTGCGAACACATTGACACAAAAATGAATGACGTACATAGAAAATTAATGTCATGAGAGTGAAATAAGTATAAACTTTCAAAGCGCCGTGCGTCGTCCCGTCACCGATACCGGGTAACAATTTCACCACTTCCCACACTCTTGCGGGCGGGCCGCATCATTATTCTACGCTTATATTCATATCACCGTGTTGGGAATTTCATTGCGAGTCCATTGATACCAAAATTAACGCTGTAGAATAAGTGTGGAGGTGATTACAATCCCAAGAGTAAAAACATTTTGTTGCTGATGGGCGCTCACGGCGAGTCATCTTCGTAGTTATTTATTTGGTGCTGGTATCCCTATACGTTTCGTGACTTTTTTTACTGATGTTCTTCTAGAGAATTTTATTGCGAACACGTTGGTACCAAAATGAAATACGTAGCATGAGAACTAAGGTCAGAAGAGTAAAAAGAGTATACACATTTTTGTTTTTACGCTTAAGCGATAAAAACGCTGCGCGCACATTCGGTTGGCTGAGTGACCTTTGCGGAAAGCGCGAAAGTGTTAACTTTTCTCACTACTTTGAGCTCGCCAGGTTTATTTTCTGATGTTCAGTAGACCTACACAAGTCCAAAGGCCTATAGTGTTACAAGTACATTAATGTTACCAGAGTCCAGTGCTTCACAGAAGCCTCCCAGGTAAAAGAGTATTTCATTACTGTACTTTTAATGTTTGATTTCCTTACTATCTTTAGCCTTCTTTTCCTGTAGTATAGCCCCTCTATTTTTTTCCTGGCTTGATGCCTCTCCATGCTAAGAAAGTGGGAAACCAATGTTGTTGTTGATGATGATGATAATGGGTCCTGTAGCACAGTGGTGTAGGTCCTCAGTTCACAACCATGGGACTAGGGTTCAATTCCCAGACAGGACAAAACTGGTTGGGCACATTTCCTTTCACCTGATGTTCACCTAGCAGTTAAATAGAGATCCAGGAGTTAGGCAACTGTTGAGAGCTATATCCTGGGAAAAGTCAGTAGTTGCCTAGCCAGGGGTGTAGACCAGTCGGCCGAGCAGACAGCACGCTGGACTTGTGATCCTGTGGTCCCGAGTTCGATCCCGGGCGCCGGCGAGGAACAATGGGCAAAGTTTCTTTCACCCTATGCCCCTGTTACCTAGCAGTAAAATAGGTACCTGGGTGTTAGTCAGCTGTCACGGGCTGATTCCTGGGGGTGGAGGCCTGGTCGAGGACCGGGCCGCGGGGACACTAAAGCCCCGAAATCATCTCAAGATAACCTCTAGATAACAAAAACCTTTTTGAGAGTGTATTATTAAATATAATAATTCTCTAAAAAAAATCTTGAGTGCCAATGGAGAAAAAATGCTTGAAAGCATTCTTAAAGGACTTTGTTTAGGCAACCAATAACTGTGTATAAATGATAAAAAATAGTGACATATATTACGTTCGGCACGCGTATCATTGGTTCCTCACCCCTGTCCAATGGGAACCTTGATATGCCTTAATACAGGCTTCCTGTCCCTGACAACGAGATTTCAATTATACTGACATAGTAGAGGTTTTTAGCTGGGTAGAAAGAGACTATGAAGATCAAATAAAGTAATGATATTCTTTCAGATAAGAACCCAAGACTTTGGGTGCACCGCATCTGCTATTACAGCCCATATTTGGTGGGTCTTGATGACAGTACTGTACAAACTATAATGCTCAAAACATATGGTCATCTGGACATTGGAGATCTTTTGCTTACATTTTAATATGAACTAATTCTTGAAGGATTCTATGTGAGTGAGAAACGTTAAGGGATAAAAACAATCTAACCCAACATAAAGTTGAAGGGTGATAACCTAGTGTATGTGAAGAGGTGCTGCCAAGAAGAAATTGATGTGAAGTATGTCGAGTATATATCATTATAATGTACACAGACAGTATTCTGATCAAATTTTAATTCTGCATTTGCCAGTGTGTAAAATGCACCTATTTTCAAAGGTTATTTTGTGGTTAAAAATATTTTGGGATGTTCCATCATACATTTATTGAAAGTGGTTTAGAAGGAAGGGAAAACATGATTGTGCAAGTAAATCCAATAGATATTGGGTTAGTGGTGGACCAAAAACATGCATCTTATCTGCCATTATAATATGATAAAATACATTACTATACAAAAACAAATTTAGCGGTTAATTTGTAAGAAATTTACGTATGTAGTTTCAAATGATTTATTGTATTTGTGTTGACAGGTGGAACTGGACTCGGTAGGTTGTCAGCGAGGCTGTGCGACCCTGGCTGATGGTCGTCACGAGCATTACTTTCTCGTGGCCAGGCCTGATGTAAGTACCAGGGTGTCTTTTTGCAGAAAATGCAATGCTTGTTCTTAAGAGTAAAAGGAATGTTTTTTTGTTGTATTGTTGGAAAACTATTAGTAATACCTGACTAACTTTTAGTTCTTATATGAATGAGTTTGGGTGGATATAAATAGGAGCGGTCTCATCGGCCCGAAACGCTATGTGTGTGTGTGTTAGTGACTTTGCGAGAATGTAAAAATACCAATATTATATAATCTCTCAAACCCATTGTACTCATTGTACAAATCATGCCATTTATTTATAAAATGATTTGTAAATAAACAAATGCCAAAATAAATATGGGCAAATAGGCTTTCTGCAGTTTCTTTAATTCTTGTGCTCTAATGAAGAAAAGGCTGACAAAAGGGGGAGGTGTTCCACTTAAAAACATATGACATTTGAGGTAATTGTGAAGCTCCCAAAGAACCCTGACTTTTTCTGTCCTTTGTGTCAGATCGTTACATTGGCTCCATCATAGCTCTCATATTTCCAAAATATCTCATAACTTGCTTGCCATTTGTAGCAGAGCTTCACTTTGGTTTCATCACTTTCTCTACTGGCTAGATCATTGTGCTCATGTTAGTATCTTTGGATTCTTCTCTCTTAATCTAGTGTCTCTTCAAATGTTTCTTATTGACTTGAACTAATGGGCAACTGAATCTGTAGCTTCTTTTTCCTTCACTGTTGTGTTGTGTGTATAATACCATACCGAGGAATATGATGGAATTGAATCAGTCTTCTCATTTATATGGATTGGGTCTGGCAGCATCAAGTTGATTTGTATTAGTGTACTGTGCTTGTTCTCCTCCTTGTGAGTTCCATTCTTATTTCTGACTACTGTAGTTCCTTTCCTTCATCCTCCTGTCCCAACTCATGTGCTGTCCGTGTATCTTTTCCATGTACTGTATAATCATATAGTATAGTCAGTCATACAAAGAGCCGAAGCTCAACCCCCCCGCAAGCACAACTAGATGAGTACGGGCTTAACACTTTTCCCCTAATAGTTACCGTACCTTTTGACTTGGTATATCTTAACCAGGAGATTGTTACTGCAGTGAGAAGAACGTATCTTGAAGTAACTAACTTCTTATTTAACATGCTCGTGTACGAGTAGTTTAAATGGTTGATTGACGAGTTCCATTCTTAACATTTTTCTCTCTAATGTTCTGTTCAGATGTTTATCTCAGCCTCTTCAGCCACTTGAACTGGGTGGTAGAACGATAGCCTTGCTTTTTGCTGGCTGGGGAAAAAAATTACCAGATGGTCAAAGTGGTTGGGCACCATTCCATTCGTCTGTCCTATCCCAGAGCCTTGTGCTCATGTCACTTCCAAGTGTTATATAGTTATACTGACTTGGCCCTTTCTTCCGATAATTACCATATCTTATCAGCATCTTCAGTTGAGGCTGGGTTGAAGAAGCATACAGCCTTAAGAGTATGGTATTTGACTTGTAATTGTGTCTTCTGTAAAGATGTGTCTTACTGGTGAAATTGTTTTATGAGTAAATCAGGTATTATATTCTTCACACATGTTGTTGAAGTGTGTGTTAATGAACCCATTATAGGAGTGATGATCAAAGTGTATATTACGTGCATGTTTCAGGCCATCTACAGCTACACAAGTGACAGTAGAGGATCATGCTATGTGTTTGAAGGAGAGAAGACAATGGTGGCTTGGTTCAGGGGGTACCTCATCGTTGCATCCACTGACAAGGGAGTGCCACCCACCAGGTACCTTCCTTTTTATGAATGTAATTTGTGGCTGTAGTGTTTATAAATTGTTTCTTTTGTTATTAGTTGTTTAAAGTGATGTAATACAGGTAATTCCAAACTTACGAACAGGATACATTCCATAAAGGCAATCACCGAATCATCACAATATGCAATCTGTCGAACAAGTTAATTACGTGTAATGCTTTACCATTATACTTTCAGGGTCAGTGACCGAACCATCACAATATACGATCTGACCAACAAACTAGTTGCCTTAAGCACTAAAGTTCAAGGCTTGGCAAGTGTTGTAGGAGAATGGGGAGGCCTCTACCTTGTCACTGCCGAACCCTCTTTGATTCACATGTCCGAGAAAGATCTTCATAGCAAGTTTCAACTTCTGTTCAAAAAGAATCAGTTTGATATTGCTATTAGGTAAGGATATAATAAAACCAGTTTTTTCAGTATGTTAGGTTATGATCAGTAGAGTCCAGGAGCGCAGGTTCAATCCCATTGTAAGACCTCAGTGTATTCTCATAGATACACATGCTGTTCTTGTAATTTCATTGTATAATATTAGGCTAACTTCTTAGTTACTTGCAATGCAATTTAGGTTAGATTGTTAGTTGTTATGCAATTTAGTTCAGTTGCAAAGCAATTTATATTAGCTTGTTAGTTGTAAAGTAGTTTAGGTTAGTTTGTTAGTTGCAATTCAGGTTACGTTAGCTTGTTAATTGCAATGTGAAGGTGAATTCAGGCAAAATAAAACCTAGGTATTGAATACAACTAGGAATAGAAGCCAAGCATGGACTATAAGGTCTCAACAAAAAATGGTGTGAACTTCAAATAAGATCTGTTGTTGCTTACCTAACGGTTCTTCACTATCAGTGACTACAAAGGAGTGAGATCTAGCTCTCTATGCCCCTGCCTCTTCATTTTTTCATCAATATGATTTGTTTTCAACAATACTGTATTATGCTCATACAGGAAAATATAAAAGATTTCACAAACTGTAAATTTCATGTATCTTAAGTATGTGAAGTGTTTGATGAATAATGATGATAACTCCTTAGAATCTTCGTAACTTTGTCTAACCTATGTCCAGCCTGGCCAAGACTCAGTGCTGTGATCAGGAAGAAGTAGCAGAAATATTACGTCAGTACGGAGACTGGCTGTATAGCAAGGGGAACCACCCGGTCGCAATGGATCAGTACATCAAGACTATCCCACACCTTGAACCCTCGTATGTCATTAGAAAGGTAAATGCGGGCAGTGTCAATGTCCTCTCTGTTACTTGTAAAAAAATTTACAATTATTTTAGTTTCCAGGATATAAAACACTTATTTTACAATATTTTTGGGGAATAAACAAGCTTAGTATGCTTCATCGTACATTTATTTTCAAGTGATTTTGTAGGAGGGAACTGGAAGGTTTGCATGTAAATACTATACTATATTTATTTGGCTCATTGTGCACCAAAAACATGCTGCTTATTCGTAAACAAATACAGTATTTGTTATTGGCAGTTTAGTATGTGCTCTTCACATACTCATCTGGTATATTTGGTGTGTAAACAGACGATATAGTTGATCTTTCACTTTATAGCATGAAGTATTGTATAAAAATGCACATTGCAATATTATGGTGTTGTATAAAGGATCCATTAGATCTTTAAGGATTAGATGATTATTTGATGCATTTTCATAGAGAATGGAAGGGTTTCATTATTTATATTCTGATAAAATTATATCGGACAGAGTGGTAATTTGTTGAGTCAAGTCTATAAGCCGAGGCTGTGACAACTGTGAAACGGTAACACACTACAAACATGAAATTGAATAAGTGAATGTTTGGGTCTCTTCTGGACCCTTACCATGACAGAGGGAAATGTTGTCATTTTGATATCATTCCATAACTGTGGGAAGGGTTATTTGTTTAAAACTTTCAGTTGAGATGAGCAACCTCACTATAATTTGAGTTTAGGTGAATAAAATATTAAAGTGATATTGTAATTGAATTTCACAAGATTTAAAATACAATAGGACAAGTTAAAAGGGAAATTCCAATCAAGAAGGATTGAAGACATCGAGCAGGCTGTAATGAATTTAAAATGCTTGAATAACCATGATTTATTTTGATTACTTAGGAAATAGTCATATATTGTGTTTACAGTATCTGGATACCCAACACATTCACAACTTGACGACTTACCTGCAAGCTCTGCACAGGTCTGGATCAGCAACAGCTGACCACACTAGTCTCCTCCTCAACTGTTACACGCGCCTGCGTGACACTCAGCAGCTGGATGAATTTATCATGGTAAGAACATGTTAATAATTTGTTGAGCCCTTCAACTGTGCAGGCTATTTTGATGCAATGTGTCATATACAAGGAAAACTAATTTTGTGAAAAAATTAATTTGGTTGCAAGTATATACCTGTACATAAATATCACTCATTTTCTGTTTTTAAATGTTGAATGGGTTCTAGCATGGCCGCCCTACGTGTTCAATCACTGGATGCTGATGCACCACATATGGTCACCATCTTTGTACTAAGGCTCTGCAAGGAAACTAAAGGACTTAGGATTTTTGTTTTCTAGATATGGCAAGCGGCTGACAGAAGTCTCTAGTGTCAAATAACATCCCTAGAATGGTGGGGCTTTTGATAAAATGGGGCACCTTAAAAGGCAACTTGACCAAAGGGGCCAATTGCTGTCAAATAAAAAAAGTTGTGTAAGGGTTAAACTATCAAATGGTAGTTTGGCATATAAGTAGGGTCATGTAGCACAGTGGTCTACGTCCTCGGTTCACAGCTGAAGGACCTGGGCTCAGTCCCCGGGCAGAACAGAAATGGTTGGCTTTATCTCCTTTCACCTGATGCCTCTGTTCAGCTAGCAGTAAATGGTATTTGGAAGTTTGGCAACTGTTTTGGTTTGCATCCTGGGGAAAATCAGTAGTTGGCCTAGGGATGCCTTTGGTAAACTTAAGTGTAGGTGGTGCTACATAGCCTCCCCCGGCTTGGTGCCTTCTTTTGATAATTACTTAAGTGAAGGTGTCCTGTCCTCAACTATAGTCTACTGCCTTTCCTGACAAGTATCCTTAGTAACACACCTGACCTTTTCTCGTTGGCCAGACCACACACTAGAAGGTGAAGGGACGACGACGTTTCGGTCCGTCCTGGACCATTCTCAAGTCGATTTACCTTCTAGTGTGTGGTCTGGTCAACATAATTTAGCCACGTTATTGTGACTCATCGCCTGACCTTTTCTCCTTTGTAGATAATCATGTATCCAATATAACAATCTCCCTGTTATTCCCAGGTTGGCTAATTTGTCTAAAATTACCTCCCCATTGGCTTTATCAAATGCACCTTGCAAGTCAACAAATACTCTACAGTTGTCATCCACATTAGACAAACACTGTATGAGACAGTTTACAGTACTTTTGCCCTTGATAGAACCAAAGAGGTTATTGGACGTGTTATCTCCTATAAGGTAGAGTATCCTATTTAACAATCTCCTTTCCATCATTTTTCAAAAGCAGGATGTTAAGGATACAGGGGCCAGATTCATGAAGCAGTTATGAACCTGTCCATCTTTTCTCAATCTTTGGCGGCTTTGTTTACAATTATTAAACAGTTAATGAGCTGCGAAGCACCAGGAGGCTGTTTATAACAATAACAACAGTTGATTGGCAAGTTTTCATGCTTGTAAACTGTTTAATAAATGTAACCAAAGCCGTCAAAGATTGAGGAAAGATGTACACGTTCATAAGTATTTGCGTAACTGCTTCGTGAATCTGGCCCCAGGCCTGTAACCTTGACTTGGCTGTAAGAATAATGACAGCCTCCTTCCATTTTCTTGGTAACTTTCCCTCCCTATAACTCATGGTCAACAAATCAAGTAAGGGACTAGATTTTATACTTGCTGAATAATTAAGAATGTCATACATTACTCCATCCTTTCCTGGAGCACTAGAGCTACCACTCTTAATAGTATCAAGTAGCTCATTGTAAGTTATCTCAGTGCATGTTATTTTATTTAAATGTATTTAAAGCACATAAAGTTACTCCATTTATAACATATTCCCATGAATCAATGGTGTCTTTTGTGTCTTCAGATAAGGGCTCCATACTAGCAGCACTAGTCTATTTGTCATCTAATTCATTAGCAACCTTTCTTGGATCTGGGTGAGCTATGAATTTGGTCTTACAAGCCCTAATTTTGTTTACTTCTCCCCATATGTCTTTAAGGATCTTGGCATTACCAATGGGCTGAGCAAACTCTTGCCAGTATCTGTTTCACACCACCTTACCTGACTACATTCCTAGCCATTTCCTACATTGTATTTTCTCTTGTTCTCTTATTCCATTTTTTAACCATTCTTTGTGTGAACTCCGTAATATTCTCTCCCACCCCTGGACTTGCTGGTCATTAGAATATTTAAATTTCTTAGGTCTATGTGTCTTGCTTCCGCTGCCCCTGTTTTTTTCCTTTGTACTAATTTCTCTTATGATCTCGACCATGTCCTTGTAAAAACTATCTATGCAGAGAGGCATTTATTGTTGATATCAGTCTTCCATTTATTCATAAATAAATTGTTCTTGTCTTTATTAATATTTAATTTTTTCCTTTGGAAGTGGACTTGATTTTTCCCAGCGGCAACTCAGCATACAAGGCAAAGTGGTCACTAAGTAGTTCCTGAACAACCTAAGCCTATGCCATACTCCCCTAAGAGTTTAAAAGGCAGGCATAGTCAAGCTGTTCTCCCTTGTTGTAGGCATAGTCAAGCTGTTCTTCCCTGATGTAGGCATAGTCAAGCTGTTCCTCCCTGATGTAGGCATAGTCAAGCTGTTCTCCCCTGATGTAGGCATAGTCAATCATGACTTGATTAAGGTCCAGGAAGGACTGGAACATCGTCACTTTCATTTCACTTCATGTGTGTGTTGTTATTTGAAAATGGTTAAGGATGAAGGAAAGATAAAAAATGAGGAGTTTGAGAGGAAGTTAAAGAAGGATTTGATAAGGAATGCGAAATGATTTTATAGAGAAATTAGCCGAGCGGACAGCACACTGGACTTGTGGTCCTGGGATCGATCCCAGGCGCCAGCGAGAAACAATGGGCAGAGTTTCTTTCACCCTATGCCCCTGTTACCAAGCAGTAAAATAGGTACCTGGGTGTTAGTCAGCTGTCACGGGCTGCTTCCTGGGGGTGGAGGCCTGGTCGAGGACCGGGCCGTGGGGACACTAAAGCCCTGAAATCATCTCAAGATAACCTCAAGAAGATAGTGGGTAAACGGGTGTAAACAGTTTATATATATACGGTATTGGATATTGGAGAGGTTTAGATTCGAGAAATACCTGGGCAAATACTGGTTTTCAAGCAGGCATTTTGATTGGTGCAACAAATTACTGGGTAACATAAGAGACGTGGGATCCCTGGGTTGATTCAAGCTTAGGCTAGATGTACCGTATATGCTGGTATATGTGTGAGAGTTTGGGTGGATATAATATTTATAATAATTCATTGTGTCAGAGGACAGGCAGCCAGAATGTATTCATACATGTTAGGCTTATATCAAGGTCCCCATTAAACCCCTCGGCTGACTGACTCCAGAGTGCCTACTTATTGCTAGGTGAACAGGGACATTAGGTGTTAGGTAATGTGCCCAAACATTTCTGTCCTGCCTGGGATTTGAACCTGGAATTTTTGATCGAGAGTTGAGACTGAACCCGACTGTACTACTGGGACCTTGAAAATAAGGGTCCCTATAGTGAAAATAAAGGGCAAGTACTACCCAGCCCCTGAAAATAAGGCAGCTTCCATATAAATAGACTAGAATCTGTCTCATATGGGCCAATATTCGTTCTGCAATTTACTTTATTGTTATGTTCATATATTCTTAACTACTGTAGTTAAGTTTGTGGCAGGAACATTGTTGACATATGCATGAACTTTTGAATAGGTGAAGTGATTTTTAAGTCTTATCAGTTACAAGTACAGTAGTGAAGAAAAGACGATAATAACACAGTTTGGAATGAGTGGAGATGGTGAAGAAAGACCAGTGGAACAGAGGAGGATAAATAGGGAAGAAATTAGAGAGGCAATTGAACAGGTTAGAGGAAATGACTCCTGGTGTAGATAGTGTAACTACAGATATGTGGAGGTGATGGTGGACATAATGTCAGATGTGCATTAGGTGGCATGGCAGGACATTGTGGTACCTATATAATTCATATACACTGTAAGGAAAATTATATTATGGAAGATTGTGAGAACTAGAGGAAGATTAGGGTGCTTAACATTCTAGGAAAAGTGTATGCAGGAGTGCAAATTGAGACGGTAAGAGAGGTAACAGAATGTGGGGTAGGGGAGGAACAGATACACTCAGTCCCACCCTTCTAGACTCTGATATATTGAGTTATGTTCTTGGCATCAGCAGTGTATGTCAGTCTCACGTGCAGAAACTGTTAGCAGCAAGAGTTTCTGATTTTTTATTAGTGTTGAAGTTTTATTATTTAGTTTCTTTGTGTTGGTCAGAGCAAGAATGGTGCCGTAGACTGTGACGTTGAGCTGGGGGTGCGAGTGTGTCGCAGTGCGGGCTACTTCGACCATGCTCTGGCCCTGGCAGCCAAACACGGTCTTCATCATCATCATTTGGCAATCCTCATCGATGACAAGAAAGACTATGTAGCAGCTTTAAGGTAAGAATTTTTCTTTATGGTAAACCAATTTAATTTGGGATGCTGGTAAAATTTAATTTGTTCATATTGTGTCATGGCTTATACTGTGTATCTTGATAAAACTTGATCAACATTATAAATGTCTCTGATATTAATGTTTTTCATAGGTATATTTCAACTCTGGATTTAGAAGAAGCGAAAGGGAATGTCCTGCGGTACGGGTCAGTTCTGCTGAGTCACGTAGGAGACGAGACCACCGAGCTGCTGATCAGGCTCTGTACGGACTATAAACCTAGTAACACTCCAATCATCAAAGAGGTATGTCCTTTCTTTGTGAAATTAGTTGTCATATCTCATACCCCTTTTTTCTTAATTTTAAGTTCCATACATTGAGTGCTTACCTGTAAGTGACTATAGGGAAGTGGAGTAAAAATATTTATGAGAAGAAAGCATTCCGGCAGTATGACTACATTGCACCTGGAATGGATATGAGGACAAGGTACTGGGATGTGAGGACGGAGGGAAGGCACGTACCAAACTACTTGGACCGTCGGGGATTGAATGCCAACCCTGCATGAAGTAAGGCCATTGCTCTACCGACCACTTCAAGCAGATGGGTTATATGGGGTAGTGAGATCTAGCTCATTTTGCCTTGCCTCTTAGCCTTTATAGTAGAGTTTTAAGTTCCATATACTAGTGAATACTGCATGACATTGGCTTTTGAAACAGAGTACGGTTATTGTTTAAATAAACTTTCATGTCTATGATAAGGCTTTAAAGTGTAATTAATATTTAGCCAACTAGGAATGAAAATATACTAGATCTGATCTTCACAAGCATTGAAACAAACATCAGGGACATTACAAGCTGAGATACTACATACGTACTCGAATCACAAGCTCATTGAAATGCAGACTAACATCAATACTTGTAATATATCCACAAAATTCTGACACCAGAGGGGTTATTCAATAAATTCAGTTGTAATAGTATGGGATTGACTGGGAAAAAATAAACATAGAACTTGCAAACATTCAATGAGGAACCCTCCTAAGTAACAAACTCCATAAAAGGAATAGAACTATTGACAGCCGAAGCTTACAAAGTGTGCTTGAAATGAATGCTTTGCTTCTGCAAAGACCTTTTGCGGAAGATCAGAAAGAGGACCAGCTTAAAAAGTGAGTGGAGATGACACTACAGAAGAAGGAAAAATAATGGAAATGCTTAAACAGAGAAAAGAACCCCAACATAGAAAAATAATTCAAACAGGGAAAGTGAAGAAATAAAGCAGAGGGTGAAACAATCATATCAGATTGAAGAAATGAAATTGGAACAGAAAACTATACAGTATAAGGGATAAAAAATTATCCAAACTACTGTATTTCTTTACATATTGAATTCCAAATCAAAAGCCTCCCAACAGCATTGGACCTATACTTACAATGGTAAGGTAATTACCAGGTGAAGCTCTAAGCCATTACAACTATATATCACTTGGAAGAAATACGAGGATTAGGATTTAGGATAAGACGGAGGAAAGAAATGGTGCCCAACCACTTGGATGGTCGAGGATTGAATGCCGACCTGCAAGAAACAAAGCCGTCACTCAGCTGTCCAGTCCAAGTAGCAAAGGTCATATGCAAAAGACAACAAGGAAGTTACTGAAATCCTAAACGGTCAGCATGAGGCTATGTTTTGTTTCCCAATAAACAATGTGAAAGTGGAAGATTCAGACATCTTCTTTATGAATAATATCCAAACATCTTCCCCCATGACAATATACAGTTTTTGATATCAACATGAACTCTACAGCTTTTGAAAAAGAAATGTCAATTTCCAGTGGCTTGAGCATCCAGTGGAGTGTGGAGCAAAAGTTTTAATACAGATGAGATGCCAGAAGCACTTAAATCAGTAGATATAGCTTCCCTACGCAAGGGAGGGAGCAAAACATTATGTAAATCATTGTGTGATATCACACTAACATCACACATAATACAAGTTTTTGAAAGAGTGATCAGGGGTTGGATCTCCAGTTTTATTGATCTGAATTTACTTGATGGCCACTAACACTCAAGTGGCCTCATTGAGGACAGGAAACCGGTGGGTTGACAAAGGTCTCCCCACCTCCCATTTGTCCTGATGAATTCTTCAAGCTAGATTTTAAAGTTCAGCAGAATTTTGGCATTTACAGCTTCAGCGGGTAGGCAGTTCCATGGGTTAATAACCCTGTGGGTGAAAAAGCATCTCCTGTTCTCAGTCCTACATTGTGGCTTGTTGAGCTTGAAATCATTGATTCTTGTTTTTTTTTGTTACATCTGACCTTTTGAAGAAGAAGAAGTCTGTATCAACATCCTTGAAATTATTCAGTACAATATTTTAAAAGTTCCGACAAGATCAGCTCTGTCGTGTCTGGTTTGCAGTGTTGTTAGCCCTGTGGCCCTCAACCGTTCCTGGTATGAGAGCCGAGGTAGTTCAGGAAAGATTTTTGTTGCCCGGTGTTGAACTTTCTCCAAAGATGCTATGTCCTTCTGAAGATGGTCTCTATGCTTGGATACAATAATCCAAGTGGGGCTGCACCAGAGATTTATACAAATAAATAACTACCTTCTTTTCCTTAAAGTCAAAGGTACATTTGAGTATTCCTAGGGTTTGGTTAGGTTTCCTTACTGCCGCTCCCACTTGTTGTGCAACTTTCATTGAATGATGTACTTTGACTCCGAATTCGTCTTCTTCATTAATCTGCTGCAAGGTAATGTTGCTAATGTGGTAGTTTTAATGTGGGTTGTTATGCCCCACATGCAAGGTGTTTCATTTTTTGATATTACAAAGCATTTGCCAGTTTTCTGACCATTTCTGGAGTTCATGTAGAACTCATCGTAAGGCCTCGATATCATTTTCACTTCCCAATTTACCGTAATCTTGATACACAGAGAGTGATCACACTAACGTGATGTGTCAATGAGAAAATCCGTACGAGCCGTGATGAGGGTTCAAACCTATGTGGTGGTTGTTCCCATGCACACGCCCTAGTCAACTAGGTGACCATGTCGTGGCCTAGTTGACTAGGGTGTGTGTGTGTGTGTGGGAACACCCACTGCATAGGTTCGAGCCCTCATTGCAGCTTCTATGGATTTTCTCATTAATCTTAGTGTCATCTGCAAATTTGATAATTTGGTTTGTAATATTTTCATCTATATTTGATGTATATACATCAGTATTTGATGTATACATATACATCAGTATTTGATGTATATGACAAAAAGGGTTGGCCCCAAAAGGAACCCCTGAGGTACCCCACTCATCACATTTCTCCAGTCACATTCCTTCCTGTTAAGCACGGCCCTTTTTTTTTTAACCATTGTTTTATCCCTTCTAGCATTCTGCCATTTATTTCATGTGCCTGTAATTTTCTTGCTAGTCTGTCATGTGATATCTTATCAAAAGACACCCCGGGCAATGGCAAACATGGAATGCCCCCAAGTACAAGGGGGTTTCCATAGGCCATTGCTCCCTTTGCCTCTCTGAGGGGCCAGGTTCTGGCTCATGGTCCCCGGTAGGCTAAACTCCAGTTGACCGATGCCCCAGATTAATGTAACGTACATCAGTCAGTATAACAGCCCCGGAGACTCCAGGGAGCTTCTGGGGCTTATTCAGAAAGTGGCGTTACATTCAAAGCTGGTTTTCTCATTCTCATATCAGATACACTGTATAGACAAAAATGCAAGTCACAACTTTGTATCATCCTTTACTGATGATACAAAAATCAGCATTAAAATTACTTCTGTAGAAGACTGAAAAACTACAGGCTGGTATTAATTTAACACTTTCGCGCTATCTGGACGCGCCGGCGCGTTCGGTTTCGTCTAACGTAAACGCATAGTGAACATAAAGTTATGTCTACTTTTAAAATATTTGCATAAAATTCAATTTTTATCCGATTTACTTTGGGTTTGTTTCAAACTGCGCGCTATGAGGCTCTCTTTCTCACCACTAGGCTGCATGGTACAATAAATTCATAAAAGGTGTGGATAACTTCGATCAAATGGTATTTTGTCCCAAACGGGTTGCAGGTGGGTGACTAGCCGTTTATACTGGTAATTCTTCCCCCATATCATGTATTAGATGCATATGTCTGTTTAGGGAATTTTATTCCGATCAATATACAACCAAAAATAACTGTGTGCAACAAGTATAATCTTGACAAACATAACAAAAGTAAAAATATTTCGTGTGTGTTTGACGCTCACTGATATGTTCCAGCGTTGTTTTATATTTGTCGCTATTCTAACTTACGCTTTGTTGATATTTTTTACCTATGGACACATAGAACATTCTATTGCGAACACATTGACATAAAAGTGAATGACGTACATAGAAAATTAATGTCATGAGAGTGAAATAAGTATAAACTTTCAAAGTGCCGTGCGTCGTCCCGTCACCGATACCGGGTAACAATTTCACCACTTCCCACACTCTTGCGGGCGGGCTGCATCATTATTCTACGCTTATATTCATATCACCGTGTTGGGAATTTCATTGCGAGTCCATTGATACCAAAATTAACGCTGTAGAACAAGTGTGGAGGTGATTACAATCCCAAGAGTAAAAACATTTTGTTGCTGATGGGCGCTCACGGCGAGTCATCTACGTAGTTATTTATTTGGTGCTGGTATCCCTATATGTTTTGTGACTTATTTTACTAATGTTCTTCTAGAGAATTTTATTGCGAACACGTTGGTACCAAAATGAAATACGTAGCATGAGAACTAAGGTCAGAAGAGTAAAAAGAGTATACACATTTTTGTTTTTACGCTTAAGCGATAAAAACGCAGCGCGCACATTTGGTTGGCTGAGTGACCTTTGCGGAGAGCGCAAAAGTGTTAATAAAGTATTCAATTAGGTAACTGAAAATAACATGGTGGTTAACAGTGATTCCTTCTAGGTACTTTGGTATGGTAGAAATGAAGAACTTGATAAAGCTCAGGGTACAAGACCTTATCAGATATACTCATAGAAGGAAAACAACATGTAAAGCACTTGGAAATTTTGATGTCTAAGAACCTGACATTTAGTGAACATAATGAAGCAAATATAGCATCTTCCAGGAATGTGATGGGATGGATTATGAGAACGTTTAACTCTAGGGATGCCTTCACAGTGCTCATATTATTTAAACCACTGGTGCTGTCCCACCTTGAGTACTGTTCAGTACTCGCTCACTTCCTCTCTCAGAGGAGGAGAGGTTTCTCACATAGAGCAATATAAATATGATAAAGCACCTAAATTTTTTAGAAGAAATCTCAAAAGTTCTTGAAATGTCATTTCTGGAAAGGAGACGAGAGAGGTATTAAATAATATGTACATTATACATGAAAAGTACTAAAAGGCCAGGTCCCAAATTTGCACAGTAAAATAACAACATACTGGAGTGAATGATTTAGAAGGAAATGCAGAATAGAACTAGTGAGGAGTAGAGGTGTCATAGGCACACTCAGAAAGCAAAGCATGAATATCAGAGGTTCATGGCTATTCAGTACTCTCCCAGCAAACATAAAAAATATTTCCAGAACAAAGGTGGACTCCTTCAAGAAACAATTAGACAAATACCTGCAAGAAGTGCTGGACTAGCTAGGTTGAAGTGGCTATGGGGGCCTATGAGCCACTCCAAGCAACAGCTTCTGGACCTAGTTATCACAAGTCAAGCTTGGCCCTAGGCCGGGCATGAGCAATAGAACTCGCAGAACCTACTCCAGGTATACTCAAGGTATCCACTTGGACAACAGAGGTTGTTCAGGCATCTGGCTCTGCTGCTGGGGTCTCTTGAGTTTTTGCCTTGACAGCCTTTTTCTTTGGACGATGTCTTTCTTTCTCAGACATTAGATAAGGAATATGGCTCTGCCCAAGACCCTTCATGGCAGGCTTCTGGAGCTGATGTGTGGAGGGGGGGAGGGATTCCAAGGAGGGTCTTAAGGTTCCCTTCAACCCTTCTTGGACCTTGTTTGCTTCTTTGGGAGGTTTTTTCTTTCAGAGGGAGAATTTCTCTTAACCTGCTTCCATTTTTGAAGGTGATTGCTCAGCGACTCCCTCTTGGATTCAAACTTATGTCCTATACAGAACCTCAGTTGTCTTATTTCCAGAGGTTTCTGTTTCTGCATTTCATTGTTTGTGGCTCTCCTGGACCTGTTTCGGTATCTATTGCGGAGTTCAGACGTTTCATTGAAGGACTTGGCCTTTTTTAAGTTCGGGTCAGTCTCAACTTATTGACTATGTTGTGAGATTTCAGGTTTATTCTGGCTGGCTAACAATCCTTTCTCTTCCTTGGGAGCTTGGTATGCGTTCTGTCAAACCCATATGCTTGACTGGCAAAAAAAGAGAGCTGTATCTTTCAGGTGTCCTTATGCTCTGCGTGAGGACTGCCTGGTTGCTCTGGCACTGCCCAAGTCTGTGGGTAAGTAGTAGCACTCTGTGCAGTTGTAAGGACAGACTATAACATCACAGTACACAAAGGCTTGACATGCATATTCCCCTTTACTATTTATTTTATAAATATTTGTACTGTTCTGGTGTTTTAGGGATCTTTAGATGGGTACCTGACCCCAGAAGAGCCAGTATACGCTGATCCTGAAGACTTTGAATACATGCTGGTGGGCCACAGCGAACAAGCTATCACGTTCTTGGAGAAGATGGCGACCATACCGGGCAAGCTCTCGGTCAAGTTGTACACCACCCTGCTTGCTGAGTATCTTCACCAGTACAGTCTTGCTCCTGAAGGTGGTTTGATGTTGTGATTGGTTGCTAACGTCATTTGTTATACTTCAGATAATTCCAGCAGGCTGGATCATATTGAGTCTTTTCCATGTGCTTGGTATGTTAATGAAATATTGGAGGAATTGACAAAATGATGCCCATATTTGATTTGGATACAACAGTTGATTAAACTTAGTATTTCATGAATATTTTAGCAACTAAAATACAGTAATGATTTAACATTGCACAATCAAGTCACAAGACTGAGACGATACTGTGGGATCAAACCCGCACCCCGTGGATACCTTGGGTAAATGCCCTACCCATTTAGTATTACAATTCTTTGATTCAATTCCAAATAATTAGAAATGCCTTTGTTTTCTGAAGTATACCTGTATTATGTACTCTGATATTTAACGTTGTTTTTTGTTAGGTCAAGAACAAGTAGCTTTGGGCGAGAAGGTGATGGAGCTATTACGCAGCACAGACAATGAGTACTGTCGTGACCACGCACTCCTGCTCTGTGACAAGCTCAAGTTTCATGATGGAAAGCTCCTTCTGTGGGAGCAAGCTGGAATGTAAGTGGACGATGAATTATAAACTTTTTATCAATTGTCTTTATAATTGAAGAACTCTCTTGCAGGGGTCATGATGAGCTGAGTGAGTCACTATAAAACACTTGCCCCCAGAAATGGACATCAGAAGGTCTTTCCATGAATCATTTAAGCACTTTTAAACTCTAGCTCATGATTGGTGATGAGTGGCAAGTGAGGACACTTGTCAACTATGGCTTGTCTGCCTGTTCCAACGTTGTCAGTGTTACACAGTACCTCCTCACTCATCCTCTAGGTCTCTGACTTGAGGCAGCTCACATACACTTTGACAAGCAATGAATCTGCACACAGGAGAAGGGAAATGTGAAGCAAGAGTTTGGGAGCATCTGAATGATAAGCTTAAAAAGGAGCTAAAGAAAAGCTAAAAAGCTTTATATGTCAATCTCTGGTATTTGGCTGTTCCCTCGTGTAAGGAGCCTAAGATGGCAAGGCGGAAAGATGAGCAAGGTGGAGTAGATGCTATCTGGTTAAGATGCACCGGGTACCACAGACACCAGCATAGCCCTAGACCTAATGGTGTTTACCAGAAGGAAAGTTGGCTGAGAGGTGTACATTAACCCCTACACTGTGAACTTGATTTACATTACAAACCCCTGGTGGACAAAAGTAAATAAATTGAATAATAATTTTTTTTTTAAATATTGCTCAAATGTGTTCTCTGTTTATGGTAAAATAATTTTTTATTTTAATAATGTAGCTTTGGCTGTGGAAGAGAAAAGAAATTTTGCAGTGATGTCAGAGATGGATGAGTGTTGGTGCAGAGGGCATCTTGTGGGGACCGTCTGGACCTGGTAAGCAGCGCGAGCTGCTGTGAATATATTTATATTAATATATTTAAGTGTCACTGATTTATTTTTCACTTTTATAATATAACGTGTGAAACATTGGCCTCGATAGAGATAGGAAGCCGGAGACTTGCCAAAGGTCTCCCCATTGGCCTAACTCCCTGCTCTGCCCCTCAAACATGGTGTAATAAGTTGACATAAATTCAGGTTTATTTAAATTACTGCAAAGTATTCCTAATTCTTTTTAAGTAAACATATCTTTAATATAAATAAAAACCATCAAATGCTAAATAACTTTTGCAGAGTATATAATGTACTACACGAGTTGCAGGTGCTGTAGTGCAATGATCTATGTCCTCGGCTCACAACCAAGAAGACCCAGTTCAGTTCCCAGGTGGGACAGAGATGGTTGTGCTAGTTTCCTTTCACTTGACGCATCTGTTCACCGAGTAGTAAAATCAGTAGCTGAGAGTTAGGAAACTGTTGTGGGGTTGCATCCTGGGGAAAGGTCAGACTGTGATGTAAGTCTAAAGTATACTATATATACACACGGGCTTGCTGTTCCCGATAAATTATTATTATAACAGTTCAATGACTAGCTAATCACTCTTTCTTTAGAGCAAGGGTGAGGAACCTTTTTTTCTGCTAAGAGCCATTTGGATATTTGTAACATCATTTGCAGGCCATACAAAATTACCAACTTAAAAATTAGCTTACTATATTTGGTCAAACATTTAACACTTTCGCGCTCTCCGCAAAGGTCACTCAGCCAACCGAATGTGCGCGCTGCGTTTTTATCGCTGAAGCGTAAAAACAAAAATGTGTATACTCTTTTTACTCTTCTGACCTTAGTTCTCATGCTACGTATTTCATTTTGGTACCAACGTGTTCGCAATAAAATTCTCTAGAAGAACATTAGTAAAATAAGTCACGAAACATATAGGGATACCAGCACCAAATAAATAACTACGTAGATGACTCGCCGTGAGCGCCCATCAGCAACAAAATGTTTTTACTCTTGGGATTGTAATCACCTCCACACTTGTTCTACAGCGTTAATTTTGGTATCAATGGACTCGCAATGAAATTCCCAACACGGTGATATGAATATAAGCGTAGAATAATGATTGCGGCCCGCCCGCAAGAGTGTGGGAAGTGGTGAAATTGTTACCCGGTATCGGTGACGGGACGACGCACGCCGCTTTGAAAGTTTATACTTATTTCACTCTCATGACATTAATTTTCTATGTACGTCATTCATTTTTATGTCAATGTGTTCGCAATAGAATGTTCTATGTGCCCATAGGTAAAAAATATCAACAAAGCGTAAGTTAGAATAGCGACAAATATAAAACAACGCTAGAACATATCAGTGAGCGTCAAACACACACGAAATATTTTTACTTTTGTTATGTTTGTCAAGATTATACTTGTTGCACACAGTTATTTTTGGTTGTATATTGATCGGAATAAAATTCCCTAAACAGACATATGCATATAATACATGATATGGGGGAAGAATTACCAGTATAAACGGCTAAAGTCACCCACCTGCAACCCGTTCGGGACAAAATACCATTTGATCGAAGTTATCCACACCTTTCATGAACTTATTGTACCATGCAGCCTAGTGGTGAGAAAGAGAGCCTCATAGCGCGCAGTTTGAAACAAACCCAAAGTAAATCGGATAAAAATTGAATTTTATACAAATATTTTAAAAGTAGACATAACTTTATGTCCACTATGCGTTTACGTTAGACGAAACCGAACGCGCCGGCGCGTCCAGATAGCGCGAAAGTGAAAGAAAATTCACCCCTAATGTGATGGGTGGAACTGCTTCTCTTTTGTGAGGTGTGTGATGTTAACTGGTGTTGATGGTCTTGCTATTCGCAACTACTTTTCCAAGTTTGTGTCGGTCAGCCTGGAGCTCGGTCAACTCTTTACGATGGTTGGAGGTCAACTCTTTACGATGGTAAGTTTTGAAAAACTGCTCGTTGCAGTAAGTTGTTCAAAACACAGACGCATATTTCAATGCAAGTCTCCTCAAAGTGGGAAATTCATTATTGCTTATGTAACATTCATAGAACTCATTTGTGGTGGCCTTGTCAGGGCCAAAGTATATGATATAAGGCCTGTGGGCTAGACGTTCCCCACCCCTGCTTTCTTGAGGTTATCTTGAGATGATTTTGGGGCTTTTAGTGTCCCCGCGGTCCGGTCCTCGACCAGGCCTCCACTCCCAGGAAGCAGCCTGTGACAGCTGACTAACACCCAGGTACCTATTTTACTGCTAGGTAATAGGGGCATAGGGTGAAAGAAACTCTGCCCATTGTTTCTCGCCGGCGCCCGAGATCAAACCCGGGACCACAGGATCACAAGTCCAGTGTGCTGTCCGCTCGGCCGACCGGCTCCCGTCGATGCTTTAAAGGAAGCATCAGGGCGTGAAAGATTACAACTTTGTTACGGGTATTGCATTGTCACCGAACTATAATGTATACATTTTGCATGGCCCAAGATGTGTGTACAGTATACATGGAGTTGTCATCCTTCTGCTTGTGGTGACCTTAAGAAAGATGGTGACCTAGACAAAATTTTGAGTGAAGGGTTCCTAAGTTTCAAAAGATGTGTTGATGAATCATTATGTTGTACTTCAGTAAAGTGCCAAATTTTGACGTGTGTTGTGAAGGTACGAGGAGTTGCTGGCCTGGTATGCTGAGCTCGGCGACATGGACAGCATGCTAGCCGTTTGTTCTCGGAAGTCACATCAGCATCCTCGGCTCTGGTGTTCAGCCTTAAAACTCATAACGTCCTCTTCATCTCTGGTCCCTCCAGATCAGCAACACCTCATGACGTGTCTTAGCAACATAGGTGAGTGTGTAGCATCTTGATAACATGGGTGAGAATTTGTTGTATCTTCACAGCATAGGTGTGTGTGTGTTGCAGCCTAGTGTCAAGGTGAGTGTACAGTATGTGGTTTTAAATTTGTCTGTACTGTGTCTGTGCACATCTTTACCAATGCCAACATACCCATATAGAAATCAGAAATAAAAAATAAAAATATATGGAAAGCAGAAATAGTGATTGATAAAGTGAATAAGAGCATCTTTAGTGGGTATGGGAGTTTGGAAGGAATGGATACGTAGGTTATTTAGAGACGATCCTGATGAAATATAGATGTGGGGTACTGATCTGAGCATTGTGGTGTAGGTGTGGGTATTAATCAGTGACGTATAATTTCCTGTCTCAAATGTGGAGTTAATTTTTGTTGAAATAATTTATTTCTTCTATTTTTTCATAAATACATTGATTCCTTGTATGTAATTAACTAGTTTGGGGCTATTTGTTTAAATCATTTAATGTTTATAACTCATCCCACACATGATATGCAGAGTGATGACCTCATTAAGTGATAAGTCAAGGACAGACTGAAACGTTGTCAATGTCATTTCATCTCACGTATGTGACTTGTTCTCTGCTGTTAATCTTTAAATGATGTTTTGTGAACCTGTGAAACATGACTATAATTTAATTTCGTATCTGTGGCAACCACTTGGACTAGTTGGTAGAGCAACAACTCAATTCGTGCAGGATCAGTGCACGAGCCCCGATGGTCCAAGTGTTTGGGCACCGTTCCTTTCCTTCTATCTCATATCCCAGCTATATCTATATTACCTTTATATCTCATATCGTAGCCCTTCCAAGTGCTATATTGGCATGCTGGCTTAGTGCTTTCTCATAATTTCTTTCCTACATGTGTGTGGGTCGCTTATTTGTTTATTTATTAAGTGTTACCATTACAGAACAGAAGGGGTTACTACCCCCATTAGAAGTTGTTGACCAGCTGGCCACCTCTCCACACATCAGCCTGGGCCAAGTGAGAGAGTACCTGCTGAGAGTGGTCTCTACGCACTCTGCCACTCTGGCTGCTGAGGCCGCTCGCACTCAACAGTACTCACAGGAAACTTCTCGCATGAGGGACACCATCCGTGAACTGCGGACTAGGTGCAGACTGCTCTTATGAAGCGTTTAATGCAATAGCAAATTTTTCTTTGTTTAAATATATAAATACATTTAAAAAGTATACTGTACTGAGATCAATATCAGTCTTGAATTAAGTCAATGCTAATCAAATTATGAATTTAATTTGAAGTGTAATGCAATGTTTGTAGAGGTGAACCTGAGAATGATCAGAAGTCCTAGAATGCTGTGAGAGTATGTTTCTCACTTATATAACAAATAAAACAGATTATTAAATGACACATTTTAGTTTTATAGTACAGTAATGATCTAAATTTATTCATTATATTTACAGTATTGTATGTATGGATTTTTGTGAAAATTGTCACTTTTTAAAAGCCATTTAGTCAAGCTAAACAAACCTTAGTGCTAATATTGCTTAGCCATTTAGTAAAACTGTTGTAGGATAATATGTTTTGATGCATTTCAGTGCTACCCAGTTTACTGCTACCAAGTGCAACATCTGCAACAATGACTTGGAGCTGCCATCTGTACACTTCCTCTGTAGACACTCCTTCCACCAGCAGTAAGTGGCTTACTAACTTTTTCTAATTGAAGTTTGAAGTAATGATCAAAATAGGTTTTTGAGGATATGTGGGTCCTGTCATACAGTAGTCTACGTCCTCGATTCACAGTCAAGGACCTCGTATTCACTCCCTGGATGGAACGTAAATGGTCGCGTATGTTTCCTTTCACCTAGGAGTAAATAAGTACCTGTGACCGAGGCAAATGTTGTGGGTTGCATCATGGGGGGGAAAGGTCGTCAGTAGTCGGCCCTGGGTGGGGGGCGGGGAGGGTCTCAATAAGCCTAACTACAAGTATTTGGTCCTTGACAGTGGGAGTTATTTCCTATAAGATACATGATGGCTACAGTCACAGACATTTTGGGAATGCCAAGTACATGTTTGAAGAGGTGTCACCTAGGTGAACTTGGGATTACCAATTCTAAATACAGTAAATGTATTGTACTTAGCTTATAACACTGGCAAACGTTCTGTAATCTTAAAAGGATATTTATACATAATTAAATCACAAGAAAATTATGTATCTATGAGAAAATATTGAGGCCTCACAATGGGACTCGCCAGTGTGCGTGCTTGGGAAGTCTGTGGATGCATGATGAGTCCCATCGTACAACCTCGATGTGTTCTCAGAGATGTTTGTTTTTATCCTAGTGTCTTAACAATAATTAGTAAATCAAAGCTGGCCCTACGCCATTCTTGGGAAGTAGAAGAGCCTCATCCGGGTACAGTATAAGTAGTGAATTTACTAACAAAAAGCTAGAGATGCACAACTACAGATATAGCACTTGAGGTTACTTTATGAGGTGGATGGTAATAGAAAGTGTACTATTGTAAGCTGAAGGGTAATTACATTTTGATTAAAAGATAAGGTAAAAAAAATTATAAATAATAAAAAAAGATACATTTGTTGATGAGCATCTGCTGGCTGCAGTCTGCTAAGTCCTTGGAGGAATGGGGCTATTCTTGAATGCAGTCAAGAATAGCATCTATCTGAGCAACCCATGCAGTCACAGTCATATGATTGTGACTGCATGGGTTGCTCAGATAGAGGGGTTTTTATCTACAGTTCACTCAAACCTTTATTTTGTCTATATTTTACCAATATGATCATTTATTTACAATATACAGTACATTGTTTACACAGTTGCTTCGAGAGCTATAGTGAAAGTGACTCTGATTGCCCTGTATGTTTACCCGAGAACAAGAAGATGCTGGATGTTATCAAAGCACAAGTGAGTCTTACTTTTCCTTTGGTAATGTGACTACATTGTGAAGCAGTGGTAGACTAGCCTAATTGTTTGGTACTGTACATGTGTTGGTGTGTGTAACATAACCCATCCTCCTCCTCCTCTTTAAACAGTACCTTTTAAAACTATGTGGACCATCGTACATACATAGATGTAAGGGACAATTAGATAGTAGAATTTGGTACTGTTCACTTTATAGAGTGCAAAAAAAAAAACCAGCCTTGTTGAATGTAATGAAATGCCAATTTCTGGGTGAGCCCCGGATGCTTCCTGAAGCTGTCATATATGGATCGGTGCCATACTATCAGGTGTCATCAGTCGCAGAGTTCTTATTGGCCTACCGGGGACCACGAGCCAGAACCATGTCCCCTCATAGAGGCGCAGGGAGTGATAGCCTATGAAAACTTTTCATTTAGAGTGTAGTCAAACTTGCCACCACCAGGAAAGCACCCAGATAGCTAGGCGAACCAAAACAAACTACTGTACTGCATGGTTTAAAAAACTAGACTGCACCCCCACAACTGCCAAAAGAACTCTCCCAACAATAAAAACAACCACTAAATTTATACAAAAATATTGCTGGCTAGTACTGCCCCACTATCCCTCCTCGTTTGGGGGGGGAAAGAGGGAGGCGTACCGGGTCAGCTGGCTCATACCTCCCTCAGTTCGAAGCTGATGAATCGCACTAACGCCCCGGTTGAGGGTGGGTGTCAGGAAACCTCCGGGGCTTGCCTAGAAATTGTCATTTCATTACATTTAATGCTAGTTTTCTGGGGGGAAGCCCCGTCGGCTCCCTCAAGCTAATTACCCACAGAGAAGAAAAGAAAAAAGCACTCACCAGGGAGGAGGCAGCACTGCAGGTATCAACCCAAAGAAGAGATAGGCGGCCACAACATATGCCCCAAAACAACACAAGGTCACCGAGAAGCCAAGAACGGTAACATGATATCAGGCTGTTAAGACCCCGTTTGCCCACCAAAACCCTTGTGCCCGAATATCAGCCCAAGACATGAGCGAGAGCAGCCATCAGAGCATTATACACATGGACAGCCTGAGCACAAGGGCAGACCACAGGTTGGCTAGACTGAACGACACTGCGGACGCCTGACGTACACACGCACACACACAAGCCCTGGAACAGGATTTCAGGGAAACCAGAACAACCCACAAAGAGGCCATCGAAGTAGAACTGGCAGCATGAAGGTAGCAGCGTAAAGCTGCCACCGGAATAATTTACCTATGAACCTCCTGTCAAACCAATCAAGCATCGACAACCAGGGAACCTCTCTGGGAGCCAGCCGACACATTCTTCACCAGAAAAGAAGGACACGGCTGTAACCGAACAAAATTCCCACCAGGGCCAAGGAACAAAAACCTCGTCGATAGAGGAGAGCATGAAACATGCCCACCCGATAACCAGAGTCCATAAAAGCAAAAGAGCTGCTCAAAAATCCAGGACCGAAAGGGCCACCGGAAAACGAGCAGAAGAGAGAAAAGAAGGAACCTGGCCAGAGACCAGGCAGGCTCTTTGTCCAAGAAAGGACAAAACAACCTGCCAGAACTGAAGAACAACGATGAAGTGATAGAAAAGGACGAAAAGACTGCCAAGAGTCCATACTGTCCCCAGAAGAACTGCAGGTGGTACACCTTGAACAAGCCACTTGATCACCACAAACAGGGTGATCCACGCACATCAACACACCAGACATAAAGAGCAGAAGAGAAGGCGGAACCCTCGAGGAACATCACTCACCTGACCTTCTGAAGGAGTCAGAGCCACGTGAAAATGCCGAGGTTGGACACCGAGCATGCAGTGCCAAAACCAAGTCAAGTCAGTCATCAAGGAGCCAGAAAAACCCTCTCTTCCTGTAAGACCCCAGCTGCACCAGCCCCCTGGAGCAACTGCTAGAAGAGGTAGGAACCCTAATTACAACCAGTCTAACCGAAGAGCCCACCGCAAAGCCTCGCAGTTAGGGAACGGGGCTGTGAATGGCAACACCAAAACCACACAGTCATGAAGAGTCGAGGCCTGAGTGCCCAACATCCTGCAAAGCCAGGGATCGGCTAAGACAATCCAAACCGCAGCAGGAAGAAGAAACTGGGAAAGACCATTGGCCAGGTCGTAGAAAACATCCTACACGCAATGAAAAATGGAGAAGCAAACTTCAAGAACTTAGCAGACGAGCCCAAAGTGACCTGCCCCTAAGAGACATGAACCAAAGTCTGAATGGAGCCAGAACACCGAGTCCAGAGAAATCCAAACTCACTGCTGCACCTGCCACACACTTGCAAACTCCCACACCGGAACCCGACAAGGGCGACAACAACCACGGCCGGACAGGAAGCACAGGCCCCAACCCCAACTGACGGCCAAGGTGACTGTGAAAGTCGAATGAGGGCAGAAGAAGAGCTGGGGAACAAACCCTGAAAATGCAAAGAGAACAGGTGATACAACCGACAGTGCAAGCACTCCAGAATTCGTACCCAGTAATCGCGAGCGGGTAAGGGACAGCTCCCAGGAACCCGACCCACCAAGCCAATCTCCTGCCCAATGGGAAAACGAGAAGAGTAAGGAAAAGGCTCCTGCAAAAGCAACAGCCAAGCCACCCATCTCCCCCTCAATACTAGAAGGGTGAAGCCTCGGTTGGAGCAAGACCACAGGAGGCAGGGAAGTGATACTGACTGGAACTCAAGTGAGGCCTAACCAGGTCCAACCCCAGAACAAAACCCAACCAGGGCTTCCACCATAACACCAGGAACTCAAACCTGTCGACCTGGAAAAAACCCAGATCCCTGGCTAAAGGGCAACAGATTGGCTGGCTGGGACCCCACACCAGCCAGCTGAATGAGGTGGCCAACCTCCAAAAACCGACAACGAAGAAGGGCCACCATGATCCGAGAGATGCGTAAAATGCAAAACAGCCAAACAGAAAGCTAGTCACCCCACCACAAAACGAACCAACCCTAGAACCCCAGAAGGAGGTCCAGAGAAGCATCGAAGAGACCCAAAATGGGACTAGAAAAGGGGGCAAGGAACGAGGCTGCAGAGACCACGCCCAAAGCCAAACACTCTGACCACCCAACAAGGCAAGGAGAGGAAACTCGCACCGAAAAATTCTCAAAGGCAACTAGGAGCAGGGCTGAGTAATTCCCACATCCCCACCGCCGGGGCAAAGGGGTGACCTACAATAAGGCCGGCACGAACCTAAGCCAGCATGCATAGCAGTGTGTGCCTAGCACCGATCAGGTGCAACGGGCAAGGCCTGGCTGTTTCCTGGTCTGGTTTCTCTTCTTTCTCCTAATGTCTGCTGCCTCTCCTCCTTCCTGGTAAGTCCAGTTTTTGTTCTCTGTGGTTAGTTAGCTTCAGGAAACCATTGGTTAGCCTCCCTCCAGCAACACTGCATTTAATGTAATGAAATGTCCCTTTCTGGAGCTGTTGGCTCCCTGATCGCCCTCCCTACAGGTTCATGGTGGGTTGTTCATCAGTTCCAGAACTAAGGTAAGGGGTTGACTGAGGGCTGGGGACAGGCCAACTGGTGGCAGTAATCATTACTAACAAGTTTCAAGCTGGTTTAGATGAATCCTTTGCTCTATGTGAATTGTTTGCAGAGTTCTTTGATAGTTTTGAGGTTGTTTTTTCTGTGAACCCTCCAGTTGTCTGTAATGCTTCGCTGACTTTCTGAAGGCTTTTTCCAAGAAGGTGGCAGACTGTCGACCGCTCCCTGCACCTGTGTTAGGTAGGAAGGGGGAAGGAGGCAGGTTCTGGCTCTAGTCGTGAGTAGGCCAAACAGAACTTTTGTGACAGATGTGACCCTTTAGTATGGAGCAGTCTTGGCAAGATTGCTTCAGGGAACAACTTGAGCTCCTCCAGTAAGAGACATTTCATTACATTCAATGCTGGGTTTTTGCTTAGATTTATAGGTGTCTTTCATATTTAATTTAATGGAGAGAATTCAGTAATCACATCACACCACAGGAGACACACCGCAGCCAACACGACCAGTTCCATGAGCAGTTGGAACGATCAGCAGATTCGTTCTCTGTGGTGGCAGACTACTTGGGACGAGGAGTGTTTACCCATCTTCATTCCCTAGCGGCTATGTATCCTTCCCTTAATACAACGAAGAGTAAGTTGAAAATATTTTGTTACTACACTTATAGTCTTTTGTGAAAATCTTTTTGATTTTGAGTTCATTCAATATTTTGGTTGTAGTTTTCTGAACATGCTGCAGCAGTTTGGCTTAGTGGTAGTAGATGCTTATTTTGCATTTTCTTTTGTATTTTAAATGCATATATATATGTATAATATTTTGTCTCTTTGTAGATCTTTGCTTTCTGAAAATGTTGTAATTTTTGTAGCTGCTTATTTAATCTTGTTTTTATGTATGCATATATTTTATTTGAAGCTATTTAACTTTTGTTATTGTTTTAGTTTTTTAGTTTAAAACTGGGATAGTTTTAAAGAATTTGATGATGTAACACATGCATGTTTAGTTGAGTTGCAACACAGGGCTTGGTCACACACAAGATACCGGCCACCACCCCAGGAACTACCTAAAACGAGCAACAGCTGAAGCATAGCCAGGAAAGCTGCCCCAGAACAGGCCAGAAGAAGGGACTTGTATTAGATGTGATCAGCAGTGAAGACTGTCAACGGGCAAACCGTGGGTGGCGCCCCCAGCAAGCCACGAAAGTAGTACTCAACTCATGCAACATTTATGCGAGGGATGAAGGAAGCCACCCAAATACAACCTTCCTCAGAGTCGAGCACAAAGAAGGAAAATTCTGGGATAATACCTGGCAAACAAGGAAAGCTGTCAATGGACAAAACTGGGTGGCACCCTGAGACACTGCAAGAAGCAGGACACTTGATCAGGAGAGAAAGCCAAAGGCCAGCAACAGACAAGAGAGCAAGCAGGCAAGAGCCTACAGGTGACACAGGAAATCTGCCCTTGGAGCAAAGTTTGACGAAGGATGTCATTGGCAATATTGGTTGGTAGTCTGGAAGGCTGTATGACGTTTTATACCTGCTACACTAAGGAGAGAAATTAGGCAATGACACGTATGCAATCATTCTATAGCAAAATGCTATTAAGGTAACTGACATAATATCCAGTCAGCAGAGAAAGCAGGCAAGCACACTCCCAAGTAAGTCCAGTGTCTTTAACACTCAAAAGTGTCAACTATGTAAAAGCCTGGATGGAGGCCATGTACACCACCTTGGAGAAAATCCAAGGAATAAACCTGATCACAAGACCCGGTAAACGGGTACAGCTGACTGGCATTACGAGAAGTTACACAAAGTGGGCAAATTCAATTCCTTGTGGAGGCCCAATGCCTGCAACACTTGTGAAAGTCCATTAACAAGAAAACCAAGTTGGGTTCCAGGTATACTCCCCCAGAGCAAAGTCCAAGGAAATTCATGAGATTCAATCAATGGGGGACAACCAGAAATGGAAATGATCGACAGGAACCCTGTGATGCTGCACGAAGCAGACAAGCCTAATCTTGAGTTGAAGCCCACACCAAACTACAATCTGGAGAGGAAACTAGGAAAGAAAACCCTAGGCGGGACCTACAAAGTGTGAGTGGGGACTCAGTTGCACATCCCACACAGCAGGAACCGCCAGCAGTATGTAACCCACTACATGGCACACCGTATTCAACAGTACCAGCATTAAATTCGACCCAGAGTGAAGGCCCATGTGTGTAATGCCCAGTAGAGCAAACTAGGGAAACACTGTATACAGTACATGTTTAGGGTGCATCGTATAAATGTTTAGGGTCCCTGTATACAGCACGAGTTTGGGCTACCTCTGCTTACCTATCAATGACTGCGGGGGAGTGAGAACTAGCTCCTTATGCCCATGCCTCCTAGCTGTTTATACCTGGCATTCTAATTACCCGTTTCAACATTAATGTTGTCATCATATTTCTTTTAAAATTATCAATGGAATTGACTTCAACAATCTCTTCCTTCACTGTACTCCACTTGGCACCAACCCTTACATCTCTTGGACTCAATTGTGTGTCCAGCTTCAACTTGGTCTACCTCTTTTCAATTTAAATAGGCTTCCTTTATCCACTGTATCTATTCTCCTCAAAATTTTGTATGTAGTTTTCATATCTCATCTGTTTCTTCTCTCCTCTAAAGTTGTGAGGACGAGTTCTCTCGACCTATCCACAACCTGCACAATTTAAATATTAGTGTAGCAACAGCAGGATATTTTTTCACTGATAGTTTGTCTTATTTTAGTAGATTTTCCTGGTGGTACGCTAAACATTATGTACGTTTACATTTGTTATTTATGTTATTTATTCTTTTGTTATTTACCTTCCTTAAACTTTACTAGATCAGAGTAATGTTGTACCTCGTGCAGTTGCCGTTAAAGTAGCACAGGATGTGGCAGACTCTGCCTCGGAGGCCCGCATCAGGGCTACTGAGATCCGTCCCAAGCATGGCAAGGGGGTGGTTGGTGAGTCATATTATGCTGGCGTTCACAGTTTCATGTAGTATTAAGTCCATCATTAATTAAATCTTGTACTTGAAGGTAACCAAGGTGAAAAAATTATGTCAAGAGAGGAAAGGGGTTGATTTTTAATATCGCAATATAGTTAACGTGATTTATGGCATCTCTGGAAATGCTTGAGAGTTGTCGGCACCCTTGTAGTGAGTGATGCTTTTATTATTTGCTTTGCTTCTAGTTTTTATGTTTCTTGATACTGTATTACCTTGAGGTGGTTGTGAGGATGAGTGCTCCCATGCTGCTGCTCACAGTCTTAACATGAATTACAGCCAGGTTAATAGGTACTGTATCCTTTATCAGTGCAAGCAAGTACCAGCTGCTCCTTATGTGTTGGCCAAACTCCATGTGAATGGAGATGGTCAGAGGTTAAATCATTTACAATAGATTTTACATACAACCCTTCATATTCCAGCGGAAGCAACGCATTCAAGCTAGAAATTACCTTACATTCCTCTAGAGTTTCTCGGCCTTCCTTGTACTATGAATGTCTACAAGGCAAAGACAAGTTTCAGTGTGAGGTTACATTGCGTATAGTGCAGCTTAGTTAACCAATGGTCATGCCATCACCTGCTGCCAGTTACACAATTTGTGGAATGTATAATTAACTTTGTTTACTACAGTTACCTGCAACAGTCCAACATTAGTGAAATTAATTATAAAACTTACACCTATATCACAGGCAACACTGGATCCCGTCATTCATTTAGTGCTGGTCATGGTATATTTAAACACTAAAAAGTAATGTTTTACTTTTAAACAAAACTACTTTTAAACATTAAAAAAGTAGTTTAGTTTAAGGAGCCTTGTTAGAGAACTTTATATAACCTATAAATATTGCAAATTCATATTAAATTGCCTGTCATTTATGATTCACACCTAAATAAATGATAAGGGACTGGTACATCGTGTCTTGTGGGGAAATCATAATAAATTGATCATAAATGCAGGAGATTATTTTCCTGTATTTCAGTTCCTGAACCCGAGGGCCGACTCCGGGCACTAGAGAGAGTGAACCAGGGACCAGTCGGTGAGTCAAGCAGTTCCTCTTTCTCACTTCTTGTTATTATCACTACTCGCTTTTAAGGACATTTTAAATGAGTTTCTTAACTTGATATGTCTTAATTTCATTTGATTAGGATTTATAAATGCAGCTGATGTAGGATCTGCAAAGGTGATAACATGAGTAAAGATATATTCTGTGGTGCATGTGTGGGGTGTGTGTGTGTGTGTGTGTGTGTGTATGTGTGTAGTGTGGGAAGTGCATGTGATGTGTGTCTGAGGAGTGCGTATGGTGTATGTCTTGAATGTGTTTGGTGGTGCATGTGTGGGTTATCTTGAGATGATTTTGGGTCTTAGTGTCCCCGCGGCCCGGTCCTTGACCAGGGCCTCCTTTTTGTTACCCCCCCCCCAGGAAGCAGCCCATAACACCTGTCTAACTCCCAGGTACCTATTTACTGCTAAGTAACAGGGACATCAGGGTGAAAGAAACATTTTGCCCATTTGTCTCTGCCTCCACCGGGGATCGAACCCGGAACCTCGGGACTACGAATCCGAAGCGCTGTCCACTCAGCTGTCAGGCGCCCACACATGGGGAGTGTGTGTGGTGTATGTCTTGGTTGTGTTTGGTGGGGAATGTGTGTGTGGTGCGTGTCTTGGGTGTGTTTGGTGGTGTATGGCTTGGGTGTGTTTGGTGGGGAATGTGTGTGTGGTGCGTGTCTTGGGTGTGTTTGGTGGTGTATGGCTTGGGTGTGTTTGGTGGCGAGCGCATGTGGTGTATGTCTTGGGTGTGTGTGGTGTCAGTGGTAGAGGTTTTTAAAATTGTACTAAACTTTACTTACTTATCTTAACTTTATCTTCTAACAAACAGAGACCCCTACCACTTCCCTGATAATATATCATTAACCACTGCAACTACTACTTATTGCTGCTATCGTCAATCAATCGGTAATGGACACGGGAGTGCATATTGGAAGATCACCCTGAAATCGTCTTATACACAGAGAGGTGTTCAACATCACCTTTACTTGGGGAAACGGCTCCAATCTGACCTATTTGTCCTGAATTCACACCCTGACAAGCTGCAGTGACTCGCCCCACACTCTCCTTGTTTTGAGATGATCTTCTCATTCCCCTTCATGATATTACTGTCCGCTGTCAACCACTCTGCTACCGTGTCTCTCTTTTCCCAGAAATTATCACCTGGACAAGAGCAAAAACCAGTTGTATACAAACATTTATTACATGAAAATAAACAGAAGTAAACTAATACAACAATACAATATCATAGAATTCTACAAACCGGCAACACACCTATATAATATCAGTTCTTCACCAAATAAACTGCACTAGGCTACTGCTCAATTTCTGCCCTCAGCCTCTGGCCTTCTCACTGCTTTTGACTAGGTAACTTACATATAAAAATATCCCCAACCTGAATACAATGACTTTCTCACCTTACATTGCATCACTCATGCCATATGCATTCAAGCACTCCCTCGTACATATCATGGTGTCCATCTAATTCTTTGTTGTGCATCCTGAAGTCCACCACTAAGAACATCTGTCTCTGGGGTCCTCAAAATCAGGTGGGTACTCCGGAAGTTTTTTCAATATTTGCTGTTACTTGAAGTCTCGCTCAATGCCTGTGAAGTTCCTCTATGGGGCTTCACCAAAAAAATCTGTAGCACCTCTACACTCGAACTTCGACTCTACTACTGAAGTTTGACTCTGTACTTGAAGTTCTACTCCCACACTATCTCCACCAGACACGATACTCCTACATGAATTTCTTCCCATACAAACCACAGTCAGGATGATGCTACAACTCTCCTCCTCCGACACCCCAATATGGCGCTCGCTTAAGTCGTCCACAAATTCTCTTGGACTGTCTAAATGCTTCTTTCAGTCCCGACTTAAGTACACGAAGTCACCTGCCAGGTTTCACACAAACATCTGCTCAATTTCATCCTCTCAAAGGATATCTCACAGTAGGGACCCACAAGAGATACGACCACCATGTATACATGGTGGTCGCGACCACTTAGCGGTTTCAGGCCGCTCCTAATACTGTTCACGATCACATATAAATAATGTACGCTGTCCTTGGCAGCTTCCTCACCTGTTGTACACTGTAGCCTTCACTCAAACACTTAACCAAGAACTATAATCATTCTTCCCAGGAGGGCACTGACGTACGTCTGTCCTTGACGACTCGCGCTACTCCAGTGATTCTTTATGACCTCCATAATGCCGACATCTTACTTTGTTTCCACAAAATGCTTGCCTCTGCTTTCATCTCTTCAGTCTTAATATATTGATATTTGCTTAATTTACTTCCTTCCCCTGACTCCTACCTCCAGTCAGGTCGGCAGAATAACTCTCATAAGGCAGACCTCCCTCAGTAGGCTACCTGGGGTTCATAACAGTGGGGAGTGTATGTGTTGATGAGTGTGTCGGGGAGTGTGTGTGGTGCATGTCTTGGTTGTGTTTGGTGGTGTGTGAATGGGGAGTGTGTGTGCATGTTTTGGTTGTGTTTGGTGGTGCGTGTGTGAGGTATGCTTGGTGGTGGTGCGTGTGTGAGGTATGCTTGGTGGTGGTGCGTGTGTGAGGTATGCTTGGTGGTGGTGCGTGTGTGTGAGGTATGCTTGGTGGTGGTGCGTGTGTGTGAGGTATGCTTGGTGGTGGTGCGTGTGTGTGAGGTATGCTTGGTGGTGGTGGTGTGTGTGTGAGGTATGCTTGGTGGTGGTGGTGTGTGTGAGGTATGCTTGGTGGTGGTGGTGTGTGTGTGAGGTATGCTTGGTGGTGGTGGTGTGTGTGTGAGGTATGCTTGGTGGTGGTGTGTGTGTGAGGTATGCTTGGTGGTGGTGGTGTGTGTGTGAGGTATGCTTGGTGGTGGTGGTGTGTGTGTGAGGTATGCTTGGTGGTGGTGCGTGTGTGTGAGGTATGCTTGGTGGTGGTGGTGTGTGTGTGAGGTATGCTTGGTGGTGGTGGTGTGTGTGTGAGGTATGCTTGGTGGTGGTGCGTGTGTGTGAGGTATGCTTGGTGGTGGTGGTGGTGTGTGTGAGGTATGCTTGGTGGTGGTGTGTGTGTGAGGTATGCTTGGTGGTGGTGTGTGTGTGAGGTATGCTTGGTGGTGGTGGTGTGTGTGTGAGGTATGCTTGGTGGTGGTGGTGCGTGTGTGAGGTATGCTTGGTGGTGGTGGTGCGTGTGTGAGGTATGCTTGGTGGTGATGTGTGTGTGTGAGGTATGCTTGGTGGTGGTGGTGCGTGTGTGAGGTATGCTTGGTGGTGGTGCGTGTGTGAGGTATGCTTGGTGGTGGTGGTGTGTGTGTGAGGTATGCTTGGTGGTGGTGGTGTGTGTGAGGTATGCTTGGTGGTGGTGTGTGTGTGAGGTATGCTTGGTGGTGGTGGTGTGTGTGTGAGGTATGCTTGGTGGTGGTGCGTGTGTGTGAGGTATGCTTGGTGGTGGTGCGTGTGTGTGAGGTATGCTTGGTGGTGGTGGTGTGTGTGTGAGGTATGCTTGGTGGTGGTGGTGCGTGTGTGAGGTATGCTTGGTGGTGGTGGTGTGTGTGTGAGGTATGCTTGGTGGTGGTGGTGTGTGTGTGAGGTATGCTTGGTGGTGGTGCGTGTGTGTGAGGTATGCTTGGTGGTGGTGCGTGTGTGTGAGGTATGCTTGGTGGTGGTGGTGTGTGTGTGAGGTATGCTTGGTGGTGGTGTGTGTGTGTGAGGTATGCTTGGTGGTGGTGGTGCGTGTGTGAGGTATGCTTGGTGGTGGTGGTGCGTGTGTGAGGTATGCTTGGTGGTGGTGCGTGTGTGAGGTATGCTTGGTGGTGCGTGTGTGTGAGGTATGCTTGGTGGTGGTGTGTGTGTGAGGTATGCTTGGTGGTGGTGTGTGTGAGGTATGCTTGGTGGTGGTGGTGTGTGTGTGAGGTATGCTTGGTGGTGGTGGTGTGTGTGTGAGGTATGCTTGGTGGTGGTGGTGGTGTGTGTGTGAGGTATGCTTGGTGGTGGTGGTGTGTGTGTGTGAGGTATGCTTGGTGGTGGTGGTGTGTGTGTGAGGTATGCTTGGTGGTGGTGGTGGTGTGTGTGAGGTATGCTTGGTGGTGGTGGTGTGTGTGTGAGGTATGCTTGGTGGTGGTGGTGTGTGTGTGAGGTATGCTTGGTGGTGGTGGTGTGTGTGTGAGGTATGCTTGGTGGTGGTGGTGTGTGTGTGAGGTATGCTTGGTGGTGGTGGTGTGTGTGTGTGAGGTATGCTTGGTGGTGGTGGTGTGTGTGTGAGGTATGCTTGGTGGTGCGTGTGTGTGAGGTATGCTTGGTGGTGGTGGTGTGTGTGTGAGGTATGCTTGGTGGTGGTGGTGTGTGTGTGTGAGGTATGCTTGGTGGTGGTGGTGTGTGTGTGAGGTATGCTTGGTGGTGGTGGTGTGTGTGTGTGAGGTATGCTTGGTGGTGGTGGTGTGTGTGTGAGGTATGCTTGGTGGTGGTGGTGTGTGTGTGAGGTATGCTTGGTGGTGGTGGTGTGTGTGTGAGGTATGCTTGGTGGTGGTGGTGTGTGTGTGAGGTATGCTTGGTGGTGGTGGTGTGTGTGTGAGGTATGCTTGGTGGTGGTGGTGTGTGTGTGTGAGGTATGCTTGGTGGTGGTGGTGTGTGTGTGAGGTATGCTTGGTGGTGGTGGTGTGTGTGTGAGGTATGCTTGGTGGTGGTGCGTGTGTGAGGTATGCTTGGTGGTGCGTGTGTGTGAGGTATGCTTGGTGGTGGTGGTGTGTGTGTGAGGTATGCTTGGTGGTGCGTGTGTGTGAGGTATGCTTGGTGGTGGTGGTGTGTGTGTGTGTGAGGTATGCTTGGTGGTGGTGGTGTGTGTGTGAGGTATGCTTGGTGGTGGTGGTGTGTGTGTGAGGTATGCTTGGTGGTGCGTGTGTGTGTGAGGTATGCTTGGTGGTGGTGTGTGTGTGTGAGGTATGCTTGGTGGTGGTGGTGTGTGTGTGTGTGAGGTATGCTTGGTGGTGGTGGTGTGTGTGTGAGGTATGCTTGGTGGTGGTGGTGCGTGTGTGAGGTATGCTTGGTGGTGCGTGTGTGAGGTATGCTTGGTGGTGGTGGTGCGTGTGTGAGGTATGCTTGGTGGTGATGTGTGTGTGAGGTATGCTTGGTGGTGATGTGTGTGTGAGGTATGCTTGGTGGTGCGTGTGTGAGGTATGCTTGGTGGTGGTGTGTGTGTGAGGTATGCTTGGTGGTGGTGCGTGTGTGTGAGGTATGCTTGGTGGTGGTGCGTGTGTGTGAGGTATGCTTGGTGGTGGTGTGTGTGTGAGGTATGCTTGGTGGTGATGTGTGTGTGAGGTATGCTTGGTGGTGGTGTGTGTGTGAGGTATGCTTGGTGGTGGTGGTGTGTGTGTGAGGTATGCTTGGTGGTGGTGCGTGTGTGAGGTATGCTTGGTGGTGGTGTGTGTGTGTGAGGTATGCTTGGTGGTGGTGCGTGTGTGAGGTATGCTTGGTGGTGGTGGTGCATGTGTGAGGTATGCTTGGTGGTGGTGGTGGTGTGTGTGTGAGGTATGCTTGGTGGTGGTGCGTGTGTGAGGTATGCTTGGTGGTGGTGGTGCGTGTGTGAGGTATGCTTGGTGGTGGTGTGTGTGTGAGGTATGCTTGGTGGTGGTGCGTGTGTGAGGTATGCTTGGTGGTGGTGGTGCGTGTGTGAGGTATGCTTGGTGGTGGTGTGTGTGTGAGGTATGCTTGGTGGTGGTGGTGTGTGTGTGAGGTATGCTTGGTGGTGGTGTGTGTGTGAGGTATGCTTGGTGGTGGTGCGTGTGTGAGGTATGCTTGGTGGTGGTGTGTGTGTGAGGTATGCTTGGTGGTGGTGTGTGTGTGAGGTATGCTTGGTGGTGGTGTGTGTGTGAGGTATGCTTGGTGGTGGTGCGTGTGTGAGGTATGCTTGGTGGTGATGTGTGTGTGAGGTATGCTTGGTGGTGGTGTGTGTGTGAGGTATGCTTTGTAGTGGTGTGTGTGTGAGGTATGCTTTGTAGTGGTGTGTGTGTGAGGCCAGAAGTTGAGTGCACTTGTTGGTGGGTCTGTATCAAGATGTGTACAGTACTCGTATTGGTGCACCTGTAACTGAAAGGTGAGTACCCTTAGTGTTGAGACTTTCACAGTGTGTACTTAGCTTTTGTGCAGCAAACTTTCTGCTTGTTAATAATGTGCAGTAATAATGCAGTAATAATGTGGTAATAATAATCTGCTTGTTAATAATGTTAATAATGTGCAACAAACTGTCCCACTAGTAATAAGTTTGAAAATATGGATTGGAAATGTCAACATTTTTCTATACTGTATAGTGAAGAGTGAAGATAGGATGACTGTTATATTGTATATACTGCAGGTGTCGGTGGGGAAGGTCGACTGAGAATGAGTGAACGTCGCGGTCAGGGAGTGATGGAGTCTGAACCTGAGAGCCGGTTGCGAACAGATGGCCGCAGCGGGTTATCCCAATTTATGCCAGAGAGTGCCTTAAAGGTTACTAGCACTCCTTCAGAAGGCAGAGTCCGCCAGGAAAGCCCAAGTGCGATTTTAACAAGTCCTACAGAAGGCCGGCTAAGATTGGGAGTGACTTCAAGTGTGGCAGTTCCTGCAGCTGAAAGTAGAATAAGATCCAATGAAAATACGAGAATGGGAGGAGGTAACAACAGTAAGTGTAGTCCATCTCTCCACGATCACATCACTGGATCCCCAGCACGTACCGCGGGCAGAGATCTCAAGCAAGACTCTCCCATTGAGAGCATATCAACATCCCTCTCAAACATAAACATCTCAAGACCCAAGACACTCTCTGACAACCCATTTCAGGATGAGACTGTGGATGCAAATAATCCTTTCTCTGATGACTTTGAGACTGAGCAGCTAGAGAACGACCCTTTTGCAGGTGACTATGATGAATCCAAGAACCCATTTGCTGAAGATTCTCCTGAGAGTAAGTGTTCTGATGAGAAAAATCCATTTGCCAAAGATGATTATGACTCTCAGTTGAATCCCTTTGGTGAATCCTAGTTGTTATGTAGGGCATAGTGTGAATCATTCTTATCCAGCATTGGTGGGTATATCATAATAATTCAGAGACAATTTTTATTGTTATTTTTATTATAATTATTATTGTTTAATTATTATTCTGAGAATATGACAGTGTGGCTGAAATAAATAACCCAACCCACACATACCAAATGAAATGAGAGTAACTTGTATCATGACTTGTTAAGGGGGCAGGATTGGACCAAAACATCATCACGTTCATTTAAGTCCTTATGTGTGGGTCAAGATATTTGGAATTATTATAATGATAGAACACAGCACCCTCAGTACTATAGTATTGTCTTCCTATCCATATTTCAACTATTGTGCACTGTATTAATTGAATTTGCATGCAGTGGAACGACTGGCATTTAGGGAAGATTTGACTTGAAATGTACTATGTATGTATAGATCTGCACGGCTGTTTGTCTGAATACTGGACATTTATTGATATGCCGCCTTTTGCAGCTTTAGAATGATTTAGATGTTGATTAGTATATTCTTTTCCTAACTCTGAGTTGGAAAATGTGTGTAGATTTAAGTTCCTGTACTACACATTATTTTCATAAGTAAATTAAGTTCTTTTTAATATTGCATGTCATAAACCCTTTACAGTAAACATTGGCTGAAAGACCGTCACTGTATTAAATACAGCTGCTGTATTCACTCGATGCGTACCCAATATTTTGTGCAGTTTACCCATTGAAAAATATGCATACAGTATACAGTATCACTTGTGTAAATACTACTTTCATGTGACCATGAAAGACTCGTTTTGTCATGTAACCATTATAAGTGAAGGAAGTATTGGTTCATATCCCTCACAGTGCAGTGGTCAATGCCGTCGGCTTGCAACTGATTGGACCCAAGTTCAGTTCCCAACCGATTGGGAACTAAACTCTGCACTTTTCCTTACACTTTATGCCTCTGTTCACCAAGCAGTAATTATTTTGATCCCCGGGAGATGGTTAACGATTGATGGTTGCATCCTGTGACAGGTCAATTGTTGGCCTGTAAGGATGAGCCTAACAGGCTTTTTGCCCTCAATAATATTGTTAGGAAACAATACTGTTTATGCATTACAGTGCTTCCTCTAAAATTCAGATACCTCTATAATGGATTCTGCTAAACAGTGGACGAAATATGGCTACCAGATTTGCTCTGAAATTTGAATTTCTCAAAATACAGTACTGTATATAGATTTTGGAGGAGGATGCAATGAAATTTAGATCATTTGTAATTATTGATTGTTGACATGATCATTGATCACGTCAAGAGAGACTCGAGGCCACAAGGGGCTCAGCTTTGACAACAATGAAATGCCTCTTTCTGGGTTTTGGTGGTGCATGTTTCCCGATTCCCTCCTGCACCTCCCTTCCAGGTCATCAGTTAGGGTTTTTACATGTGCATATCTCCAAAACTCATGGCCACGGCCAGTGGACAGCACGAGCCCTGTCCCCCTCTCAACAAATGAGTGCACACTTGTTTTGAGAAATTCAATCATTTGTTTGCATTTTTGGAGAGTTCATTTGGCAGGTTGTGGGGATTCAGTCTCTTTGAACCCAGCAGTGGTCTGTACTGGTTCATTGATTTTCTGGTAGTCTTCCCGGTGAGGTGGCAGTGTGTCACCTGCTCCCTACACCTCTGTGAGGGGGGGCGCGGTAGACCAAACACCACCACCGCTGCTTCAATAAAGTAGTTAGGAGCATCTCGGCGAGATAGCTTCAGGAAGCCATCAGGGCTCACCCAGAAAAAAAAAAAAAAAAGAGGCATTTCTTTAGTCGATACAGTACAGTACTGGTTTTTTATGGTCTCTGATTTCTAAGATACGTATTTTATTATTGTCTTCTATGCCACACAATCAATACAAAAACAACTTTGCTACTGTACCAATAAAGAGTCAATTGATTTAGTGTGCAGAATTTAAATCTAATTCATTGGGGTAAACTGAAACAAAGTAAAAAAATATATAAACAGTTTATTTAGCTTATCATAGATATTGTAGTGTATGTAATGATACAGAAAAGAGCATAAACATTTACAGTGGGGTCTTTATGTAACAAAATTTAAATATAAATATTTATCCTGTATAAAATGCTTTAAATACATCAACTATAACAGAAAATTAAAAATTTACATCTTGGAAACAATATACACATAAAATGAAACAAACAAAATAACTCAAGTATGTGGTTATGGAAATGTTCATCTCCGATGGTACCACAAGAGTGAATACCATTGTTACATTATGTGGTGTTGCTCTTGTGTAAATCAGGAACATTATGAAGAGTGCAACAGCTGAATATCACTAATGAGTAGAAAAGAGGATATAATGTGCATCATATTTACATTACAGGCTGCATGTTAAGACGTATTTTAGTGATGCTCCCTGTGACATCAACGAACATAAGGCAAATTATTTTGCCGAAAAGAAACATTGTACAGTTTAATAGTAAAAATAATGAAGTTACATTATTTAATACTGATGTACTGTAGATATTTAAAATAAATAATGCATTGCCAAAGTATTATTTCAATTTTTTTCATTGCAGAAATCATCTGCTATTACTGATTTTGCAAAATAGAACCAAAGTCTGGGTACCTACATTAAAGTTTTTGTATTCAATCTACATCGATAACATTCATTCAGTGTTACTTGAGCATGTTTTACCAAGAGAAAATGGTCTACCAGATGTAGCTATTGTTGGTGGCATATGAAAATGTGATCTTTTTTTATGATTTTAAATATAATTAAAGAACATTTCATTCGTCCATCGTGACGTATAAATGTAATACTGTACATATACTGGACAGTTCTGCACGTTCACAGTTATTCACAAGCTTGGCGATGACAACATTTATACACAAAAGGAAACTTAATTGTTTGACTTGTTTACTATAATGAATGCTATAATGATCCATGGTAAATACATAAAGAGCATGAGTATGACTTTAAATAATGTACATCAAATTCCTTGGTACTTACTGTACATTTGTTGGATGTATTTATGATACTGTACTATAGACTGGAAACACGACCCGCCCAGAAATCCAGCATTGAATATAGTGAGATGGCTCGTTCTGGTGGGCCTACCATAGAGGCGTTTCATTACATTCAAAAGTAATTTTAATTCATATTTATACCTTCAGTGGGAACAAAAGGTTGCAGAGGTTGCTGCTACAGAGAGCTAATACAGAAGAATCATGGTCTAAAATGCAATAGACAGATTCATGGAAACAGTAGATGCTACTGTATCTTAACATCTGCATGTAGAGTGTAAACTTCTTTAATATATTTACAGTTATTTTAACTTTATAATTTTGAAAACAAAAATTTATGAATTTTGTTCACTAAATTCCGGATACCTAAGGCAAAAGACTTCATGATCTTTATGAACTAGTTACACTAGATCCATGAGATGCAAATCATTGCATTATTTAGCATTCAAGTGCAAGTAAACTCTTCATGACTTCATCTGCAGAGTTGTTAATAAATACAACAGAAAATAATTATACATCTTATAGTTTCTCTTCATTAAATCTTTAAAACTGTGAATGAGTATATCTGTAATCTCTGTAATCACATGCAATATCTAAAATTACATTCATTCAAGTACTGTACACGGAAAATTCAACAATAAAATTTACAGCAAATTCCACAATAAATATATTCAACAAATTCACATAATAATTATTCGCATTTTACTTTGTATTAATTCAAGAGAAAGACACTATGGTTATCACATCTACTTAAAAACCAATTTGAACACTGATATGACTAATATCTACTGTTTTCCTTATTATTGGACAAGAATTTGATAAAATGCTAAGCCCAGACGGCTGAAGCCAGAGATGGAGGTGGTTCCTGAACCACCGGCACTTCCTTTATATCTTATAAAGGAAGTGCCGTAAGTAAATCCCCCTTATATCATAAAAAAATTGTACAATTATAATATGACAAAAGGTTTAACAATAAAAAATTGAAATAAACACTATTGTGTTAGTGCAATTGGTATTTGTCAAATGATGACAACATACTGTAAATCTAAGGAGATGTAATAAAGTATAAAATATTTATCTAAATAGTATATTTAGATAAATACTAAAATTTATCTATAAATAAATTTAGATAATGTACTAAAAAGTATAAAATAAAATATAACTAAGATATTTATCCAATTTACAACTTCAGCCCGGCACCAGAGTGAGTGTGTGTAGATTACAGATATAAGTAACTTCTGCCAGGTTAGGTCAACATGTAAACATTAGCTCTGATTAGCTGATGACTATTTTACTCTTCATTTACCATCATAGAATAAACATAATGCACTCACCATGACTACCTAAATTTAACTACCAGTCTAGTTTCAATGTGTAGAAAATAGGTAAGTGGTGTAAAAGCAACTCCGTCTGCTGAGAATATGTACAGGTAAAGTTGTACATTTCTGGCATGAACCTGCACTACTGCTCATGTCATTACAATCCTCATGATGTTGCCAAGAGAAAGGCTTATGCAGCAGCGTAAGTTACACTTATAAATGCGGTCGTGATTCTGTGGTAAATTGTCTAGACATTATTGTACGGTCAATTTTGAGGAGCACGAGTACAGTATGTGTATCCAAGACCAGCAACTAAGAACATGCGTACATTTCCAATCAAAATTAAACCAACGGGGAAATTACTCGTGTGATGACTCGCTCTACTCCTTTGCACCATCTTTCATCCTTTGTAGGTAAGAAGCCCAGGCGAAATGTTAGCTGATGTTCCTGATGGAATTGGTTGGGTTTGAGGATGTGCACCTTCCATTTCTAGTAAGTTATTGTCTAAAAGCTGCTGTAGAATGTATGCAAACAACAGTACCTTTGTATTACAATTATTGTTGGTAAGTTGTTTATAGTGTTGGCATTTCAAGATATTCTAATGTATTTTACAAATACAATAATAAATAATAATATACCATACTTATCAGGAGGCCTGGTCAGAGACCTGGCCAAAGGGACGTTGATCCCTGGAGCCAACACAAGGTAACCGCAAAGTATGAATTAATGACGAGCACAATACTTGCCGTTTGTATTTACCAGTAGTGTACATTTATCAAAGCCTGCGCTTATTATAAACATAACCCAAAGAGCAACAAAATCCAACATTATAATTTACCCTTGTCTATAAACAATGAAATATATAATTTAAATCAAAATTTTGTAAATCAGAAACCCTAGAGATTTAGTCCAGAACAGTCACCAGGTAGCCATGCTTATAAATGAGGTCCACAATCCCTGCCAGCTCTCGAGGGTAAAATCTTAGTAAAAGGGGTTAAGTTCTGTATTAAAAGGCCAGTAATGCAGGGGTGGGAATGGAGAACAACTAGAATATTATGCAACACAATACAATAATGAACAGGATAATTGTCACACACATTACTTACTTTACATATCCAATTTATTGTGTTGTACGTGCTATTTTTTTGCATAGATGTATTTGTTAAACTGGGCCCTCGTGTTGTCTCAATAACTCAAACATAAAACAATACACATTCCAGAAAAACAATTCTGGTATTAATTATTGAATAAATAAATATAAATATTAATACTTGGATCGTGTCCAAGTTGTTAATACCGATACCAATAAATACAACATAAAATTCATCAATACTCCATGAAATTTATCAATACTGCATGATGTTCCTCAATGCAGCATATAAATAATTCAGCACAAAATTCCAACAATACTGTGTTGAGGCTCTTCATCAATGCTGTTAACAGCTCAGACTTTCCTTCACTTAATACATACTTCAGCTCTGATTTAATACAAGTACAACAAGATGCTTATAAAAGCTTTGCTGTTTTGCAAAATCTTTGTCACGAAATACATAGATAAAATGCAATTAATTTTTCCCACTTTCTACTTGGTATTACTTTCACTTGTTTTTAAGTCCATCTTTATGCTACCATCCATTTCACTTTCTTTGTAAATATTACAAAGTAACAGCAGTAACTTATTTCATGCCATTAGAAACATATGCAATTTCAGGCACCTACCATCACCCTACACATGCTACACCACGCGAGGCAAGGCCCCACATGGTGTAGCTTGCTCCCTGGGTGAAGAAACTTTAGATGCTAGTAGTAGCCACAATGTTCAGGTAGGTTTGGCAAATCCTACTGTGCTACGAGTTATGGAAAATACACGAATCCATATAACGCTTACTTTGTATCATTATAAGAAAATATAAATGTTTCGTTTGCTTTGGTAGTAGAAAATGCTAAAATTATTAACTTTTCACTCGTCTCTCACTGCGACTGTAGGATGGAGTAAAACATGGAGCTTCTGTCTGCCAACAATTCTGTAGGTCGTCCACATTCCACTATTTCTCCATCACTCATCACCAGAATTCTGCAATAATGATAATTATTCAATAAACTTAATGCATACCAAGTAGTGGAATTTTGTATTTGAGAGATTAACATGTTGAAAATATAATCATTATATGTTACAGTACTGTAATATTAATCAGGGCTCAATTTTCAATTTTTTTAGGAGAAGGGTCATTCCCTTTTGCCTAAAACTCAAACCCACCCAAACTGTGGCATTATTTATTAAGATCAAGTTTTGACACCCCTCCCCCTCAACCTCCCCATTGCAAAGTGAGGTAAACAAGTTACACTAGTCGCTAAAAGTGTTCAGTTATTGCCTCTATTTGGGGTCTACTTGAACTGTGTAGCGGAGGACATCAGAGGGGGGGGGGGGGGAAGAGTTGTCATTAATTCCCTAAACTGATTATAGGGTATCTTATGTCTACCTTGTGGAACCAAATATTGTGTAATATAATAGATGTAGAATCCCTTGATTACTTCAAGTGTAGGTTAGATATATATATGAATGCAATTGGTTGGTATTAAATAGAAGCTGCCTCGTACAAGCCAATAGGCAATTCTGCAGTTACCTTCATTCTTATGTTCTTACCTTGTGTTAGTTACGAGGATCAACGTCCCCACGGCCCAGTGGGCCGTGGGGACATCCACCAAGCCTCGTGGGCACAATATTCATATAATTTGAGCTCTGGATCAAAGTATGCTAGAATCCAGAAATAAAAACTTGAAAAAAAAATGGTTAATATTTAAACACACACATTTCATTGAACTCACTTATCACAGTCACGGACAGTGTGTACACGATGAGCGATGATGATAACTGTCTTGTTGCGGAAGGCACTGCGAATTGTTTGCTGAATCTGCTCGTCCGTTTCATGATCCAGCTGTGAGGTTCCTTCATCTATGCAGACAATCTGTGGACATTGTTTACAAGTGTAATTTCCAAATAAGATGAGCCTAAAAGATGTATTGTATGATTATTTACTACCCACTTTACAAATAAATTATATTATATTATATTATATTATATTATATTATATTATATTATATTATATATATATATATATATATTTATTTTATATAGCCAAGTTTTCATGAATTAATTGTTTTTCGACTACCTAACCTACCTAACCTAACCTAACTTTTTCGGCTACCTAACCTATAAAGATAGGATAGGTTAGGTTAGGTAGGGTTGGTTAGGTTCGGTCATATATCTACGTCAATTTTAACTCCAATAAAAAAAAATTGACCTCATACATAATGAAATAGGTAGCTTTATCATTTCATAAGCAAAAAATTAGAGAAAATATATTAATTCATGAAAACTTGGCTTATTAGGCAAATCGGGCCTTGCATAGTAGGCTGAGAAGTGCGTTCTGGCTATATATATATATATATATATATATATGTCGTACCTAATAGCCAGAACGCACTTCTCAGCCTACTATGCAAGGCCCGATTTGCCTAATAAGCCAAGTTTTCATGAATTAATATATTTTCTCAAATTTTTTGCTTATGAAATGATAAAGCTACCTATTTCATTATGTATGAGGTCAATTTTTTTTTATTGGAGTTAAAATTGACGTAGATATATGACCGAACCTAACCAACCCTACCTAACCTAACCTAACCTAACCTATCTTTATAGGTTAGGTAGCCGAAAAAGTTAGGTTAGGTTAGGTTAGGTAGATTAGGTAGTCGAAAAACAATTAATTCATGAAAACTTTGCTATATAAAATAAATATATATATATATATATCTTCAAAATTAATTAATTAATTAGTAACACTGGTGATACCTTGGTGCGGCAGAGCAGTGCTCGGGCCAGGCAAAACAACTGCCTCTCCCCCGCTGACATTGTCCGTCCTGCTTCATCAATGCGAGCCTCCAGACCGCCCATACTGTTTACCAGTGTGGTGAGATGGCACGACTGTATGGCCTGCCATACTTGTGCATCAAGAGAGTCGGCACAGGGGTCTAGATTCTCTCGAACAGTTCCACTAAACAGGAGGACATCCTGTGTCACTATGGCCATGCTGGACCTGCAGGGTATTTGAATATAATAATAAGTATACTGACTTTCCCTGAAAATTCAACAAATAGACGAGGAAAACTAAAATGGTTGAGGAATAATTTTAAAAGTATGAAGATTAGAATTTTTTAAACAGAGCAAATGTGAACATAACTGACTTCGATATTAGAAAATTATTGAGAAAATACCATACATCTGTATGCAGAGAAATGTGGAAATGGTGCTTGTATTGATGAGTAACATGTAAAAGTACTTTAATAAAGTTGATAAAAGCAAAACGAGGTGGTGTGGAGAAAATAGCAGGTATGCAGAAGTGGCATTCGCCAGACAATTAGAAAAAAAATCAAGTGTTGAATGTAATACACCGCCAATTTCTGGGCGAGCCCCGGTGGCTCCCTGAAGCTCTCTCTTATAGTGTCATACTACCAGGTCCCATCAGTCATGGAGTTTATGGCCTACCAGGGACCAAGAGCCAGAACCTGGCCCTCTCACAAAGGTGTGGTGAGCAGTGGCATTTACATAATAATAAGCTATTCATTTATGTCACTACCGAGGAAAGTGAATGAAACAAAACGAACCACTGCTGGCTTTAAAGGTGACCAAAGTCTCCAGAAATAGCTATAGAACTCCCCCAACAATGTAAATAAAAGATCAAAATTTAATTAAACTAGCGCCAGCTCGTTTGCCCCACATCTCCTCTCGTTTGTGGGGAGGAGGGAGGCAGCCAGGGGTCAGCCAGCTGCTCCACCCTCAGTTCACTGATGATGAAAATCTCCTGACGACCTGAAGGAGGAGAGGGCATCATGGAGCCACTGGAGCTTACCCAGAAATTGGTTCTAGGGAGAGCCCCCTTGAGGCTCCCTGAAGCTAACTACCCACGAAGAAGAGTCAATAGGCAAGCATCAGGGAGGAGGAGGGAGAACTGCCAGCACAACAACAAAGAAGAGATACTTGGCCCAAAAGGCAAGCCAAGACCATACGGGTGCCAAGGCCCGGGCTCCCCAACAAGATATAAGGCCGCCCAAACCTAGGATGACCAGACACCCCATGTCCAAACAACAGCCCAAGACAGGGTCGCAAGAAAAGAAAACGGCAGTTTGGCGTTTTGGCCACCACCACAGGAGGCAGCATTGACAGCCCATCCTGAGGAAATCACACCATAGAACGAAAAAACTACGTAAAGGATTTGGGTGTAATCATGTCGGAAGACCTTACATTTAAAGAACGCAATAAAATTGCTGTCATAAGGGGGAAAAAATGACAGGATGGATAACAATAATGTTTCAAACAAGAGATGCCATACCAGTGATGATAATGATAATTGTGATGACAGTGATGATACTAATAATTGTGCAGAACCAACAAACACATTTACACCAGTATCTTTGCCACTTAATGTACATTTTCATAGACACAGTTACAACATACCGCAGTTTTTTAAGGCTCAGCTTCGAGATATCCACGTTATCCACGAAGATATGTCCCCGGCTCACCTCTGCCAAACGGAAAAGTGCCATAAATATGGAACTTTTCCCAGCTCCAGTTCGGCCTATTATTCCAACCTTTTCCGATGTGCCGATTTCAAAGTTTACTTTTCGTAGCGCGTAAGGGTTGTGAGCTCTGAAAAGTGAAAGATGAAATTCATTTTTGCTTTAATTTGATTACCCATTCAGTGTCTGATACACTCCATTTATTTATTTTTATTTTTAATCCTATCTAATGCCACATATTTTGCATGTAATGAATACAATAGCTTTTCTTTTATACACAAAATGAAAGATACAATCAAGTACATTACTAACTGATATCTTAAGTAGACATTTTGGAACCGAATCGTGCCATGACTAAGCCAACCCAGCGGAGGAAGAAGGGTGCCCTCACGACGCTCTTGTTCTGTCCCGTGCAAGTACTGGTGCACTCGTTCCACGCTCACCAGCTCCCGCTCAGTTTCAGTGAGAGAGCCAACCACACTGTTAAGGAAGTTACTCACTGTCAAGGCATATGCGATCACCAGACCAACCATGCCTGAAATAAATGCTGCTGTTTAATATAAATTTTTTATACACATGTACTGTCATGCAGTAATAAGAAGATATTGTAAAAAATTTTAAGTTGTGTAAAACCACAACAGCAAAGTACTTGAAAATTAAGAAATCAGAAAGCATCAGATACAGATAGGTAAGAGTAGAGTCAACTGACACAGATCTCACTCCCTGTAGACGCTGTCGAGTGATGTCATTGTTAAACACACAATGCACAGACCTTAACAAGTTCACTCCAGACAATCACTCACCTGCATCGATAGTATCAAAATGGTGGTGGAGAAGGGCAAGAACTGACACACCCGCCAACATGGCCAGTCCAATCAGCTGAAGCCTCAAGTTGAGCCACTGTGAGGCAATTTGGATATCAAACTGTGCACGCTGGCTCACCTCCAGGAGACTGTCTGCCCGTACACTGAACCTGTAAATATCAGTCACATTAGCACTATCTTGAGGTTACCTTGAGATGATTTCGGGGCTTTTAGTGTCCCTGCGGCCCGGTCCTCAACCAGGCCTCCACCCCCAGGAAGCAACCCGTGACAGCTGACTGACACCCAGGTACCTATTTTACTGCTAGGTTACAGGGGCATAGGGTGAAAGAAACTATGCCCATTGTTTCTCGCCGGCGCCCGGGATCGAACCCGGTACCACAGGATCACAAGTCCAGCGTGCTGTCCGCTCGGCCGACCGGCTCCCTATCTATTCACATAAAGACTATCCCTCTACAGTATATAAATGTGTGTATAATTATGACAGAAAATGGAATGAAAGGCATTCCTTATATATTTAGAACCTGTGTAACTCTAGTTTATTTGATGGTGGCTTTACAATAACAAGTCATGTAATGTACCAATCTCGTATTAAAATGGAATAAATTACAAAATGTTAGATTCAATACTTACCTATGTACAGCCCTCATGGCACGAATTACAGGGAGACCCTGCAATGTTTCCGTGAAATGTTCATACAAGGGTGAGAGGGAGACAGCGTGCAGTCGTTTCAAATCACGAGAGGTATGACGGTAATAGTGTTGGACGGTATAATACACAAAGGCTAATGGAATGTACAATAAGGTAATCCATGGCATGCCGTACACAGTCACCACAACAGAACCTGAAAGACAAATCAAATTAAGTTTACAAACACATCAAAGTACTTTACTTATGTAAGGGACTCACAAAGAATTAACTAGGTAATTATATTTTGGCCTATATAAGCAGCTCATAATTGTTATCATAGGACTACATTCTTTATTACAGAACACTGATTTGTAACTCCTCTTATGTGTTCCTTTTAACAATTTCAGTGTTGGTTTATCAAATTACTATCTTAAAATCTTTGAACTCAAATACAATCCAAAATCAGATCTGTCATTCCTTTCAACTCCACCATGGGCACTTTTCTGAACATCAACTGTATGCCCACCTATGCCAATTTATTTTCATGGTTATTTTATCTGTACACTATATATGTGAAGTACTAGTGTCATTACCCTATTTCCTACTTTTATTTATCCAAAGAGACACTTAACTGCTTTACAAGACAAAGTGTAGAGCGCTCCTTGTCAGTTCTCTGTCACAGAGATGATAAATTCAGAAGATAAAATACCGAGGCCATATAAGGGCATTGACTCTGTATCCCTGGACTCTCTAAGCGCACACACTACCGACTATACCATGATGAGAGGCTGTATGATGGGACAAACCCCATCACTGGACTCTCCAAGCACACACACACTACCGACTATCTCAACATGGTTCAGTTGGTCGTGTGTGTGCCAGGGGAGTCCTTGGATGTGGGTTCCATCCCATCATACTACATCAATATTTTATCACAGAGATCACATTCTTGTGACATCGTTGTGCATGTTAAATTCACTAAATAAAGATGGAAGCACTAAGTGCTTCCAACTTTATTTAGTGAATTTAACATGGTTCCAACCATCTCTCATTCACTATAAACACAATCCCTGCTTACTCCCATACTCACACTCTCACCATGTCTGACCATCTGCCTCACACACTCACCATATCTGACCATCTGCCTCACACAAGGAGAGAACCCCCTGCACGTGAAGCCGCACCTGGCCGATATCATGAGAAAGCACGGGGGTAAACAAGCACACATTGAGGTGCTACAACTCGTCCCCCAGGTAAACCGAACAACTGTAGTCAACTCCCGCCAGTCAAGCGTGTGGGTCTGACAGAACGGGTAACACACCCAGTAAAGAAACGTTACGTCACATTTGTTAGAAAGATTTGAGCATTTAAGTATATACTGTGAAAGGGAAGAGTCCACAGCAACAAAGCCAGGACTCAAGTTCATGTTGGGTACATTGTGTATTAGAGCCAATTCAACAAGACGGCGTCTGTGTAGAGTAGAGGCAGGAAAGATTATTTTGGAGGAAGACCAATCAATGGGATGATCCATTGATTGGTCCAATCATCCTATTGATTGGTCTTCCTCCAAAATAATCTTTCCTGCCTCTACTCTACACAGACGCCGTCTTGTTGAATTGGCTCTAATACACAATGTACCCAACATGAACTTGAGTCCTGGCTTTGTTGCTGTGGACTCTTTCCTTTCACAGTATATACTCAAATGCTTTAATCTTTCTAACAAACGTGACCTAACATAAGCCTACCCCCTTCCATTTATCTTTCTTTCTCTTTCCTTTTCTTTCTCTTTCCTTTTCTTTCTCTCTTCTCTCTTTTTTTCTGTCCATTGTCTTCTACGTTCCCTTGCTATCCTCTTCTTATTCCTCTTATTATCTCTTATCTCCTTCGCATTCGGTGGTTAATAGGAGCTGCCTCGCATGGGCCAATAGGCTCTCTGCAGTTCGTTTTCCTATTATCCCCTCTACTACATCTTTCCTCCTCACCCCTCTCTTGCCTATTTATCGCCTGTCTCTACTTCCTCATCACAATCGACTTGAGAATGGTCCAGGACGGACCGAAACGTCGTCGTCCCTTCACCTTCTAGTGTGTGGTCTGGTCAACTACTTTTCTGGGTGCCTGACCTTGAGGTTATCTCGAGATGACCTGGTAGATGTCAGACATAGACTGCTTTCAATTACACATGTGCATGTGGGATGTCTATAGGCCATTGCCCCACGTGCCTCTCTTGAGGGGACCCGGTTCTGGCTCTGGTCCCCGGTAGGCCTAGAACTCCAATTGACTGTTGCCACAGTCTAATATATACACTTCAGCCCGGCATAGCTCTGGGGAGCCGGAAGGGTTCTCCACAGAAGATGCAAGGTTTTGCTTAGCCAGAAATGTACAAACCCAACCCACCCATCTAACATATCAAGGCCAATGCTCAGAAAATGATAAATTATTACTGTGTTTTAATCTTTCACAGTAAGTCACACTGTTAATGGATTGGACGCTTGTGACAACGTGCATCCTCATTAAACAACACACTCACTAACCTAGTAGTCCAAAAACCTGAGCAAGGAAAATGTTCATCTGGAAGGGCAGAGAGTCGTCCACAGTGTAGAGATCTGAAGAAAACCGGTTTAAGATCCGACCCATTGGGTTGTTGTCGAAGAATGTCATTTTTGCCTGTAAAGAGATTATTATAATATAGTAAGCTACCAGAAAATTATGATATAGTTTGGTACCAGAACAAATTTAATACAGTAATGATTGACTGATTGATGAAGATTAAGCCACCCAAGAGGTGGCACGGGCATGAATAGCCTGTAATAATAGAGTAAGCTATTAGAAAATTATTATACAGTAACCCTTACAAAAATGGGTGGAATGTACAAAATATAGAGACTTTACACTTAAAAAAAAAAAACTCAATGCTTGGTAGCACAATATTAATTTAGTAGAGGGCCTGAGGAAGAAGACAACAACCAAACCTGACTTTAGCTAGGCCTAGTGCCGACCTATCAGTGACTCTGGGGAGTGAGATCTAACTCCGTGTGCCCCACCTCCCAATCATCTATACCCGCCATTCTAATTACCTCTCTCAACATTAACATTTTCAGTATATTTTTTTTTAAAGTTGTGGATGGAATTGGCTTCAACAACTTCTTCCTTCAATGTATTCCACTTGCTGACCACTCTTACAGGGAACAAGAACTTCCTTACACCTCTGCAACTCAATAGACTGTTCAGCTTCCACCAATGTCACATTGTCCTACCTTGTATAGTACCCTGTATAATACCTTGTATAATACAGCTCTACTAAATTAGGCCTGATATTGCTTATATAAGGCCTAAGAAAATTTAGTTTTGGTTTAATATTAGTCTGATTCACTTTTTGTTATGTCCTTTAAACTCTCAATAGTACAAAGTGTGGATTTCTGGAGAAGTCCTCAAGGTGACTTCTTGCAGCTATCTCGCTGAGATTGCTCCGAGTTACTGGGTGACACCAGCCGCAGGAGCACTGTTTGGCTTACCAGAGACCATAACCAGAACCAGGCGCGCCTCATACTCTGGTACAGAGTGTGAGTGACAGTTCACCAACCCACCAGGAAAACAAACAGAAAGCACACGAAGCTTTACTGTACAGACAACTGCATGGTTCACAAAACAAGAAGGCACAAAACTACCGAACAACTCGGCCAATGATTCAAACAAGAATTAGATATGAACTTAAAATGGAAAACTAAAACTCTCGGTTAAACCTACAAAAATATTCCTATTATCACGCACCTCAACATCTTAAACACACTTACGTAAAGAACAACATCCAGGAGTTGTCTGTGGAGGGCTTTAGCGGCACAGATGCCTCCGTAGGCAAAGAGGAAAGCTCTCATTAAGGTAAAGATAGAGTTGGATGCTGCCAAAATCCCATAGACAGTAAGGTAGAACTTGGTGCTGGGATCCACCGCCGTAGAAAAATCTGCTCCAGATGATTCTTGTGCTGCCACAAACTGTTAGAAAATAAAATATTAGCCGCACTTTATGTTAGGATAAAATATTTCGAGACTTTCTTACATATAATAAAAGCTTTCACACCTGAAGCAATATAATGAGAGGAAGGAATGTTAATATGAAAGTTATAAAAGAAAGGACTGGTATTACTACAGTACTCCCAGTCCTGACAAATGGAGGCGAAGCTTAGGTATGGAAAGGTATCGAGTGCTCAGGAGAACAAGCACCAGACCAGATGGAGTTTCACCTTGGATGCTGGGAGAATATACTCCTGAGCTAAGAATTCCACTTCAACTGATATTCCAGACAGCTTTGTGTCCAGGATAGATTATAGACCAGTATCATTAACAAGCGTGGTAGTCAAAACACTACAAAAATAGTTAAAATCAAATAAATAAAATACCTGGAGAAAATCAGACACAGTATGGCTTTCGAACAGGAAGATCCTGTGTAACAAATCTACTTTGCTTCCATGATTAGAGCCACAGAGGTTATACTTGGATTGTACCTGGATGGGGTTCGGGGAGTTCTTCTACTCCCTCAAGCCTGAGACCTGGCTGTGAGAGTTTGGTCCAGCAGGTTAGAGCCAAAAATTGGAGCGGTCCGAAAGCTCACATATCCACTACATCTCGGTTGGTCTATTATTTCTTGCAGAAAACTATCTAGCTTTTTCTTTAAAACTTCCCATTTTGTTCCGGCAATATTTCTTAAAATTGCTGGGAGAATACTGAACAACCGTAGACCTCTGATGTTCAAACAGTGTCTTTTGATTGTACCTATGGCACCTCTACTCTTCACTAGCTCTATTCTGCATTTCCTTCCATATCATTCAATCCAATATGCTGTAATTTTACTGTGCAAATTAGGGACAGTAAAATAACAACATTCTGTAGTGAACGATATGAAAGGAAATGTAGTATAAAGCCAGTGAAGAGTTGAGGTGCTATATATGTCAGTTTCTACTAGAAAAAGATGGTTGGATTGACTGTTTATCCGGACCTAAAAACTGATTTTGACAAGAGTCCCACACACACAAGGGGTTGTTTTGGAAACTAGAACATGCTGAAGGGGTGACAGGAAGACTTCTGACATGGATGAAAAATTTTCTAACTGCCAGAAAGATGAGGGCAGTAACCAAAGGCAATATATCCGACTGGAGGAGTGTTACTAGCCGAGTACCACAGGGTTTAGTTCTTGCACCAGTAACGTTTATCGTCTACATACATGATTTACTAGAAGGAATACAGAATTATATGAACATGTTTGCTGATGATGCAGACCTACTAGGGAAGATGGAAGACCTAGACAATTGCCATGCCCTTCAAAATAACCTAAACAAAATAAGTGCATGGAGTACCACGTAGCAAATGGAATTCAGTGTGAATAAATGCCATGTTATGGAATGTGGAATAGGAGAAATAGGCCACACACAACCTACAAATTATGTTGAAAGGAATTAAAGAGCTCTAACAAAGAAAGAGATCTTGGGATGGTTTTGGGCAGTAGATCATCACCAGAGGAACACAAAGAACATTGTGAGAGGAGCATATGCATCACTTTCCAACTTCAGAATGACTTTTAATTATATGGATGGTGAAATACTAAAGAAAACTGTTCATGACTTTTGTGAGACCAAAATTGGAATATGCAACAGTTGTATGGTGACCGTATCTCAAGAAGCACATTGATAAACTGGAAAAAGGTGCTAAGACATACAACAAAATGGTTTCTGGAACCAAAAGACAAGAAATACGAGGAGAGACTAGAGGCATTAATTATGCCAAAACTAGAAGAAATAAGAAAAAGAGGCAATATGATCACTACATACAAAACTGTAACAAGAATCGACAAAATTGATAAAGAATAATTTTTTATACCCGGAACTTCAAGAACAAAGAAACCATACATTTAAGCTAACTAAATAAACTTGCCATAAAAACATTAGAATGTTTACTTTTGCAAACAGTGGTAGACAGTTGGAACATGCTAAGTGAGAAGGTGGTGGAGACCAAAACCTTTAAAGTGTTATACGACAGAGTACTGGGAAGACAGGACACCACGAACGTAGCTCTCATCCTGTAACTACACTTAGGTAATTACACTTAGGAACTACACTTAGGTAATCATACACTCCTCCCCAACAAAATATATTATTATTATATTAGTATTAACTGCTCAAATTCTGATTTTTTTTTAATATACACAGTCAACTAAACAATTTTGTGAATTAAAAGTTCTACAGTGTGATATGCATGAAAAAACCAGCGTTGAATGTAATGAAACGCCATTTTCTGGGTGAGTCCCGGAGGCTCCCCGGAGCTATCCCAGGCTGATATGCTAATGTCAGACTTTGGCATCAGTCATGTGTATGGAGTTCTTAGGCCTACCGGGGACCACGGCCAGAACCGGGCCCCCTCAGAGAGGCAAGGGGAGCAATGGCCTATAGAAGCCCCCGTGTAGTTGGAAGCATTCTATGTCTGCCATCGACCGGAACAGGCACCCAGAAAGGTAAGCGCCCCAAAACAAACCCCTATTCTGGTTAAAATTGCTACCTAATACCGAACTAGTGGATAGAACTCCCCAACCGAAAACAAGCAAATTAGTGTGATGTCACACACTGCCGCGCCGCTGTCTGCGCAGCTCCCCCCTCCCCGGGAGGGGGAAGGGGGAGCCCCAGACCCCCCGCGCCGGCTACCCACACCTCAGTTCTTGAGGCTGGATGTCAAAAACGCGAAAAACCGCCGACCGGAGGGAGGGAGGGATGCCGGGGAGCCTCCGGGACTCACCCAGAAAATGGCGTTTCATTACATTCAACGCTGGTTTTCTGGGGGGAGCCCCGTCGGCTCCCCGGAGCTAACTACCCACAGACAGAAAAAGAGGGACTTACCCGGGAGGCGGTCGTCGCTCACCCCTCAACTCGAAACCGAGACAACTGGCTGCAACCGCCGACCCAAAGCAACACAGGCCCGACGAGGGCCAGGGACATTCACAAGGTAACGAGCAGCCAGGACCCTGTTCGACCGCCAAAATCCCCGCGCCCGAATATCAGACCAAGACATATTCCCAAAGACGGCAGCAAGAGCCGCGAACTTACGAACGTCATGGGCACGGGGATAGACCGCAGGCTGGCTAGACCTAATAACCCTGCGGACGACCTGAGAGACCCGAACCCGCGAACAGGGAAGAAGGGAAACCGGATCAACCCACAGCGCGTCCCCGGACACAGAAGCTGTGGCGCGCAAATAACGGCGAAGCGCCGCAACCGGACACAAAACATGATGCACCCCCGGCCTGACCAACCAAGCATCAACCACCCATGGACCCCTCCGGAACGCAGCAGTCTCATTCTTCGCCAGAAAAGAAGGAGACGGCTGCAAACGAACAAAACTATCACCACGACCAAAAGAGCAGAAACCCCTGCGCCGGAGGAGAGCATGAAGCTCCCCTACCCGACCCCCAGAGGCCAAAGCCAACAAGAAAAGTGCCTTGGAAAAACAATCCTGGACCGAAGGGGCCACAACGAAACGAGGAGATGAAAGGAAAGCGAGCACTCTGTCCAAAGACCAGGACGGCTCAGGCGACGCATGAGCAGGCCGGAGGTGAAACAATGCACGAGACAGCTTGCGAAACGGCGCAGACGTAACATCGATACCGAAAGCAAGCTGAAGCGGCTCCGCCAGCGCCGCACGATACGAAGCGACAGTGTTAGGCATAAGATGACGGTCCTGAAACAACCACGAGAGGAAGGACAAGACCACCCGAACAGACAAGGAGCTAACACGACGAAGACGCAAAAAGAAACGGAAGGACCGCCAGGAAACTTCATACTGCCGCCGAGAAGAAGCCCTCAGGTGGGACACCAACAAGGAGGCCACCTGATCACCATAGAGATGATGATAGACTCGAGTCAAAAAAACCATACGCGAAGACTCGAGGAGAAGATCGAACCAGCTGAGCACACGACCATCGCCCATAGCATCAGCCTCAAGAACTGAGGTGTGGGTAGCCGGCGCGGGGGGTCTGGGGCTCCCCCTTCCCCCTCCCGGGGAGGGGGGAGCTGCGCAGACAGCGGCGCGGCAGTGTGTGACGTCACACTAATTTGCTTGTTTTCGGTTGGGGAGTTCTATCCACTAGTTCGGTATTAGGTAGCAATTTTAACCAGAATAGGGGTTTGTTTTGGGGCGCTTACCTTTCTGGGTGCCTGTTCCGGTCGATGGCAGACATAGAATGCTTCCAACTACACGGGGGCTTCTATAGGCCATTGCTCCCCTTGCCTCTCTGAGGGGGCCCGGTTCTGGCCGTGGTCCCCGGTAGGCCTAAGAACTCCATACACATGACTGATGCCAAAGTCTGACATTAGCATATCAGCCTGGGATAGCTCCGGGGAGCCGACGGGGCTCCCCCCAGAAAACTAGCATTGAATGTAATGAAATGGTAGAGCCCCGGTAGCTCCCAAGTGCTCTCTCTCAGACTGCTCCATTTAAGGGTTCACGACAGTCACCTGCACAGCTCTGAACAGTTACAGCTGTTCAATTTTGCCTACCACAGATCAAAGCCAGAATCTGGCTCTCTCACAGAGGCACAGTAGGCCTATGCTATTAAGTGTCTAATTACATGTCAGCAGTTACACAAATATTTGTGCAACTTTTTTAATTTTGACCGGCTGGCATTTCCAAGTTATCGGCTCTGGACTGGCAAGGTTCATGCTTCAATTATACCAATGCTCCTTTGGTCTTTTTCCCTTCCAATTCCCCAACATTTTGTCCTTAAATGAAACATTAGTATTGGGTTAACATGTTAGATTGACATTTCACTATTGTGTGATTTCTCACTGTTCCCCTTAGATCACATTTAATAACTACTTTACTTTTAATTATTTTTTTTCAATCACGGGCTGCCCTCACACATTCTTGTCTGTGGGCTTTAACCGAGGCCCACTATCTCTAGTGACCTCAACAGAGACAGGAGTGCAGCAGCTCATTAAAAAAAGAAAGTCGCCCATTCTTACAGTTAGGTTAGGGTATATCAAGATGGTGCAGGGAGAGGAAGGGGGATGGGTGATGAGGGGCAGGTGGGTTACAGCTTCAATGTATACAATTACCACACTATACATACCTGACTGGTTGGTTTGAAGGAAAAATTGGAACCATTTCCAGTGTGTAACCACGACCCGGTATCATCATCATCAAGTACCCTCAATCCGGAGCTGGAAAGGTAATGCAATAATATACTGTAAGATCACTCTTTAATATAAATAACAATGACAATTGTAACAGAAAAACAATAATAGATGCCACAGACTGATATATCATTACAGTGTACTTTTGTTTAATTTCATGTGTGTGTGTTGGGGAGGGGAAAGGTTGGATTATTGGTTTTCAGCCTAGTTACTTGAAGTACAGTATACCTGGAGTGGGTTCTGAGAGTTCTTCTACCTCCTGAGCCCTGTCTGAGGCCAGGTTTGTCTTGTGATAACTTCATCATGGAAGGTAATGCAGTCACACATACCCATAACAACCCAACTGGTCTACCACTTCCTCAAGCAACTTATCTACTGGTTTTCTCAACACAACTGCATTCTGAACAATGCACAATTGTTTTGTCTATATTTCTTATATTTCTTATTGGAACTTACTTTGTATAAATCAGCTCAAATCATACTAACCTGTTTTCCTTATGAACTTGTGACACCCAGTGAGCCAACCACATGTCGGTCAGGTTGCGGGAGGCCTGCATGAGTATCATGGAGAAGAAGACAGTGGCGGAGAGCATTCCACCCACCGAAGTGATGTAAGTCCAGTAAACAGCACCACTCAACTCTCCATAATCCCGCTCTTCCTCAGTAGTGCTCTGAAAAAGAAAACACTCTACTCTATACACATTCCTCTAGCATCGGTATGTTGTGGCACTTGATTACATGCTTTGAATAAAATATTACTGATAAATAAAGTTAGCTTCTCGTATAATATTAAGTACTTCCCTAATCAGTTTGAAACACAGCTGACTAAATAATTGTAAGATAGGCCTAAAATGCTGTGCATAATTAGTGACTTTATGTAACAAATAATTACTGCCCCTGCTGTCACCAATGTACTATGTGTCTTTAAATAGGGTTCAATTCTGAGTACCCAATGCCCCTGCTGTTACAAGACCCAGTCCAACACCTTAACATCATGGTCATACCCTTAGCGTTGTGTCAATACTCTTGCTATGTCCTGTAGCAAATATATCCAAGGAGTGCTTACTAGCAACCGCCCCGGATAATTGATTATTCGTGGCCTCATCCCACCAGTCATCTGAAATTTCCTCTTCTGAGACAAGCTTTGGCAAGAGAACTGCAGGAGGTCCTGCAACAAACATTAAAATTAATATTTACTAAAGTAGTTTAGGGCTCTAATAGTAATCATATAATCATGGCTCTAAAAGTAATATAATCAATCACATTAAACATCCAGGATTTTTACTGATAACATTTATGTAGTGAGACACAGTATACAGAGAATAAGTCACAATAATGTGTGTAATAACAAATAACCCGATGTTTCTCTCTATTCTGGAGATGTGAGGTGACGAGGATCCTAGACCGAAGTTGTCACTTTCTCTTTTTTTCACTTAAGTGAGTTGGGTTATTTATATACAGTAGATACAATCAATTGAAAACAAGAGGAAGAGGAAATCCATGAATATATGCAGATCTAATGAATGGATATGAGGATAGGTCATGGAAGACCAAGAACCCAGCAGGCAAAAAACCAGCGTTGAATGTAATGAAACGCCATTTTCTGGGTGAGCCCCGGAGGCTCCCTGGAGCTTATCGGGCTAATGTGTGTTATGTTAGACCAGGACATTAGCTATGGAGTTCAGACCTACCAGAGACCAGCGCCAGAGGTTTCAGAGAGGTTTCAGGGAGCAATGGCCCTGGAAAACCCCATATGGTTGGGGGTTTTCCTTATCTGCCATCGACCGGGGTTAGGCACCCAGAAAGGTAGGCGTAACAAAACAAACCCCACATGGTAAAAAACTACAACAAAAACCGAACAGAGAGGTAGAAAACTCCCTACAATCCCAAGGAAAACAATCAAATAATCAATTTATTGCCGCGCCGGTCGTCCGCGCAGCCCTCCTCTCCCCGGGAGGGGGAGGGGGGGGCCCCGGACCTCACCACGCCGGCTGCCGTCAGTTCGGAAACTAGGCTTCAACCAACGCGAAAAATCCCGCCGACCGGATGGGAGGGAGGGTATCCAGGGAGCCTCCGGGGCTCACCCAGAAAATGGCGTTTCATTACATTCAACGCTGGTTTTCTGGGGGAGCCCCTACGGCTCCCTGGAGCTACATACCCAAAGAGAAGGAAAAATGGGACTTACCCGGGAGGCGGTGGCCACAAACTCCTCAACTCGAAGTCGAGACAACTGGCTGCAACCTGCGACCCAAAGCAACACAAGAATGACGAGGAGCAGGGACATTCACCAAATAACGGGAGGCCAGGACCCTGTTCGACTTCCAAAATCCACGCGCCCGAATATGAGCCCAAGACATATTACCAAACACGGCAGCCAAAGCCGCAAACTTCCTAACGTCATGGGCGCGAGGATAGACCGCAGGCTGGCTAGATTTAATAACCCTGCGGACAACCTGGGAGACCCGAGCCCTGGAACAGGGAACGAGGGAAACCGGATCAACCCAAAGCGCATCCCCAGCCACTCCGGCCGAAGCGCGCAGGTAACGGCGAAGTGCAGCAACAGGACACAACACATGATGCACCCGCGGCCGAACCAACCAAGCATCAATGACCCACGGACCCCTCCGGAAAGCAGCCGTCTCGTTCTTCGCCAGAAAGGACGGAGAAGGCTGCAAACGGACAAACCTACCCCCAGGACCAAAAGAGCAGTAACCCCTGCGCCGGAGGAGAACATGAAGCTCCCCTACCCGGCCCCCAGAGGCCAATGCCAACAAAAACAAAGCCTTGGAAAAACAATCAGGAACCGAAGGGGCCACCACAAACCGAGGAGAGGAAAGATAGGAGAGCACCCTGTCCAAGGACCAGGACGGCTGAGGCGGCGCATGAGCAGGCCGAAGGTGAAACATAGCACGGGAAAGCTTACGAAACGGGGCGGATGTGACGTCCACCCCGAAAGCGAGCTGGAGCGGCTCCGCCAGCGCCGCACGATACGAGGCGACAGTATTAGGCATCAAATGACGGTCCTGAAAAAGCCAAGTAAGGAAGGACAAAACAACCCGATCCGAAAGAAAAGACAACCTACGAAGAGCCAGAAAATGGCGAAAGGAACGCCAGGAAACTTCATACTGTCGCCTAGACGAAGCTCTCAGGTGGGACACCATCAAAGAAGCCACCTGATCACCATAGAAATGGTGATACACCCGCGTCAAAAAGACCAGACGCGAAGAGCAGAGGAGAAGGTCGAACCAGCCCCGTACCGGATCGGGCCGACCTGCTGAAAGAGGCGGAGCCGCGGGAAACGTCCCGGGTTCGGGCACCGAGCCAAAAGCACCGGAAACCAAGGCTGGGCCGGCCACCAAGGGGCCACGAGGACTACTCTCCCCGGGAATGTCTCTAACCGAACCAGAACCCGAAGCAACAGCTGGACCGGAGGAAAAAGGTACAGGTAACCCCACCTCGACCAGTCCTGCCGAAAGGCATCCACCGCGAACGCCTCGCAGTCGGGGAAGGGCGTCACATATAGAGGGAGACGCCGGGACCACGCCGACGCGAAGAGGTCCACATCTGGGAGACCGTATGTCTGGCAGATCCAACGAAACGAGTCGTCGTCGACCGTCCATTCCGTGGACAGGGGAAGGAAGCGAGACAGACCGTCCGCCAGAACGTTTGACACTCCCCGGACGTGAACCGCACGGAGAGCCAAACCCCGAGAATCCAGCAGACGAACCACTCGAAGGGACCAACCCCAAAGAGCCAAGGACCGAAGAGAACCCCCGCGGTTCAGGCAATGAACCACTGGAGAACAGTCCGAATGGAGGCGAATGGTCGATCCCCGAGCGACCCGAATCCTCCGAAGCGCGAACCAGACAGCCGCGAACTCCCGAACCGTGCTGTGAGCCCGATGGAAGGACGGACCCCACCGTCCCTGGCCTGCCTGGTGAGCACTGGTCACAAAGCCCCAGCCGAGAGACGACGCGTCCGTGAACACATCGAGCGAGGGCTCGGGAAGGCGCCAAGGCACCGAACCCCGAAAAATCCGAAGAGGAAGACGGTGACGCAGCAACCGACATAAGACCCCCGGAGGGCGAACCCAACGATCGCGAGAGAGGCGGAAAGGACGTCCCCGAAGGAACCAAAACAGACGCCGAAGCCAAACCCGACCCGGCGGGTAGACTAGCATGGCGAAGTTCAGACTCCCGCACAACCGCTCGAGCAACTGCCGAGTGACCCGGGACCCCCTCAGAAACAGCAAACGGCGGTCCCGCAGCCGCCGCAACGCCACCGGAGGGAGAGACAAGGAAGCGGTCCGAGAATCCCAAATAAGACCCAGCCAGGTCCGAACCTGGGACGGAACCAGATGGGACTTCCTCCAGTTCACCAGGAACCCGAACCTGGCGAGCTGGGAAAGAACCAAATCCCTGGCGAGCAGACAAGCTGACCGACTGGGAGCCCACACCAGCCAGTCGTCGAGGTAGGCCAAAACCCGAATCCCTAGAAGACGCAGACGGGTCACCACAACTCGGGTCAGACGCGTGAAAACGCGAGGTGCCAGATTCAGGCCAAAAGGTAGGCATCGAAAACGGTAAGCGTGACGCCCTACCACGAAGCCTAACCAGTCCCTGAACCCCGGATGAATAGGAACGTGCCAATACGCGTCCTTGAGGTCCAGGGACACCATCCAGGCACCCGGCTCCAACAGAAGCCGGACCTGAGACAGAGTAGTCATCCGAAAGGAGGGGCAAGGAATCCAGGGGTTCAGACGGGACAAGTCCAGAATGAACCTCAGATCCGCACAGTCCCGTTTCGGCACTGGAAACAGGCGGGAAACCCACCTGAGGGACGTAGTCGGTTCGACCACGCCCAAGCGCACCCACTCCAAGATGACTTGACGAAGCGCAGGAGAAGAGACCTGCCCTGTTAGCCCCGAACCCCCCAAAGGAGGACGAGTCGCCCAACGCCACCGCAGGCCGGATGACACGACCGAAAAGGCCCACAAATCGTGGGACCAAGCGTGGGCAAACAGAGCGAGCCTCCCCCCCATCGCCCCGTCAACGGGGCAAACCGCGAAAGGGCCGACGCCCCGTACGAGAACCCAACCGTCGAACAGGGCGAACACTGCGCCGCCCAGACGACGCTGGCCCCAAAGGGAACAACGGCTCAGAAACTGGCACCAAAGGCCCACCTCGACCAGCGGAAACCGAAACCCTGGCACGACCCCTCCGAAACTGCCGAGAACGACTGCTCCGGAGAATCAACAAGTCCTCCATAGGACGACAACTAGCCGAAGCCGCATGCAGAAACTGGGACACTGCAGACTCTGCAAACAGCAAACGGACAAAAAGGAGACGAAAACCTAAGAGCCAGGGCCCAAGCGGAATCCAAAGAGAGGGCGAGCACAGCCTGACGGCACGCGAGGCGAGAAGCAAAAAACAGAGACACCGCTTCCTTCAGGATGGGCGCAAAGAGCTTCAACAGTGCAGCCGACGCCCTAGCTGCCGAAGAAAGCGCCCCGGACAAAGGCCCTTTACTCAACGCTCCCACATCCTCCTCGAGCCAAGCAGAAGAGAGCTCGAGAAGGGAAAAGAAACGCAAGACCGAAGCCAAATGCCCACGGGAGCGCAACTCCTCCGCAACCAATGAAGCCGAAAGCTGAGGAACCTGCACGTGAAGCTGGAAAAGGCCAACATCCCGAGAAAGCACAGGAGCGAATAAGCACGCATTAAGGTGCTCAAACTCGCCCCCCAGGTAAACCTGCATAAAAGTAGCAGTCTCCTGCCAATCAAGCGTGCGGGTCCGACAGAACCCATGCCACGCCCCCAACGAAAAGAAAGGGCAGTCTGCTAGCCAGGAAGACCCCGGAACCTCCAAACGCACCCAAAAACGGGAAGAAGAACCGAACTCAAACGAGGACGGATCCATTGGGGAGGCATAACCCGGGTCTCGCAAGAGGTATGCAGCAAGAGCTTCCCGAGCCACCTTCGCGGAGAGACGGGAAGTAGCAAACCCCTGTAAAGACGGAGCCGAGGTACCCAAAGGTGCCCGGAACCGAACCCGGGGAGGAGCCGAACCCAAATCATACTCATACAGGGAGGGATGGTAAGAAAACGCCTCCCCCTGCAACAATAAACCCCGTGGGGAAGGCAAAAGCACCCAAGCGGGGTCACAGGGGGCCCAAGGCCCCCAGGCCGACTCCTCCCCAGCCCCAGGATCCCTTACGTCGGGACCCGGGGCAGAGCCGTCCTCCAAACCCTCTACCCCTGAAGAAAAGGTAGAGTCCAAGGGAAAGGCAGACAAGGGGGCCTGCTGGTGGGACCCAGAAGCCTCGGCAGGAGGAACCGGCTCAAATGCCTCCGTCCCCGACCCGGATGGGGCAGCCCCCGAAGCAGCCCGAGTCTCTCCACCAACTAAATCCTGTGCCAAGGCCGAAAACCGCATACATTTCGGAGCCGGACACAGGGGGGGTGGTGCAGGAAGAACCACAGGGGAAGGACCAGAGGGCGTAGGAGTCAAAGCCATAGCAATCAACGCCCCCAGGTCCGGGTCCCTAAAGCCAAAACGGGGCAGCCTCGGGGCATCCAGGCGGGAAACCGACCTAGCGCGTTGCAATAACCTAAATCTAACATGCAACGCTGATGCTGCCTGTACTCTAATAGGAACATCCTCAGAGTAAAACCTGAGCACAAGCAGAGAACAGGACTCGCAAGACTCCGGGTCAAAGGTGTCATTGACCCAACAGGCAGCATGACGGAGGCAAAACAGGTGACTGTCACCCTGAGACAAGGGCACACTGCAACCTTCAAACCCGCACAAGGCAGGCTGGAACTCGGGAGACGCATCCATGGGTCCCCGAGCCCCGACAGGGGTTTCCAGGGCCCGTAGGATAGCAACTACGGGAAGCCCGGGCAAGGTGTTGCTAACCGGTTAAGAAACCCAAACAAAACACGGGTAAATGATAATACTGTACTGAAAACCCCTGGGACGTGTACAAGCACGGGGGCCTAGCAGAGGGCCACCAAAACAATACCAGGGGAACTATGGGCCCACGACGCAGCACCTCCACCAGGCAACCAAAAACAAAACAAAACAAAAACCCCGCAAAAGTACACCGACCCCAGAGCAACAGGAACCGGTCGCCGCTTAGGTGGCAGGCCGCGCAACACCTTGACGCCCTAACCAGCACAAAACCACACCCTACCCAAGGCCAAACAAGGGCCCCCAAGCCCCAGCTGGCCCCAAGGGCGAGGCAAATGCCGAGCAGCAAAAACCTCTACGGGAGCGGTTCCCGAACGCCCCAGAGAAGATAACCCTGACACGCAAGGGCAGTACTCACAGGGCGCCTAGGGAAGGAAGCCCTAGACGCATGCAGCCCCGGCACTGATGAAGTACTCCTGGCCACCGCACACCACAACAACAGCAGAGAACGCCACACGAGGCAAACACCGCCAAGGAATTTGAGGCCAGAGAAGCGTCTATCCCGGTTGACACTAGCTTGCGAACTGGCGGCAGCCGGCGTGGTGAGGTCCGGGGGCCCCCCCCCCCTCCCCCTCCCGGGGAGGGGAGGGCTGCGCGGACGACCGGCACGGCAGTAAATTGATTATTTGATTGTTTTCCTTGGGATTGTAGGGAGTTTTCTACCTCTCTGTTCGGTTTTTGTTGTAGTTTTTTACCATGTGGGGTTTGTTTTGTTACGCCTACCTTTCTGGGTGCCTAACCCCGGTCGATGGCAGATAAGGAAAACCCCCAACCATATGGGGTTTTCCAGGGCCATTGCTCCCTGAAACCTCTCTGAAGGGGCCAGGTTCTGGCGCTGGTCCCTGGTAGGTCTGAACTCCATAGCTAATGTCCCGGTCTAACATAACACACATTAGCCCGATAAGCTCCAGGGAGCCGTAGGGGCTCCCCCCAGAAAAATGCTCGAGAAATGTTAAATCGACATAGGATCAACATCATCAATGTTGATTCAATGTTATCACCACTGTCCTTTAACCACATTTGCCTGGAAGAAAGGGGTAAATAAGATATAGTGCGGTGTGAGGCAGTAAGAAGATATAATGAACGCATTACTCAAGAAATAGCAGTGAATGGGAACACTTTGACTGGACAGAATGAAGGATGATAATTTTTTGTTATTCATGCAGGGTACTGCTCACCAAATCTACAAAATCACCAGTATAACTAACCGATCTCTTGATTAATTAGCCAAACACGATTACCACCTCCGAAGGATACAGTACCTGATCAACCGGGCTGTGACTCGTATGTCAGACTGCAAGCAGCTGTGCTTAACAGCCTGGTTTACCAAACCACCAACCAGGAGGCCCGGTAAGAGATGAGAGACAATAGGAAAAAACAGGTAAACAGGTAATGGCTGTAAATATTTTGGTACAGTGTGGTGGTATTAGTTGATATTGTGCATTTGTTGACATTGTGTACTGGTATAGTGCAGTAGTATTAGCTCCCCATAATACTCATAGATGAAAAATGAGGACCTTCACCAATTATGTCCTCATAATTGGGGGGAGTTCATTAGGGGGGTTTCAAGGCTTCAGTCTCTTTTGAACCCAGCAATGGTTTGTTTTGACTCGCTGATTTTCTAGATGCCTTCCCAGTGAGGTGGTGAAATGTCACTGCTTCCTGTGCCTCTGTGAGAAGGGAGGGGGGGGGCAGGTTCTGGTTCTTGTTCTTGTTCTCGGTAGGCCTAAGAACTCCACGGTTGATGCAAACTGGTACATGGGATCCATCATAGTGTATAGGTTCAGGTCGCCACAAGGGACTCTCCCAGAAACAAGTGTTAAATGTAATGAAACACCTCTTTCTGGAGAATTCCTGATGGTTCCCTGAAGCTGTCTTGCTGAGATATGTCTCAACTACTAGTTCACATCAGCCATAAAGCTCTGGTTGGCCTACCGGAAATCAAAGTCAGAGCTTGGCTCCCTGACAGAGGTGCAGGGCGCCAGTGGCACTCCGCCACCCCACTGGGAAAGTATCCAGAAAGTCAGCAAACCAATAAAGACCAGTACTGGGCTCAAAGTGACTGAAGCCTCAAAACTGCCAAATGGACTCTCCAAACCATGTAAACAAATGATGGAATCTCTTTGAGACTTGTGCAAGCTCGGCAGCATTAACCCCTTAATCAGTAAAGAGGGTTGGGGAGAGCAGCCAAGAGTTCCAGGTCTCCCCCAGCCTTCCAAGCCAGTTCTGGAGCAGATGTAACCAACCAACTGACAAAGTGAGTGAGGGAGAAAGGGAGGGGATCAGGGAGCCACTGGTATTTATCCTGAAAGAGGCATTTCATTATATTCAAAGCTGGTTTTCGTGGGGTGCCCCTTGTGGCTTCCTAAATCTAAATACCCCATGGAGAAGAAAGACAAGAGACACGCCAAGGAGAGGAGACTGCAGTTTTCAAGATGAAGAAGAGAAAATTAGCAGAGAGGTGACCCAGGGCAACACAAACATGATGAGGCCCCTGGAACCTGCCGCAGAGACCTGCCGCCCTTTGAATGGGAACATTAATTACATTCTGTTTAGCCAACTGGTGACCAATAGGCTAAACAGAACCTGAGCAAATAATGTGAATTTTAGTATGGAGCAATCTCGGCAAGCTAGCATCAGAGAGCCACTGGCGGGTTTCCCCACAAAACACAACAGTAATTAAAAAATATAATAAAGCTCATCTTACCCTGAGAGTCTATTTCTCCATTTTTGATGTTAATGATCCAGTCGACCCTGGTGAGGAGGTTGATATTGTTCGTAGCAATTAGCACTGTTTTGCCTGCCAGAAATCCATGAATACAGTGTCGCATGATGTGTTGAGCAACCGGCCCATCCACCGCAGACAGCATGTCATCCAGTAGATAAATGCTCTTGTTCTAAAAATAACAAATTGTCTATAGTAACCAGGTTGACAATTTTATAAGCTTTAATTAAATGAGTCTTAAGCTAACCACACAGTCTGAGGCAAATGATTATTTATCTCACTATACTCTTCCTCAATGAAACCCACTTTGTTCACCTTGTTCATCTTGTTCATCATGAAGCTCTCAGTTATCTCCTGTACCTCCAGCAGTGCAAGCTGGAGCTCCAGCTTGCACTGCTCGCATACCAACAAATGCAATCACTTTCACAATTGCATTTCTTTCTTTCTTTCTTCAGTTCCATGCAACACATTACTGATTTCTTTTCCTTTTCACTTTCCACCATTTTCCTTCTTACATTTTCCAGTTTCTTTCCAAAATATCATCATAGTTTTTGGTTAAATTTTAATTTAATTTTTCCTCACACTCCTCACTCACAATATATTTTCTTGTTTACAAAGGTTATTAAATATTTAGCAACTTTTAAGGTAAATAAATTTCTAAACCCTACAAAGGTACTTCACATAAACCAACAATTATTTATTCCATTAACGAAGTACAAATTCCAAATAACGTGAAAATATTGAGGCCGTATAATTGAGTTGAACCCAAGTCTGTGAACTCCTTAGGCACATGTACTATCAACTAGACCACGATGAGTTAAAAGCATCTAAACCAGAAGTATTACAAGGTATTTCATTTACGAGGAGTTTGGATGGCACCATCCGGTAAGTCAAGTAGTCCACCATGGTCCGGTCAGTAGTGCATATACCTAAAGAATTTTGAGATGCAGGTTCGATCCTAACGTACAGCCTCAATATTAATTCATTATATTCATCCCATTCTTGATTGTACATATCCCACATTCATTCTCTTGATGATAGTCTTGCACAACAAAAGATAAATAATGTATTTTGTACATAGAAATAATTTACTGCAAAAGCAAAACATTTTACCTGATAGACTGCCCGAGCGAGATCAACACGAGCCTTCTGACCACCACTTAGCGATGATCCATTTTCACCACAGAGTGTGTTATCCCTCAGTGGAAAGCCATAGAGATCCTCATCCAAGGCACACACAGACAACACAGTTCTGGATACAAATTACAGGCATGACTTAATAACAGTTATCAGTGCCACAATGATCACTGCCCCAACAAACCTAAAGCTACCAATGCCATAATAAACATTGCCCTTAATACTTCAAAGCAAATGCCCTTTAACACTTAGGAACTACAAACGTTTCCCTTACCAGAGTAAAAACTAATGACTTTATATATTCTTGACCAGAACTGTCACTAGTGACTAATCTTAACCAGCATTATCACAAATGGATGTAAAATGGCTCATATAGATTTGTTAAGACACAAACATATTAATATCAGCAGCATTTACCTGTAACGGGTGATGTCCAAGCTGCTTCCAAAAAGAATATTATCTTTAATTGACCCATTTTGTATCCAGGGACGCTGTGTTGCTACGCCAAAACCTGAAAAGATAATTCTATACTTAGCTAATTATCTTCTGGTACCTGAATATTGTTCTGAAGGATACAATTTGATAGCTGCATGAAGAGGAAGTCACCATACCTAAAGGAGTAGCTTTGGCAGCTTCACCAAGAGGCAGACTCCATACACAGTTTCACATGTAGATATGATAGAGCCCAATAGGCTCAGGAACCTGTACACTAATTCAATTGTACAATTAAATTTTCTAACTGACAGACAGACGAGGGTGGTAATCAGAGACAATGTATCTGGCTGAAGGAGTGTTACTAGTGGAGTACCACAGGGTTCAGTTTTTGCACCAGTAATGTTCATCGTCTACATAAATGATCTACCAGAAGGAATACAGAATTATATGAACATGTTTGCAGATGATGCTAAGATACTGGGAAAGATAGGAGATGCAGATGATTGTAATGCCCGTCAATTCAATCTAAATAAAATAAGTGCTTGGAGCATCAAGTGGCATTACGGGTTGTTCATGCCCGTGCCACCCTCTTGGGTGGCTTAATCTTCATCACTCAATCAGTCAAGTGGTAAATGGAATTCTATGTGAATTAATGCCATGTAATGGAATGTGGAATCAGATAAAAATAGACCACACACAACTTACAAATTATGTGAATAGGAATTACAGAACTCTAATAAAGAATGAGACTTAGGGGTGGTTTTGGATAGTAAGCTGTCACCTGAGGAACACATAAAGAACATTGTGAGAGGAGCGTATGTGTCGCTTTCCAACTTCAAACTTGACTTTAATTATATGGATGGTGAAATACTACAGAAAGTGTTCATGACTTTTGTGAGACCAAAATTGGAATATGCAGCAGTTGTATGCTGCCCAAATCTCAAGAAGCACATAAATAAACTGGAAAAGGTGCAATGGCATGCTACAAAATGGCTTCTGGAACTGAGAAACATGAGTTGAGAGGAGAGACCAGCAGCGTTAAACATGCCAAAACTAGAAGATAGAAGAAAAAGAGGCAATATGATCACCACTTACAAAATACTAACAGAAATTGACCAAAGTGACAAAGAGGAATTCCTGAAACCAGCAGCTTCATGAACAAGAGGACACAGATGCAAAGCTAATGAAACAAAGATGAAAAAAAAATATTAGAAAGTATTCTTTTACAAACAAGAGTGGTAGATGGTTGGACCAAGCTCAGTGAGGTTGTGCTGGAGGCCAAATCTGTCAGTAGTTTCTAAGAGTTATACAACAAAGGGTACTGGGTAGACAGGACACCACAAGGTAATTACAACACTTGGGTAATTACCACAACACTTAGGTAATTACAATTATGTAATTACCAGTTGATTGACAGTTGAGAGCTGAGACAAAAGAGCCAAAGTACAACTAGGTGAGTAGAAAGAGGAAAAGTTACAGCACCTTGAGAATGCAATTCAGCAGCTACACGAAGAGAAAAAGTGAGCAGTGCGATGAAACAAGAACCATTCTGAAATAAGTAAATTAACAATATATGACTCCACAGGAGTCACCACAAGAGACTGGATGACACTACCCCTGAAATACTCACCAGTGTGAAGTGCTGCGACTGCCACCACTCCGTGAGCTTTGATCATCTCTGCCAATATGGCATTGATGAGGGACGTCTTCCCTGACCCAACACGCCCAACAATAGCCACCACTTGGCCCTGTAAAATGAGACAAAGCACACATTAATTACTTTCATCATACAAATTTAAATCATATATTGTTATATAAGTATATACCAAAATTATATTCAATATAATATTTAAATAATTTTTAATGAATTATGATGTTCACATGAAGAGACATGGGTAAACTTCATTATACAAATTAAATGCTGGACCTGCTCTATTTACACTAAATAATGGCATGTGTATCTGAGTGAATTCATGTGTGCATGTAATTACCTAAGTGTAGTAACAGGATCAGAGCTACACTCGTAGTGTCCCGTCTTCCCAGAATGCTTTGTCATATGATGCTTTTAAACTACTGATGATTTTGGCATCCACCATGTTCTCACTTGACTTGTTCCAACTGTCTCCAACTCTGTTGCAAAAGAGAACTTTCTAATAGTTCTTTCGCAAAAGCTTCATGCCCAAACGTCACCCCAAGACATGCTGCCAAAGACGGCAGCAAGGGTAGCGAACTTACGAACGTCATAGGCACGTGGATAAACCGCAGACTGGCTAGCCTTAATAACTCTGCGGACGAAATGGGAGACCCGCACCTGCGAACAGGGAAGATGGGAAACCAAATCAACCCAAAGCGCATTCCCGGACACAGAAGCCGTGGTGCGCAAATAACGGGGAAGGGTCGCAACCGGATACAAAACATGATGCACCCCCGGCCAAACCAACCTAGCAACAACAACCCAGGGACCCCTAGAGGTTATCTTGAGATGATTACGGGGCTTAGAGTCCCCGCGGCCTGGTCATCGACCAGGCCTCCTTTTTGTTACACAACACCAGGAAGCAGCCCATAGCAGCTGTCTAACTCCCAGGTACCTATTTACTGCTAAGTAATAGGGGCATCAGGGTGAAAGAAACGTTTTGTCCATTTGTCTCCCCCTCCACCGGGGATTGAACCTGGAACCTCAGGACTACAAATCCGAAGTGCTGTCCACCCAGCTGTCAGGCGACCTCCGCCCAGGAGTCAGGTCCCCTACAGAAAGCAGCAGTCTTATTCTTCGCCAGAAAAGAATGCCGAACCGAACCCTCCGTCGCGCAAACCACACCGCCACGAGCTCCCACACCGTGCTGTGGGCTCGATGGAAGGACGGACCTCACCGTCCCTGGCCGGCCTGGTGAGCACTGGTCACAAAGCCTTACAGGGCACCTAGGGATGAGAACCCTAAGCGCATGCAGCCCGAGTACTGTAGAACGACTCCTGGCTCTCGCACCCCTGAAAAACAGCCACCACACTCAAAGCACAGTGCTGGAATCACTGGAGCCAAGCACACAACCTCCGTCTCTAGAATCAGCCTTAGAACTGGCTGGTGGATAGCCGGCGTGGGGGGTCTGGGGCTTCCCCTTCCCCCTCCAGGGAGGGGGGAAACTGCTGCGCAGACAGCGGAGCGGCGACGTTTGACGTCGTACTCATTTGCTTGTTTTTTTTTAGGAGAGTTCTATCCACTTGTTCGGCTTTTGGTAGCAATATTTTCACCAGAATAGGGGTTTGTTTGGGGATGCTTACTTTTCTGGACGCTTAACCCGGTCGATGGCAGACATAGAATGCTTCTAACCACACGGGGGTTTCTAGGCCATTGCTCCCCATGCCTCTCTAAGGGGGCCAGGTTCTGGCTCGTGGTCTCCGGTGGGCCCAAAGAACTCCATACACATGACTGATACCAAAGTCTGACATTAGCATATCAGCCTAGTAAGCTCCGGGGAGCGGACAGGGCTCCCCCCAGAAAATCTAATTATTATAGTAACACAGTATATACCAATATTCACTGATTTGGGGAAAATTGATATGAATTTTCCGTTATTCATACTTTGGCCGCAGTGGCATAAAATGGATGAGCCTCCCACAGCTTCATACAATTTATATAATGTGGACATGAGTCAGTAATTTCTTTGAGCTTGAGTAGTAGTCAGAGAAAGTAAAAAATTCAAGTTTGGCAGTAAGACGCTGCTTCTGGAAACTTTCCTTTTCAAGACTACTCATAGCCCAATCAATAGAGCTTCGGCCTCACACGCGGGGGGTCCACGGTTCAAGACCCATACAGCCTAGGTGAATGAACTGTTTATTTCCACTAAAGTGTGAATGACAATTGATATCATCCCAGTTTCAAAGTCTTTCTCGAGTCCTGCCCCTTTCTCATAGCAAACAGGTTTGCTTTGAGAATCTAATTAATTAATGTAAAACTATTATATTGTTTTAATATGTCACACCATTATTTGTTCCTGCAGAATCAAGCTGTTAGCTTTTGAACCCTGCTTTTCTAACTGTCGGATATTCAATGTACTAACTCCCGACCAAATTTTCTTTTGTCATATTTACTACTGTACATATATTTCTCTCTCGCTTTCTCACACACACACACACACACAATTCTCAGGGAGAATAGACAGGGTAGGTAGACATTATTTAACATGGGTGATACATGTACAAAGAGACTTAGGGGGGAACCAAATACCCAAGTGAGCCACAGAGACATTAGAACGATCTTTTTCAGTGTCAGAGTAGTTAGTAAGTGGAATGCATTAGGAAGTGATTTGGTGGAGGTGGACTCCATACAGTTTCAAATGTAGTTATAAGAGCCCAATAGGCTCAGGAACCTGTACACCAGTGGATTGACAGTTGAGAGGCACGACCAAAGAGCCAAAACTCAACCTCATACAAGCACAATTAGATGAGTACACCCACATCCCCCAAGATGCAGCCTGTTGCAACAGTTTAACTCCCAGGAAATTATAATCTCCTAGGTGAACAGAGGCATTAGATGAAAGAGACTTTGCCCATTTGTTTCTGCTACAGCTGGAAATCAAATTTAGGCCCTTAGGATTATCACCCCAAGAACTGTTTGCTCAGCCACGAGGCTCTGTGAAGAGAATTCCTACCGTCATGTGTGTGCATGTGAGTGAAATAACCATTGTTTATGTTTGGGCAGAAGAATATGAATATATGTATTCACATAGCATACACATAGCAGTGTCAATTACCTTAGAGAGCTGTACGTTGATTCGTCGGAGTGTAGGCAGAATGGCTTGGTCCCCATTGCCGTTCCCATTCTGGGAGTCAACCAGTGACACGTGGGACCCAGAGGGCGAACTCCCTGCTGTTTGGTGTTCTGGTTCATCTTGCATGCACGAGCTATTCCAAGTAAATGTTCCGTTCGTGATGAGCACCTGCAGTTCTGAGTCCTTATGACTCATCTCCGGAACTACTGTGTAGAAGTTCATCAAATCTTGCTCCGGTAGCTGAAAAACAATCTAATTAAAAGCTGCCTCACTTGATGTTGACAAAGAAATTATGCAAATAACGTTTATCTTATAACTTGCGTGTGGCTGTTGCCAATTCAATGTTGCATAACCCCAAAGAAAAAATTTGTTTGAATTTAAAAATAAGAAAACTCCACGGAAGATTTTTTAACGATTGAAGATCAACGGTTTTGGAGATAACATAGTATAGTAGTAGTAGTAGGACAGACCATTTCACAAGGTGGCAGTGGAATGTATAAAAAAGAGATGGTGAAATTTTAATTTCTCGAATTAGCAATGAAAGTGGTGATAGTCTGAAAAATATGTTGGGGGGGTGGGGGGGGGAGGGGAGGAGGAAAAAGAGGAGCATTATGTTACCATAACTGAAGACAGAGAAAACAACATGCATTTTTCTGGGAGTAGGAGCCATGGTAGTAGTTAAATGTTGCATCAGGTAAACTATTCACAGAAATCAACTTTCCTCCACATGGCTTCAAGAATTTTGTTAAGAGTGAGAGCTATTACACATGTGGGAGTAGTACATTAGGCAAGGGTAGATGGATAGTGACCCCAGATGTGGGAGTAGTACTCTAGGCAAGGGTAGATGGATAGTGACCCCAGATGTGGGAGTAGTACTCTAGGCAAGGGTAGATGGATAGTGACCCCAGATGTGGGAGTAGTACTCTAGGCAAGGGTAGATGGATAGTGACCCCAGATGTGGGAGTAGTACTCTAGGCAAGGGTAGATGGATAGTGACCCCAGATGTGGGAGTAGTACTCTAGGCAAGGGTAGATGGATGGTGACCCCCAGATGTGGGAGTAGTACTCTAGGCAAGGGTAGATGGATGGTGACCCCAGATGTGGGAGATAAAGAAGATAATGGTGAAGATAAATTATTTATTATAAACTCTATGAGAATACTGAGGTGTTCAGGCGCACACTAAGCAAATGTTCCTCTGAAGGTTCCAGGACAGAGTTAATGTGAATGTCATGTGTGGAAGTCTATGCCAATTATTTTTCCATGCTGACTGGTATTATTACAAATTTTGAAAGAATACAATATAGTAAAAGTAAACTAAAGGAATAATATTCCTTGATATAACTGTAAATGCCATCCATGCCCTATTTATCATGGTTGAAAACAATGTAGCCCAACCATCCTAATTCTAGCAATTTCTATTCCCGACTCCCGTTTCTGTACCTCCATGAGACGCTCCACACGCCTGAGGGAGACCCACGCCTCCACCATTCCGTTGATAACCCAGGGAAATGCATTCAAAGGCATTATTAACATGTTGAAGAGTGCAACGGCAGTGAACACACGTGCTGGTTCCAAGGGGTTGCCTGAAATACAAGAAAGCCTTAAAATAATTTGTTCTTAACTTAGTATGTTCTTAACTTTACAGTATGTTGATATATTATAACCAACATACTGTAAAGCCATATACCTGTATGCTTCACGAATTAAACATCCAGATAACACCGACAGAATATAAAGACAACTATTTCATACATTCACGAACTTAACAAAATACATATTTAAAAAGAAAATATTGTAATTCCTTATTCCTTTCCATTTTTCAATTTAATTTGCTTTCTTTGCTAGTTCCCTCAGAAGCTTCTTATGGTAAGAACATAAGCTCTCATGATATAAGCTCTCAAAGCTTAACATCAGTCACTACCATGAGATATAGGAATGGAAAAGCTCTAAGTCTGCTAACAAGAGTCAGAAGTCATCTGCTCCTGTACTGTACTGTACTGTACACCTATGTAACCACCTGTACTCATGTGTAATATGAGTACAAAAATATATTAACATATTTGTTGGTCATTAATTAGCATTTGAGCAATGTAAAGAAGTGGCCAACAATTACCAAGAATGATGTACACTGTGAAGGTCACTATAGGTATGAGGACGGGTGTTGCAGCCCAGAAGTAAACGCACGCAGCATCCAGGTACTTGCGGCTAGCCAGGGCCTTCACCTCTCCGTAACGCTCATCTGAAAGAAACATCATCATCATTAGTTGCGCTTCAGCGATAAACAGTACACTGAATGTATATTTATCCTAATATGTTTAGTGCAATACAGTTACAGGAAAGTTTTTGTTATGGCTCAGCAAAAACTGAAATTCAAATTAAAATATTTTCCTTACAATTGTGTATTTTGTGTATTTTCCTTGATCATGTCCTTGTAAAGAACATCAACTGTGTATTTATGAGCCCCAAACATTTTGTACCATTTAATGTGAATGAGCTTTTTATTGTAACTCAAAGTAGTGAGATAGTGAAGTAAATAAGACATTGAAATCTGAGAGCGTTCAATGACAATGATCCAATTGCAAGTCAAACTGTACTTAGAATATACTTAACAAATTTTGAGCTTACCATATATACGGTGCTTAAATGTTCCTTCCCAGGCATTGAGCTTGACTGTTTTGATCATGTTGAGGACCTCAGTCATTAGGCCAACACGACGGTCCTTGAAAGACATCATCTCCACACTCAGTTTACCTTTGGAAACCACCAACATGATATTACAATCACTTAACTAATGAAGCATAATAAATTCAAGAATTTAACAAAATCATGTAATTAATTAGATATTTCCTAATGAATAATGTATTCTTTTTAGGTTAGATAATCAGATCAAAACCAGAACAACAATAAAATTAATAACTAATTGCCGACCTTGTGCATCAAGTCCCCATCAGGGAAGCCCGGGAGGTTACACTACATATACCGTACACTCTGGTACAGTATATGTACCAGAGCTATATATACTGTACACTGGTACAGTATATGTACCAGAGCTATATATACTGTACACTGGTACAGTATATGTACCAGAGCTGCATATACTGTACACTCTGGTACAGTATATGTACCAGAGCTACATATACTGTACACTCTGGTACAGTATATGTACCAGAGCTGCATATACTGTACACTCTGGTACAGTATATGTACCAGAGCTACATATACTGTACACTCTGGTACAGTATATGTACCAGAGCTACATATACTGTACACTCTGGTACAGTATATGTACCAGAGCTACATACAGTATACTGTAAACTCTGGTATATGTACCAGAGCTACATATACTGTACCAAATAACCAAACCTACACATGAAAGTAAATAAAAGTGACCACCATTTTGGTCCATACTGGACCCTGATCAAGGCAACTTGATAAGGTTCCAGAATGAACCAAAACATACTCACTTTCCATTAATTTCATATGAATGAGTTGGAGTATTAGTTTTCAGTCACATTATTGTGACATTCTCTATATACTGTACCTATTTTTGTGGCAAGCCATTTGTTGATGGGAATTAGGATCACTGTTACACCAACACCAGCTAAGAAGGCTATTCCAATTTGTTGATACAGCAGGAAAAGCGTCACACCAAGCTGCAAGATAAAGTTTGTATGAGTAAGGACTACATATAGTACTAAAGATACTGGCCACATTTTGGTTGCTGTCGAGTGCTTCTTGCACTAGGTTACCTGCCACACAGGTTACCTGCCTTCCTCATACAGACTATACTTGTAGATATCATACATCTACCTGTTGTTGGAACAGGAACCCTGTACAGCCTTCACCACAATCCAACCCACAGTCACTTAATTCACACTAATCTATTTACTGCTGGGTGAGCAAGATGTATGGCTCCCCCGCTAGGGGGCAGCCATACATCTTCCCAGGATGCAACCTACAACAGTTGCCTAACTCCCAGGTACCTATTTACTTCTAGGTTAACAGAGGCATCAATTGTAAGGTTTGCCCAGGCAGACTGACCTTCCCTACACTGGCAGTGGGAGTAGCTAGCTCCTCAAGACCACCTCATCTGAAACTTTTCATCATTTCATTTGTGTTCAGAATTTATTTTTAGCAACACCATAATTTGCTGAATTTTGCCTTTCTCAAATTGGCCTGCTCAATTGCCAGCAGACTGACCTTCCCCAACCCTACCCACCCACTGACCTTTCCCCACCTTACCTTCCCATTTCTACTTAAGGTGTGAGCCCTCCCCACAACCCATAAGAAAAAGACAGTGTTGCTTCCACTCACCTGTAGAGGAAGGCTCCACAATGCATGAAATGACTGGCAGAAATTGACAATTCTGTCTGTGTCGGTGCTCATCAAATTGACAACTTCACCAGTAGAAAACCTGCTCAAGTTAGCAGCACTGACCTAAAATTAACAAATTAAATATATCATACAAACAGCAAATGTGTTTTGCTTACATTACAGTAACTGTACTGCAACTACAGTAACTCAGTACAGTACTGTACTGTACTGTGACATGTGCTCAACAGTGTGTGTGTCTGAATGTGCTTATATAGCTATTGTATTGACTTCCACTTGACCCTGGCTACTGTGTCCACACCACAACCCCTCCCACACAGGACCCCCACCCATCCACACACCATGTGGATAAACCCTACCCAGGGTTTATCCACATGGGGTGTGGATAAACCCTGGGTAGGTCTATATGGACAAGAAGCTGTTACCCATGCAGCAGGTCCCCCCCCCCCTCTCCACGTTGCTGAAATTATCCAATGGAAAGGCAAATGCCAATACACCTGGTTCAAGCACCGTCGCAGGAGCTGCCAGAGCGAGGTCTAAATCGACAACGAACTCCCTTAGGGGCTCCAACTCTGGATTTTTCCTCGAGGTTGACTTCTGAAACCTTTCCCAAAATAGGGGTATGGCCGCAAGGCAGCAGAGGTTTAGAATCAGGGTTTTCCTTCCCCTAGATGAGCTGCCTTCCCAGGCTAATGAGTCCCATCTACCCCGAACATGAAGATCCGAATGTGTACAGTATATGATATATGATATTATAATATATGATATTATAATATATGTATATATATATATATATATATATATATATATATATATATATATATATATATATATATATATATATATATATATATATATATATATTTATTATATATATATATATATATATATATATATATATATATGTCGTACCTAATAGCCAGAATGCACTTCTCAGCGTACTATGCAAGGCCCGATTTGCCTAATAAGCCAAGTTTTCCTGAATTAATATATTTTCTCAAATTTTTTTCTTGTGAAATGATAAAGCTACCCATTTCATTATGTATAAGGTCCATTTATTTTTATTGTAGTTAAAATTAACGTAGATATGTGACCGAACCTAACCAACCCTACCTAACCTAACCTAACCTATCTTTATAGATTAGGTTAAGTTAGGTAGCAGAAAAAGTTAGGTTAGGTTAGGTTAGGTAGGTTAGGTTGTCGAAAAAACATTAGTTCATGAAAACTTGGCTTATTAGGCAAATCGGGCCTTGCATTGTAGGCTGAGAAGTGCGTTCTGGCTACTAGGTGCGACATATATATATATATATATATATTTTATATATATATATATATATATATATATATATATATATATATATATATACATATATACATATATATATATATATATATATATATATATATATATATATATATATATATATATATATATATATATATATATTATTAATGGGTACATGAATGTTGTGTACATGTATATTATATGTTATGTATGTGTACAGTATATGAATATTATAGATTAATACATGAATACATGTGTAATTTGTATTTTGCACAAAATGTGCACATTGTGAATATATTTGTATGCAATAATTAAGGACAATTAGTAATAATGATTAATGTTGTACACTCAACACCTAATAAACAAAGCAACTGGACTAAACCAAAGATGGAAATTATATAAAATCACAATTTAACTAGATCATTTAATGATCGTCGCTGAGTTGTTGTCGCCTAGTCGTCGCCGAGCGAAAGTGTTAACTAGAAAATGATACATTTGTTCAAAAGTGAACCTCACCTGAAGAACCTTTCGGTAAACCGCAGATATTACAGCAGCACGGAGACGAAGGTTCACCTTGGCCAACAAGTAGTTGAAGTGAATACTACAAAATGTGGCTGTAAACAAAAATATTTGTAAATTACTATTATGAAAAACTATTATTTGTATTTATCTGCTAGTAAAATACAGTATAGCAGAGTTACATAAATTTAAAAATCAAGTCTCAAATGAACATGCTAGCACACTGAAATCACAAAAAACCAGCGATGAATGTATTGAAAAGCAATTTTCTGGGTAAGACCTGGAAGCTCTCTGGAGCTATCGGACTGAGATTATCTACGCAGGTATTAGTCTGGGGCTTCTGGCATACGGAGCTCTTGCCTACCGGGAACCACGAGCCAGAATCTGGTTCCCTCAGAGATGTGAACTGAGCAATAGCCTATGAAACTCCACTTTTTGAGAGTATATTCATTGAAATTGAAATTGAAATTGAAATAAGTTTATTGAGGTAAAATACACACAAAGGGATGAGGTAGCTCAAGCTATTCTCACCCCATTCAGTACAACGTGTTAATATATACATAGACACACATCACAAATAAACACATTACCAAACATTCTGAGAGGTAAAAATATACATTTCCTCCCTCACAAGGAGTATGGTATCAGACGTATACACAAATACTTTTATGACCTAGGTATACTGTATAGACAATTTGCAAGACACCTGCAGATAATTCAACAAAATATTACAATCTTGGTGCAAAATTCTTATATCTCTCAAGAATATCATCAACCTTTCCGTTGTGACACATCCAGGCTATTTGTTCAGGAACAGTCCTTATCTCAGTGTTTCTATATACATTAATCAACGGACAATCAAGAATATAATGGGCAAGGGTGTGAGACCTTAACATACCACATAGTTTACACTTCGTGTCATTACCATGAACATCTATCCCATATTCCCAGTAATATTTGTACCCAAGCCTGAGCCGCATGTACACAGAGTCACTCCAAGCATTTCGCCCTTTTACCATAAGTGAAATGGGTGTTTTGACTCACATACATGTAGTGTTGCATGGTTTGACTTCTCTCATACATTATCTCTCTCCTCTCCACTCCCGCCTGTGCCTGAATATTTCTGATTTTGCTTCTTATTTGTCTCATTGTGAATTCACATTCAATGTCAACTTGTGGTTTTGATGTGGCACGTTTGGCCAAGTCATCCGCCACCTCGTTGAGCACTATTCCAACATGAGACGGAATCCACATGAATTTCACACTATAACCTTTCAGCTGTATCTCAGTTATTCTTCTCTTACAGTCCTCCACTATAGACATGAAGACTGGGTTTCGACTGTTTAAGGACTCCAGTGCTCCTCGGCTATCGACAAATACAAAAACATTTTTGTCGTCATGACGTACTTCCTCCAAACACGCCAGAATGGCCTGCAGTTCAGCTTGTGTGGATGATATATAATTACTAAGCCGGAGTTCAATTATCCTGTCCACAGTCCCAAACTCCGTATAATCCCTTATTAGGACACCACACCCTGCCCTGCCATCTTCCGCCACCGACCCGTCGCAATATACATGTAAACTGTTGCCTCTTGGTAACCGAGATATCATGCTTCCATACAAACACCGTAATTGTCCCGGTTCATGATGAATCTTTTTCACCTTGAGGGGTACAATTTCGACGTCTATTTTCTGTACTTTCCAGGGAGCAGACATATTACATTGTCGAGAGGGTTTACAGCAGTCAAGTACGTCGTATTCCCTGAGGTCATGAGCTAATCCTCTCGTATAGCGTGTCTCCCTCAGTTTCCTGGAAGTGTGTACGTCACTCAAGCAGGTCTGAACGCTCTCAAACAGCTTATCCCCTCCTCTTCTCCGCATGAAACGAATAGATACTCTAGTGTTAATGTCACGGACTCTATCACACACACTCTGTAAATTTAATTCCATTCTCATTATTTCAATCATTGCATTTCTTTGACATCCAAGAATAATCCTCATAGCCTCGTTCTGTATCAGCTCTATTTTTTGAATTCTGCCTTGGCCTGTGTAAGACAATACGGGTGCTGCGTAGTCTATCAGGGATCGAACAGTGCTTATGTATAACATCCGCAAGATAGGTACCCCAACACCTTTACCAGAAAAAGCCAGTGCCAGAAAGGTAGGTGCCCCAAAATAGGCCCTAACTGGTAGAAAACTGCAACTCAAGACCAAACCAAGCCCAAGAACTCTTCCTAGAAAAACAAGGTAACAACCAAATGCGCCGCTCATTCGCACAGGGCCCCCTCCCCAGTAGGGGAGAAGGAGGCCTCCAGCCCACCGAGCCGGCCGCTAGACCACCAGTTCGAAGACTGATCAAACAGATATAAAACCAACGTTGAATAAAATAAAACACCAGTTTATAGATAAGAGCCGGAGGCTTCCCGGAGCTAACAGAGCTGATATGAATGTATTAGTCCCTGGCATTAGTCAATGCACATGGAGTTCTAGGCCTACCAGGAACCACGAGCCAGAACCTGGCCCCCCTCCCTCAGAGAGGCACGAAGAGCAATGGCCTATAGAAATCTGTGTGGTTGGAAGCAGTCTACAGTATGTCTGCCATCGACCGGATCAGGCACCCAGAAAGGTAAGTGCCCCAACACAAACCAATATTCTGGTTAAAATATTGCTACTGAAAGCCGAACTAGTGGACAGAACTCCCAAAAGGAAAATGAGCAAATGAGCATGACGTCAGGGAGGGAGGGAGGGAGGGTTGCCAGGGAGCCTCTGGGTCTCACCCAGAAAATGGCGTTTCATTACATTCAACGCTGGTTTTCTGGGGGGAGCCCCTTCGGCTCCCTGGAGCTACTTACTAATGACAAAACAAGAGGGACTTACCTGGGAGGCGGTGGGCTTTCATTCCTCAAGCGAAGTTGAGACAACTGGTTGAAACTGCTGACCCAGTGTGACACAGCCCGACTAGGCTCAAGAACATTAACAAGGTAGCGAGTGGCCAGGACCCTACAAAAACCCTGTGCCCGAATGTCAGCTCAAGACATGTTACCGAAGATGGCAGCCAGCACAGCAAACTTACAAATGTTGTGGGCATGAGAATAGATTGCAGGCTGGCTGGACCTAATAACCCTGCGGACGACCTGGGAGACCCGAACTCTGAAACAGGGAAGAAGGGAAACCGGGGTCAACCCAAAGCATGTCCCCGACCACCGAGGCCGTGGCACGCAGGTAATGGTGGAGAGCCACAACCGGACACAACACATGATACACCCCTGGCCCAACAAACCAAGCACCAATAACCCAAGGACCCCTCCGGAAAGCAGCCGTTTCATTCTTCCCCAGAAAAGAAGGAGACAGCTGCAAACGAACAAACCTACCACCAGGACCAGAAGAGCAGAAACCCTTGTACCGGAGGAGAGCATGAAGCTCCACGACCCGACCCCAAGAGCCCAATGCCAACAGAAAGCCTTGGAAAAACAATCCTGAACCGAAGGGGCCATCACAAACCTCTCCCCCTCCCCCTCTTAGGGAGGGAAGGGCTGCGTGGACAAGCGGCATGGCAGTGAAGTGTTTTCTTGTTTGCTTGTTCCCTTGGGATTGGAGGGAGTTCTACCTCTCTTTTCAGTTTTTAGTTGTCATTTCCTTACCATGTGGGGTTTGTTTTATTATGCCTACCTTTCTGGGTGCCTAACCCCGGTCGATGGCAGATAAAGAAAAACCCCAACCAAAAGGGGGTTTTCTAGGACCATTGCTCCCTGCAAACTCTGAGGGGGCCAGGTTCTGACTCAGGGTCCCCGGTAGGTCGAACTCCACAGAATAATGCTCCGTTCTAATATATCACACATTAGTCCGATAGCTCCAAGGAACCAAAGGGGCTCCCCCACAGAAAACAGCTCAATGATCATATGGGAAACACTTGCATATGACGACTGGAACCTTGTAAGAAGGGTTAAGAATAGTTTAAAACAAGAACCAGTAAAACCTGTAAAATTAAATTAATGAGTAGGAAACACAAAAACACATGATTTGCCAGAAACACAAAGGCTATATATATATATATTGGGATCGAACCCGTATCTATGGACTCCCAAGGCACACACACACACACTACTGACTCGACCATGATGAGCTCAAATATCTCAATGTAATAGGAAAGTATGGTAGTGTATCTGGTAGTAATACTTTTTGCTCATCATTGTTCAGTTGGTTGTGCAAGTGTAAGGAGCTCAGGGAAGTGGGTACCATTATATGGCATAATCTGCTAGTAATCAAATTTGAATCTCACCTATAAGAGCGGCTCCACACAGCATTCCAGCGTATGTATATCCTTTCAAAATGTCTTCGTCCTTATTTTCAATAAATGAGACGAGCTCATGCAACAGAAGGGGTCCGGCAAACCCTAAGGTATCGCCAGCAAGCTTCAACAAACCAATACTGTAGAACTGCACGCCAAAACACTTGTGCAGGGCTCTAAGAAACGCGTACTTCTGACGAGTTGGTCGCTCATATTCATCACTAGGTAATGGCTGGCTAATCATCATTGTTCTGTGAACCTGATCGAAACATGATTCATTAACAAAATTGGTTATATCAACAGAGGTTAAACATCTTGGGAGAAGGAACCACTCAAAACGTTCACATCTGCACTTCATCACACTGATGAATGAATGTCCTGTGGTTGATGATAACATTCACTCACTGAGAAACTTATTACTGTACACCTTCACTCACTCATTATAATACTGATGAAAGAATGTAATGTAACTGAAGATAACATTCATTATCATTAAAGTGTTTCCCATTTTCATGGGATGGAAAAATGCCAGGCAAAATAAAAAAGTGAGAAATATAGTAAAAGGAGACTACAAATATTAAATAACAAAACATTCAAAATATCACTCCTCCATTCATTACATCATTCTCAAATACAACACACAGCATGATGGTCAAACAAGCACCACCACAAACTGGGAAGACGGGATACCCCGAGCATGGCTCTCATTCTGTAACTACACTTAGGTAATTACACTTAAGTAATTACTGTACACTCCAGCAGTCAGAAGCAACCCCCTTGCTTTCATAAGGCCAAGCGTACGATCCTCCTTGGGAACTACCACACCCCAGCAGTCATCCACAGCAGCAAACCAATGCTGCTGCTGCATAAGCCCAGGTGTACAATTCACCCGTGAATTATATTCATTACTTACAAATATATTCACTCACCTCTTATAAGATAACCAATAATAACATGTATAAATCTTCCAAGAATATACCAGTGAATTATGCACGAAGAATAACAAGACGTTTCATAAAATAAGGAAATGTCATCACTTTCGTTTAATACGAGTTACTGTATTTGTTTCAGCCACGTTATTGTGACATTCTCTGCAATGGAGTGCCGTATTCAAAGTGGCTTGATCCACCTAGAATATCAAATCAAGTGGCTTGATCCACCTTTATTCTCCCTTTATAAAGGGAGAATAAAGGAAGAATGGTAAAAAGTGGCTTGATCCACTTTGAATAAGGCACTCCAAGGTAGGTTCACCTGACTTCCTGTCCAGTGCTTAGTGAAGATTATACCTTCTGAGTGGCTGGTGGCATTGTTTTGTTATCTCCACTTAGCTTCACTATACTAAGGCACCATTTCTAAGGTTTAAAGATCCTAAGCTCTGATAATTATGAGTCATAAAACAAGAACAAATCAAGTGGATCAAGAACAAAAAAAAAGAATCAGAATTAGCTAGAAATTTTATGCTAAAAAATTGGCTAGCAAATTTTTACTCAAAAAGGGGGCTAGGAAATTTTTGCTAAAGAAAATTTTACTTGTAGTTTAAATATTTTCTAAATGTTCCAAAGAGAAAGATGCAGGGCATACCTTTTGGGCAATGACATCCGTACGCATTTGTATGGGAAGGTCATGAAGATCATCTTGGGTGCGCAAGTTACCGAGAGAGCCTTTCTCCATGAGGGCGTTGACCCAATGGAAGGTAAGATAGGAGAGCATATTGACTCTTTCTTCCGCAGTGCCCAGATTATATGGGTCAGCAGCCTCATGAAACCTACGTAGAAAAATGTGCATATAAATAAAGATTACATAATAATCATACAGCAGAAACCATGTTCAAAATAAAGTTAATTTACAAAAAGAATGATCTCAGCAAAGCCACAGCCCTGTATTTATTATGACATTCTATAATTACTGGGTAATAGATGTTAAAAGCGGCCAAACTAAGTGTGTCTATGACAAATGTTGCACACAGGATGAGAGTTTAACACAAATATTTTAGATATATATCTAAGTCTACATACATAGGTAGTTACCTGAAAAGATTTGCTTGGTGTCACATGAATGGATCTGAAGGGTGCTCACAAGAACTGGTATCCACAAAAATGGATGTCTATAAGTGTGGGGTACTCTCAAATATGGGTATGGATGTACTCACCTAGTTATGCTAGCGAGGGTTGAGCTTCAGCTCTTTGGTCCCGCCTCTCAGCTGTCAATCAACTGGTGTACAGATTCTCGAGCCTATTGGGCTCTATCATATCTACATTTGAAGCTGTGTATGTCTGCCTCTGCCACATCACTGACTAATGCATTACGTATGTTAACTACCCTGAAAGAGACACTAATTCTTTCTAATGTCTCTGTGACTCATTTGGGTACTCAGTTTCTACCTGTGTCCCCTTGTTCGAATTCCACCCCATGCTAAATAGTTTGTCTATATCCACCCTGTCAATTCCTCTAAGAATTTTGTAGGTGATCATGTCTCCCGTTACTCTTCTGTCTTCCATGTGAGGTTAGCTCTTGTAGCCTTTCCTCATAACTCGTACCTCTCAGCTCTGGGACTAGTCTGGTGGCATAACTCTGAATCTTCTCTAATTTTGTCTTGTGTTTAACTAGGTATGGACTCCAGGCTGGAGTTGCATACTCCAGAATAAGTCTAACATAAGTGGTATCCAAGGTTCTAAATGATTCCTTACACAAGTTTCTAAAGACAGTTCTTATGTTGACCAATATGCCGCTGATGATATCCTTTTGATGTGGGCTTCTGGGGACAGGTTCGGTGTAATATTAACCCCCAGATCTTTCTATCTATTTGACTCTTGCAAGATTTACTTCCCATATGGTATCTTGTGTTCGGCCTCCTGCTCCTTTCACCTAATTTCCTTACAGTACTTTACACTTACCCAAGTTAAACTTTAGTATTTTCTTAGTGTGTGCAAGAATGGGTGTTGATAAGAATGAGGCCTCCTCCTTGACAACAAACACTGGTGCCCTTTCACAGCGGCTTGAAAACTAGGACTCGCATGGCTAGCCCAACATACGTTTCAATTACTTGTGCGGCGGAGAGAAAAATATCGTGTCCAACTGCACTAACAAAAACCTATCTTTGGTTGTAGATGGTTCAATGCAACAACTCTTCTCACTAATTTTTCTTATCACATTTACATTTAAAACTGTGTATTGTGTACCAAAGCACAGATATACACTCTTATTAGGCCAACAAGAGGTTCACAAAAATCCTAAGATTTATGTAACAGAGTTATGATACCCGACAGATATTGTACAGTACAGGCAGTCACGGTGGTCAGGTCAACACATATCATAGTAAGATTTGAATACCCATGCAAGCCTGCAGTCCTGAAGATAATCTTGTGAGAGTGAACAAAGAATTGTCTATGCACCATACGATGTATATACATACCGGCTGTAGTCGTTATAAGATGTTTCCATGAGTGGGGTCGTCTCTGTTGCTTCCCTATGCAACTCCTGGTACTGGGACACTCCAGCACTGCCCCTCGGGAACAGCGTAAATAGATACAAAATCTGAAAAATATAAACACATTTAATTAGGTACAGTACAGATCTTTTACACTGCTTTATCTTCCACTCATTATAATCATACACTAAAAACAGTATTGTATACCAGTCACAATGTATGAGGCCCAGCCCACTCATACACTGCACAGTATGAATCTTGTTAAACACACAATACCAAGATTTTATGTATACTGTACAGTGCTTATAAAATAAAAGCCTGTGGCTTCAATAGTCCAGATCAAGCAACCCAACTAATGCTATAGGCTCTTTAAAACTCTTATCTTTCTGAAGAGAAATTACTTTACTGCTTTTCAAAACCATAATAATGACTTTCCTTCCACAAATTAAAAACAAATTTCCAAAACTTAGAAATAAACTTATGCAGATTACATCCTGGGTTATACCTTCAATCTCTGAAGTTTTTAAATAGCAAACACAGTATCCTTGAAAATGTCCCAAGTCAATTAAACAAGTTTAATACGGATTTAGAATACAAGTTTGAAGATAGGCATGAAATTAGGTCATCTTAATGACTCTTGATGAAATTTGTCCAAATTAAAGATATTCTATAACCTCTGACAATTCTTCGGATTCCACATTCCCCCCCAGAGATAATTATAATTCCCATTGTCAGGGGACAGAGAGCCTATACTTAGAATTATTGAGGTCACCCATAGCCCAGCTCCTGACCTTCTCCAGGATGCAACCCACAATGATTGAAAAGAAACATGCCCAGCCAGTTCTATCCTGCTCAGGGATTGAACTCAGGTCCCTCAGGTGTCAGCTGAGGACATAGCTGTTCTAATTATGCAAATAATTAATATGTGGGCCGGTGGGCCGCTCCAAGCAACAGCTTGTAGGACCAAGCTCTCACAAGTCAAGCCTGGCCCTAGACCGGGCTTGGGGAGTAGAAGAACTCCCAGTACCCCACCATAGTATGACAAAGGTAAGGTAACCCTGTGAATTACCCACTAATGGCCCTGTCTCATTAAGAGAGGTAAATAGCTCCATGGAAACGGTTTCTTCAAAACTAACTATTGTCAGACTGGTGAATGTGTACAGCATGCTAGTTAACAGTTAACAGTAGGCTAATATGAAATTTTACAAAATTTTGTAATGTCATATACTCAGTATACAGTATTGACCAAACCACACTAGAAAGTGAAGAGATGACGATGTTTCGGTCCATCCTGGACAATTCGGTCTATCAAGTCAATTGTACAATCGAATTGAGAATGGTCCAGGACAGACCGAAACGTCGTCGTCTCTTCACTTTCTAGTGTGTGGTTTGGTTAGCATTTTTCAGCAACATTATTGTAACTACTCATCTGCAGTATACAGTATTTTCTGGCATATAAAATGTACCTTTATTACAAGGGTGTTTGTGGATTTTTTTTTAGCATTGTACATTTCATCATACATATATTAGAGGTGTTTTTAAGTAGTTTTTTCCTTGTAAATACTGTGCAATATAGTTTATACTTGGCTGGTGGTTGACAAAAAATGTGCATACTATACACAGGAAAATATAGTAATTCTCTGATATGTTTCTTGCATTTGGTATGAGGACTTTATACTTTTGGTAAATTCGTGGAGTCTAAAGGAAACTACTAACTTAATAGTTCTGTGCCTAGAAAAATTGTAGCTATCCAGACATGGTTTCTGTACCCAGCATAAATCTTAACCAGTATGGGTGGTAACACTCACCTGCAAACACAACCGCGTCAAAGACACATATCTCAAAATGTTTTCTGTGACTTTTGAGACTCCATTTTCATCGTACCAAGTTGTTCTTGCCAAGTTGATGGTACAGAGCAAGGTCAGCACCCAGCTGACGATGACGAGAGTAGGGCCACGCGTTCCAATACTCAGCCGTGTCATGAGGGAGTTCAGGTAGCCCAGGTGCACCAGCCATGATAGTACCTGACATATGACAGAATAAGAACCTTGTTAACAACACACACACTGAAACATCATCCTACACAATAAAGAGCTAATCATTAGTGGCAACATGAAGTACTAAATAAGAAACCTTGAAGCTGCATGATCAGGGGTGCGAAATTATTGTACAGCTTTAACATATCACGTTCTTGTGATTTCATTGCTCATGATGCATTACACTGAATTTACCTGAGGGGCACTATATCTCGAGTGGCCTTGATGGGGAAAGGATGCCAGCAGTTTGTCAACAGCCAACACCTCCCCCCCCATTATCTCATGCATGACAAGCACTCATATCAAACACTACTGTACATATACGACTTTCTTGGCATGTGCTACATAGACAAAAAACCAGCAATGAATGTAATGAAACACCATTTTCTGGGCGAGTCCCGGAGCCTCCCGGAGCTTACCGGGCTGATGTGTATGTATTAGACCATGGCATCAGTCAATTCGATTGGAGTTCTATGCCTACCAGGGACCACAAGACAGAACCTGGCACCTTTAGGGAGGCACAAGGAGCAAGGGCCTATAGAAACCCCCCATGTGATTGGAAGCATTCTATGTCTGCCATTGACCGTGTCAGGCACCCAGAAAGGTTAGCGCCCCAAAACAAACACCACCTGGATAAAAATTACTACCAAAAACTGAAACTATCAAGCAGAACTCCCAATCTAAAAACAAGCAAACAAGAATGACGTCACAACCGCCGCCGTGCCGCTGTCTGCACAGCTCCCCCCTCCCCAGGAGGGCCAAGGGGGAGACCCCTGAGCCAGCCATCCAACCCCAACTTTGAGGCTGAATATCAAAAAGGCTAATACCGCCGACCGGAGGGAGGGAGGATTATCAGGGAGTCTCTGGGACTCACCCAGAAAATGGCCTTTCATTACATTCAATGCTGGTTTTCTGTGGAGAGCCCCTCCGGCTCCCCGGAGCTACCTAGCCACAGAAATTAAAAGAGGGACTTCCCTGGGAGGTGGCCACCACTCGCACCCCCAACTCGAAGTCGAGACAACTGCCTGCAACATGCGACCCAAAGTGACACACGCCCGACTAGAGTCAAGAACATTAACGAGGTAACGGGCGGCCAGGACCCTGTTCAACCTCCAAAATCCTAGTGCCCGAATGTCACCCCAAGACATATTACCAAAACTGCAACTAAACCAGCAAATTTGCGAATGTCATGGGCACGAGGATGGACCACAGGCTGGCTGGACCAAATAACCCTGCGGACGACCTAGGAGACCCGGGCCCTGGAACAGGGAATTAGGGAAACCTGGTCAACCCAAAGTGCCCCCATGGTCACAGAGTCAGTGGCACGCAAATAACGGTGAAGAGCCGCAACCGGACATAACACATGATGCACCCCCGGCCCAACAAATCAAGCATCAACCACCCAAGGACCCCTCCGGAAAGCCGCTGTCTCGTTCTTTGCCAGAAAAGAAGGAGACGGTTGCAAATAAACAAACCTACCACCAGGACCGAAAGAGCAAAAACCCTTGCGTCGGAGGAGACCATGAAGCTCCCCAACCCGACCCCCAGAGGTCAATGACAACAAGAAAAGAGCCTTGTCAAAACAATCTCGAACCGAAAGGGCCACCACAAATCTAGGAGAAGAGAAAAGAGAGCACCTAGTCCAAAGACCAGGACGGCTCAGGCAGTGCATTAGCAGGCCGGAGGTGAAACAACACACGAGATAGCTTATGAAATGGAGCAGAAGTAATATCCACCCCAATGCAAGCAGGAGCGACTTCGCCAGCACCGCACGATATGAGGCAACAGTATTCGGCATGAGATGACAGTCCTGAAACCAGAGAAAAAGGACAAGACAACCCACTCTGTAACCAAAGACAACCTACAAAGAGACAAAAAGTAATGAAAGGACCTCCAAGAGACTTCATACTGCCACCGAGACGAAACTCACAGGTTTGCCATCTTCTAATCACAATACAAATGGTGATAAACCTGCATCAGAAATACCAGACGCGAAGATCGGAGAAGATCGAACCAACCATGTACCGGACTGGACCGCTCTGCTGAAAAAGGCGGAGCTGCGGAAAAGTCCCCCGGGTTCGGACACCGAGCAAGCAGTGCCAGAAACCAAGGCTGGGCCATCCACCAAGGGGCCAACAGGACTACTCTCTCTCCTGGTAAGTCTCTAAACGAGCCAGAACACGAAGTAACAGCTGAATCGGCAGGAAGAGGTATAGGTAACCCACCTCGGCCAGTCCTGCAGCAAGGCATCAACACCCAATGGCCGCATAGTCGGAAAAGGGTGCCCCTCTGGCTCCCCGGAGCTACCTAGCCAGGGGAGCCAGGGCTCCCCGGGCTAGGTAGACCCACACACCCCCATGGGGAGCTGCACAGACAGCGGCGCAGTGACGTGTGACGTCATACTCGTTTGCTAGTTTCTTGGCAAACTGGCCCCCCTCAGAGGCGCAGGAAGCAATGGCCCTGGAACCCCCCGTCCCCCTTGTGGTTGGAGATTTACCTTATCTACCATTGACCGGGGTTAGGCACCCTAGAAAGGTAGGCGTAACAAAACAGACCCCACAAGATAAGAAAAATGCAAACTAAAGCCGAATAGAGAGGTAGAACTTCCACAATTCCCAAGGAAACAAGCAAACATCACACCACACCATTGCGTCACTCGTAGCTCCCCCCATCCCCCGGAGCCCCTGCACCGGCTACCCAGCAACTTCAGTTCGGAGGCTAAGAATCAAAACAACGCAAAAACTGCTGACCGGAGGGAGGGAGAGTGCCAGGCAGCCTCCGGAGCTCATCCAGAAAATGGCATTTCATTACATTCAATGAGGAAGCCCCTTCGGCTCCTCGGAGCAACAAAACCAAGTACAGTGGTACCTCAGCTTACGAATTTAATCCTTTCCCAGAGACGGCTCGTAAGCCAAATATTCGTAAACTGAAATGAGTTTCCCCATAAGAAATAATGTAAATTGAATTAATCCATTCCAGACTCCCCCAAAAATTAACCTCAAAGTAAATTTTATACTTAATTCACCCAAATCTTTAGTACTAGAGTATGTACAAGTAATTACTTACCTTTATTGATGATTCTTGTTGGCGTATGGAAGATGGTGAGGAGGGAGGGGATGAGGAGAGGTGTTAGTGTTTGGAAGGGGAGTCCCCTTCACACTGCTGGTACAGCCACACAAGACAAATTTATTTTAGGGGTTATTTTGATCTTTAGGGATGTAAATTGTACAGATTAACCAGATAGTGGTCTGCTTTCATCCGCCTACCTTTCTGGTTCCTTCCCCGGTCGATGGCAATTATGACATACTGTACGTTAAATGTAAAGTGCTCGTGGGCCATTGCTTCCTGCACCTCTCTGAGGGGACCAGGTTCTGGCTCATGGTCCCCAGTAGGCATAAGAACTCCTGTGACTGATGACCCCAAACTAATATAGCACATAACAGTTCAGATAGCTTCCGTTAGCCGGCAGGGCTCCCCACAGAAAATATATCGATTTCCTGAATATACTGTATACGCAATGACTTACAGGCAATATCTGACCCCCATTTGTACCTTCCACATTTAAAATGGTGAAAAGCTACATATTAACTGTCATGGAGAATTGCTTATCTTCAAAAAATATAAAATGAAAACAAAATTGCCTGGATGGATGGATTGATGAATGAATCAATGAATGGATGGATAGATGAGTAAATAGACAATTTATGAATGAATGAGCATAGAGAAAATAGGTAGATTAGATAGACAGGTGAATGAATTATATAATGAACAGATGGATACATGAATGAATGAATTAATATATGGATGAATGAGTGAATGAATTAATATATGAATGAATGAATGAATGAATATGAGCATATGAGAAAACTCCATATATCATGTCATCTTACCTGGGATCCAATAACGAGGCTGTCAACCCAGTATATGTGTGAGTGGCCAACATAGAAGAGCAGAATGGGTTCGAGCACGACCATCACTACGGAGAGAACGGATATGGCAATCCTGGTATAAATTATCACCATCTGCTTCTGTCTGCGGACGACCCATATTGATTCTCTGCCCATGAAGAAAGCCGAGACGATGGCCAAAAAGGCAAACACTGGTGTTATGAGCACAGCCTTCTGGAAGCACACTCCGAAATTTAGTCTTTTTCGGTCCCAAAGACTAAAATCATCCGTTCCGCAGAATGCAGTCATGTTGAAGAAAAGAGGATCCATGGTGACTGAAGTTGTTGAAGCCTGTGTGTATTCAAGTCACAACACAGTATTTTATCACGTATTGACAGCAAGCATTAGTTATCTGTTAATCTTCTAAGTTAGAGTCCGGGCTGTGTCATAATGCAGGTCTTCACCGATGTCAGGTAAAATCACTGTGGAACAGGTTACATTTAAACAGCACGTTCCCATAGCTTCCAAAACTCTCACGTTGAAATCAGAGCCTCTATGAATTTTACCACATCTTCCTTTACCATAATGACATCATTATTAACGTCTCATCAACTGATCTACACCATTCTCTACCATTCCGTTGCTTCTGGGAGCCCTCCAATCTTTCTGCCTGCCTGCAAATGTAAAGAAAGCTTTGTAAGTTCTTAACACTTACTGATCTATTCCCAAGCGAGCAAAATATGTTTAAATATCGTTATGATCAACGTTATCAATATTAATTTAATTCGCTGTCAAAACTGTTTGCTCAGACTTGCCCCATGCAGGATGGGGATGGGGAGGAACCTGCAAAATAGGAATATCAATTAATTTTTTGGTAATGAATCCTTCTACACATATACAGTATTTGAGAGATTTGTTTCTCTTAAGACTTTCCATTCTATGAAGGAGGCCATAGGAGTACAGTCTCGAGGAAGGCTTAACTAAATGTGACCTAGATTCTTCTATCCAGTACGAAACCATGAACAAATCTAACCTGTTGTTAGGGACAGGAAGCCTGTACTTAGGCATGTACTCAGCTCAGTGTCTCCTGGGTGCCTATTTACTAGAGGAACATAAACATCATGTGTAAGGTCCCTTTAAGACAACTGCTGATCTTCATCAAGATGCAACCCACAACATTTGCCTAACTCTGGGTACCTATTTGCTGCTAGGTGAACAGTGGCATCAGGTGAAAGAAAACATGCCCAACCATTTCTGTCCTGCCCAAAGATCGAAGGCTGTAGACTACTGTGCTACAAGAACCCTAAGCTGTTCTGCTCATTATGACCATCATGAACATATCTAAGTTGTTCTAATACCATAACATCATGAATTTTTCTAAGTTGTTCTACCAACTATTACATCATGAACTAATCTAAGCTGGTCTATCCACTATGACCCTTCATAGACTATCCCATACTCAATTTTCAAACACTATATGTGCATGTCAACTAACTACACTACTACAAAATACATTATGTACCTCACTCTTTATATAAAGAGGCTTACAGCAAATTATTTCTATTAAAGGTCATAAACTTTTTAGATTATCTACAGGAAATGTGCCAAGTGGGGTTCCCCCAAGGCTTGGTCCTGGGACACCTACTGTTCTTAATTTTTTTTTTTTTTTTTTTATATATATATATATACACTGTATATAAAAGAGTTGTTACATTCTTGTACAGCCACTAGCACGCATAGTATTTTGGGCAAGTCCTTAATCCTAATTTTCCCCGGAATACGACTCGCCAAATCGTTTAATACCCAGGTACCCATTCACTACTGGTACAGAGGCTACAGTTAAAAGATTGGCGCTCAGTTAATCCTCCCTGGCCAGGATACAAACCCAGACCAAAACGCTCACGAAGCGCCAGGCAAGTGTCTTACCACTGCGCCACTGGGACTGCTTTCAGTCCCAGTCAATTAATGTTTGATGATCAATTAATTACTGTTAATGATCTACTCAAGGTAGTGAGCACACATGTCAATGTTTGGAGATGATGCAAATATAATGCATATAAAAACAGAGGACAACTGCAGAATGTTAGAGCAAGACCATGACAAACTCCAGGGGTTAGCAAACAAATGGTTGCTGGAGTTCAGTCGAAATACATGTAAAGTAATGAAGATGGGGAAGGACAAAAGAAGACCAGAAGATGTCTGCATCATAACTGAAAGACAGCAACAGGAATTGGAGAGAGAGAGAGATTTGGGAGAAGATATAATTGGAGGCACATATAGGCAGGCTGACAGCGGCAGTATATGGGAGGCTGGCGAATATTACAGTCATTTAGAAATCTAAATCAGGACTTTTAAAGGCAATCTACACAGCTTTTGTTAGACCAAGACTGGAGCATGCAACACCAGCCTGGAATACTCTACGACTGTATTGCAGGGTCCATACTGTACAATGCACTGTAGGGTCCCGGCAGTACAGCCAGGCTCTTTTTCCACTCATAATCGAGAATTTTGGGTTCTAATAACAGGTGTGACAGAAAGGGTTGGGTGTGTTAGTTAACTTAATGTTAACTAATTACTTAATGCCCCTGTTCACCTAGCAGCAAGTAGGTACCCAGGAGTTAGTGAGCTTGTTGTGGGGTTGCATCCTGGGGAGGAGCAGTAGTTCCACCCTGTGAAGGACCTCGATCTAAGTCTAACATGTATACTGCATATACACTGGATGTCTGACCCCCCCCCCCCAACAATTATTATTTTAATTATATTGTATAATTTATATTTAGATTTTGAAGATGTATGTGCCAGCTCCACAAGTTTATCTTACACTAATTGGCCACACTAATGCAAACTACATTAATACACAACAAAACAAAGTAATAAACAAAATGTTGTAAAATGTGACTTCAATCAAATCAAAACTATCTCATACAGCTTTGCACAATTTAACAGTTTCAAGTAACCTTAAATAACCTCATAATATTGAATAACCTCAAGCCTGCACAACCTTACACAACTTATCACAATCTCATACAACCTCTTACAATCTATTGAACCATACATGACCTCTCAAAACCTTACACAACCTCTTACAACTTCAGGAAACCTCTAACAATCTACACAATCTCTCCCAACCTCACACAACTTCAATCAGATCATCACAAAAACTTTGCAGTCAAAAATATAAAAAACACATGTTTACATTGGCAACAACACGACACTGCCACACACATAACCATACACAACTTCACATAATTGTACCTGACCCCACAGCAGCTTACACAACCCAAGACAGTGAAACACATACCCTAACCTTCAGAATACCGTCTTCGGGTTTCCCTAAACGCTTTAAAGGGATATTGGCTGACATTCGTACAGTGGCAAAACACATATCAATAAAACCCCTACGGTGCTTAAACTAACAACATGACAGACAATCTGCCATGCCCTAAGGCTCTCACTCACGTGTGATGCAAGGCGACACCGCCTCTGTGTAACCCTATACGTCACCACACCCTGCCTGGGGAGAACCTGGTGTGTTATTCAGGGCACCGCACGAATGGCTCAGAACGCAGCAACTCATCAATTTTCATTTTATTTTTAGGGTTTTACCAAGATAGGATTTCCTTCTTTCATTGCTAAAAGGGATGTACCAGTATGTGTAGTATGTGTAACACTACAACACAGGTAACAGAGATGTACCAGCATGTGTAACACTACACCACAGGTAACAGAGATGTACCAGAATGTGTAACACTACACCACAGGTAACAGATGTACCAGCATGTGTAACACTACAACACAGGTCACACATGTACCAGCATGTGTAACACTACAACACAGGTAACAGATGTACCAGCATGTGTAACACTACAACACAGGTCACACATGTACCAGCATGTGTAACACTACAACACATTTACTTCTCCAATCTAATAAACAAATTTAAGAACAATAGTAATTATACCTCTTGACTTAAAAATAAAAAATAAAAGTTGAATATACTGTACCATCCAGGCATGGCATAACACAATATTACCAATAATATTCCCCTGCCACAAAACAGAGCACATGGAATGAAAACATGACTGTACAGTATGCAGGCGATGAGTCACAATAACGTGGCTAAATTACAATTACACACAATCGATTGTGTGTAATTAGGGCTTTTTTTGCTTATATAAGGTACTGTATACCCTAAATGTATTCCCTAAATCATTATAATTATTATAATTATCCCATTTGTTTTTTTGGGGGGGTATTTTTTTCTTGACTTCATTTCAACACACAGTGACCTACAACTTTCACACATTTGAGTACGAATGCCAAACAATGTTTATTACAGCATACAAGTAAATTCATGAATTAGAACTGCCTTATTCATTGTCGATAACTTCAATTATATCTATAACTAGAATTTCAACTTACTTCAGTATCTAAAAATCAAGTTTCTGACCGATTCACACCATTTTTACATACAATGTCCACAGCTATCTGTTCACAATCCCTATAGAATTGATTTTTCATAAACTCTTAAACATTTGGATTTATAAATTTTTGTTGTCTAAATTTGCGCATATTTCAAATGCCAGATTGACAATTTTTTTTTTAACAGTAAGCTATACTGAAAACCTATATTCTAAATATATGAAAATGAAGATCATATGCTATTCTGAGAGCATAACACCACCAAATGAACAGTTGGTGGTATTTTATATTTTTGCAGATGATTTAAAAAACTGAAGTTTTCAATATTCAATTTTATAATTATTTTCTTTATTTTCTTGTTTTTCAAGTTACACTGGTATCATTTAGATAAAGTTGGAGCATTTGCCTAGTAGATTATGCACAAAACATTTGAAGAGAGTTTCAGAAAACGTAAAAAACTGAGCTCAATGTCACACATCATATAACATTTTGCGCAGTTTGAGGGTTAATATAAAGGTCACAATGATTAGGTAAAGTAGACAAAATTTGTTGTCAACGGCCAGATTAAACCCATGCTAATGATGCTTTACCTAGTTAATTTGTTGGGAGGCAATAACAGTACTATGCTAATGTATTCGTTTAATCAATGCACTGTCTAAAGTTAAACAGTCCATTGTATCCAAACATCAGTAAAATGTCATTTAGCTCTCTCTGAGGACCAGTGTGACTCAATATTACAGCCTGTATAAGCAAAGTAGTGATTACGTGACCACACACAGATCACTACATCAAGCCAAAGTCTAGCTGAAGTGTTGTGTGTTTGTTCATTTTGGTACCAAAAATTTAGCTTTCACTATGAGGTAAATAACATTTTGTTATCTGTGTTGAGAAAATTAAAAGTGAAAATCTAAAAAATTTTTACCCATAAAAACAGCCCAATTTTTGGTGGTTAACAGTTACAGAGAGACGGGTTCAATAACAGTAACTGGCATAGCAAGAAACAAGTCACAGTACAGCAACTAACAGTCACTGGTACAGTAACTTAGTCACTGCTAGATTTCTAGCTTAGTTCATTTATTATGAACCCCATACCCATCCTGTGGGCAGTAGTGGAAAGGGTTACAGAAGCACATAATGGGCTCAGGGACTGAACCCCAACATTCATTTAGATAAGCAAGTTACAATCTTGATGAGCTAGTTACAAATCAATGGGCTCGAGACCGACCACAAGTACAGTAACTAAATTAAGCAACTGACATATGTAGAGAGCTAGTGTCACAATTGATATGTTTGTCCTGCACACCGCCCCCCAATCCAGTGGGCAGCAACCCACTGGATGATTCGAACAGCAACTAAATTTTGTATACAGCAACAACAGTCATCATATTGACTGTTGTTATCTGGTCTGTAATGACTGGAATTTATAGGGTTCCAGATAGTACAGTTGGGTTCGTTCTCAACGCACAATTGAGAATTCCTGGTTCGAGTCCCGAATGGGACAGAAATGGTTAGGCACATTTCCTTTCACCTAACAGTAAGTATTGGTACTGAGGAGTTAGTCAGCTTGTTGTGAGGTTGCATCCTGGGCGGGGTCAGTAATGCCACCTTGGGGGGGGGGGGACCTCGATATACGCCTAACATGTATGAATACACTCTGGCTTCCTATAATAATTCACAATGAATTATTATAATTATTATATATATCTCACCAGTCTCCGTGGTGTAGTGGTAAGTCACTCACCTGGCGTTCCGCGAGCGTTTTACCATGGGTTCGTATCCTGGCCGAGGAGGATTTACTGGGCGCAATTCCTTAACTGTAGCCTCTGTTTAACTCAACAGTAAAATGGGTACTTGGTTGTAAAAACGATTCTTCGCGGCGGGGATCGTATTCCAGGGACCTGCCCGAAACGCTATGCGTACTAGTGGCTGTACAAGAATGTAACAACTCTTGTATATACAGTATCTCAAAAAAAAAATATATCAACTAATAGTCATGGTACAGCAACTAGCAGCAATTATTATTATTACTACTACTACTTACTGCTGTGTAAACAGAGGCATCAGATGTAAGTTCCATTTAGGCCAATGACTGACCCTCCCCAGGATGCCACCCACAACAGTTGCCCAACTCCCAGGTGCCTATTTATCATTACGTGAACAGAGACATGAGGTGAAAAGAAGCATGCCCAACTATTCCTGTCCCGCCCAGAGATCAAACTTGAGATCCCCGATTGTGAGTCAGAAAGGAAGCCAACCGTACTATGCTGACTACTGAAGTACAGGTTAAGTTAGGCTAGGATTGATACTTTAGGGAAGATGGGTTGTGTTAAGCTACGTTACATGGCCTAACATATACATTGTGTATATTTTTACTATACTGTTGCATACACACATAAGGTCTTGTAGTCGAGTGGTCTAAATTCTCGACTCGCAATCACTGACCCTGGGTACGATCCCCAAACCAGATACAGATTGTTAAGTTATGGGGGGTTTCCTTTCACCTGATGCCACTCTTCACCTAGCCATCAATAGGTACCCTGTGAGTTAGTCATCTGTTCAAAATTGAACAGTCCAGCAGTTAAAAATTGAGGGGACGTCCATACAAGTTTAAACGACATATATACACACACACACTTCCTGTCCCCAACAATGGGAATTATTATAACAAATATGAGTGTCTGCAATGGTTGGACAATGAAGCAAATCCCTCATTCACCATTACTGTAATATAAACACTATTGTAACCTTATTTCTATAGGCCTACCATCCTGAAATGGTGTTTAAAGTGTCTCGATGTCAAATATAAGTAATTTATTGTAATACTTTAATCAAACCCCTCTATTGTTTTGCATAAATTATTATTATTATTGTTAGTATTACAACTCATTGTTTTCAGTTACTGATGAAAATATGAGTAAGGCGAGACCGCCCCATGAGGACTGATGATGTAAGCAGATAACCCCCATATTTCTCCCATGATCTGCCTCATAAGACCATCCAACGGTGCAACGAGATCATCGTAATGAGTTACCTGATGAGAGCATGAGTCCTCACTCATGGGACCCCGAGTCAACACCCTCCTTGAGGAGATGAGTAAGACTGGTGCAGCACCTGTGAGCGCGGCGGACACTGAGGGCCCCGAGAGGCTGGGCCCCCAACCATTCACCCACCTCAACCATTGACCATTAACCTCAACCATTGACCACTGTCAACTCAAACCAGCTCGTGGACAGTGGATTAATCTTCCCCGTGAGGCCTTGAGCGCCATGAGTCAAGATGGACTCATATATATGAGGCATGTTTGGTATCCATCTTCATGGGGAACTAAGCACGTCAATCACCTTGTTCTTGTTGCCTTTGTTTGTTGTTTGCCAGTTGAATTGTTATTGTTCTGACATAACCAAATTACTAATTGGCTGTCATTTTGCTCTTTTTAAACTGTAGGTAGACCGTGAAGGTGACTATGTAACCTTCCCCACTGGCACTCACTCTATCATGGGGACAGTGCCGGGCGCAAGGAATTAAATTGACTGTAATTGGCACAATTAACATGTTCACTCCTGTTAGGGCCCCCTTGATATTGCTCATAAACAGGGAAGATACTGTTTGTTTATGGTGACAAATGGAGTTGACCTGGCTTCCTTAGCTAAATGATTTTAGGGTTCTGTTTCTGTACACATTTAGGTACATTTATTTATTTATTTATTTATTTATGCATATACAAGAATGTACATAAGGAATGTGAGGATACAAATATGGTAATTACAGTCTTGTAAAGCCACTAGCACGCGCAGCGTTTCGGGCAGGTCCTTAATCTAAGAAAATTTTAAGGAAGTAAATACTTGCAAAATTTATAGACAAAAAAATGATAACAGATTACATGGAATGAAAAAAAAGATGAGAGAAAATTATAGGTACAGTATATTAAAGCACATAGGTAGCTATGATTGATTGCAATGACAGCTTAAAATGGTAGTTGACAACAAATTGGTAGGCACAATACAGCAGAAACAATATAAGATTGATTGCAATGACAGCTTGGATGGTAGTTGACAAAAATTGGTAGTCACATGTGTATTTGTGCAACTACCCTAGCCTATATGAAGGGGACTACAGATTGTGTCACGAAAGCTAGCTACGTTGATGCTAAAATCCCTCATCACACAGGATGGTTAGTCATACAGAGGCATGTGATAAGTAGTCTGCACTGGCAAACTCTGGGTGCATTATGAGGATATCATCATGAACACAAGAGTGACGTGTCTAACCTTTTCCACTAATACTTACGGGGCGGGTTGGGGGGGGGGGGTCCATTACCATTGGGATATGGGTACGGGGGTTCACTACCATCATTGGATGGGTATGGGGGTACACTGTCATCATGGGATGGGTATGGAGGTCCACTACCATCACGGGATGGGGTATGGAGGTTCACTACCATCGGGAGATGGGTATGGAGGTCCACTACCATCACGGGATGGGTATGGGGGGTCTATTACCATCACGGGATGGGTATGGGGGTCCACTAGCTATCATCACGGGATGGATATAGGGGTCCACTACAATCACGGGATGGGCACGGGAGACATCTCCCGTCACGCAGGGTGCAGTCGCACCTCCACAGATCTACAGTATCAGCTCTTGACCAGACCACACACTAGAAATTGAAGGGACGACGACGTTTCGGTCCGTCCTGGACCATTCTCAAGTCGATTGTGACTTGAGAATCGACTTGAGAACTTGAGAATGGTCCAGGACGGACCGAAACGTCGTCGTCCCTTCAATTTCTAGTGTGTGGTCTGGTCAACATACTTCAGCCACGTTATTGTGACTCATCGCCTGCATCAGCTCTTGATACTGGTAATGGCTCAAAAGGGCCACCACTTACGGGCTATTCATGCCCGTGCCACCTTTTGGGTGGCTTAATCTTCATCAATCAATCACGGGATGGGTATGGGGGGATCCATTACGATCACGGAATGGGGATGAGGGTTCACTATATCATAACGGGATAAGTATGGACTGCAGAATAAATTAACTAAACTGAAATACAGGAGTGGCAAAATATACTGAGGAGCCCACATAATGCATGAAGTGCATAATGCTGGGGACATGGCTTAGAAATGTCAATTTGACCCTAGATGTCGGTATTGTGGAAAGAAGCATGACTTGCGATAGTGCAGAGTCAAGATTGACAAAAGAGAAAAAATTTGCCATCTTGCTGTACTTATCGAGGCATCCACAATGCTGGTTCCTCTATGTCCCATGAAGCCCCGTGTGAGAGATTCCAAGCCGGTAACCATCAGCAGGGTAGACGAGGCTACGAAGGAAGGCAAGATCGTACAGCAGGAACAAGGAAGAAACAATGGAAAGACAACGATTGCCTCTGTGACCAACGTTTTAAAGAACACAATAAAGTAGCCGTCACAACTGCAAGAAAAATGACAGGTTGGATAACAAGAACTTTTCACACTAGAGATGCTATACCGATGATGATACTTTTCAAAACGCTTGTGCTCTCTAGAGTGGAGTACTGCTGCACAATGACAGCACCTTTCAAAGCTGGAGAAATTACTGACCTGGAGAGCGTGCAGAGATCCTTTACTGCTAGAATCCACTCAGTAAAACATCTAAACTATTGGGACCGACTAAAGAGCCTAAAACTGTACTCCCTTGAGCGCAGGCGGGAGAGGTACATAATAATTTACACGTGGAAAATATTAGAGGGGCTGGTCCCAAACCTGCACACAGAAATAACATCACATGAGACCAGAAGACATGGCACGATGTGCAGAATACCCCCGTTGAAAAACAGAGGTGCAACTGGTACTCTGAGAGAGAACTCTATCAACATCAGAGGTCCGAGACTGTTCAACACGCTTCCACTACACATAAGGGGCATAACTGGCCGACCCCTCACAGTGTTCAAGAGAGAACTGGATAAGCACCTCCAAAAGATACCTGATCAACCAGGCTGTGACTCGTACGTCAGGCTGCGAGCAGCCGCGTCCAACAGCCTGGTTGATCAGTCCAGCAACCAGGAGGCCTGGTCGACGACCGAGCCGCGGGGACGCTAAGCCCCGGAAGCACCTCAAGGTAACCTCAAGGTAAGGTAACGTTTGGGAGAAAGGCACGGCAACGATTAAGGATATCCTAGTGCCAGTAAGAAACGATGCCGAAAAAGTGTACCCTAGTGGTGATGAGCTACAAGGCAGCGTAAGTTGCACACAGATTTTGGAATACCTCAATAAGTTGGACAAGAGGACTGACGCTCTCGAAAAATTAGCTACAGCAAACAGATGGTGTGTAGTGGGGAGTGAAGTGGGGAATGAAACGGAGGGGGGAAGAAAGTAAGGAAGAGAATGGCGTATCACGGATGGAAGAGTCTCAGGAAAATGAACTATCCACTAATGATGGCAGTGTTCAACCTCGTGTGGTGGAAAATGTTGACGGAGAAGCTCAGGAAAAATGGTTTACAAAAATAGAATTGGAAGACATTGTTAAGAATAGCGTTACTTGTGATGATAGTAGGGGGGGGGGTGTACAAGTGCTGAGAAAGAAGAAATTTTAAAAAGTTGGGAGTCTCTGACTAAGGCGATATTGCTTATCAGTGACTTAAAATGTGGAGAGGGTTTGAACAAGGCGAAGTCGATTAGCAATGAATTGGCAAACAAAAAAATTAAAAAAAATAAAAATAAAAATTCAAATGTTTATTCAGGTAAAGTACATACATACAAGGTGTGATACAAACATTGATGGATTTATAGATAGAGCTAGTACATACAATGCTTAAAGTCACTATTACGCATAGAGTTTCGGGCAGGAAAACACTAAGACTAAAACTTAATACTAATTGAAATTAAAGTATAAATTGTGTTGAGATAACCGCAGCAAAGTTCAGAGTCTGGGAACATAGAGGGAAAAATTATTGCATCGCCTTTGTATTTCTCCAATGTCGGTGTTAATTGTTTCTTTGGCAATCAAATACATTCTTGATGTACATCATGTTTTGTAACATTAGAACATAAGGATCTTATTATGCTTTCACGTGCATTATTAATTCCCACCTCTTGAAGTGAGAGGATTAATTCATTAGTTCTCTCGCCTCCCATCAGTCTAATCGCCGAGGCTTCATTTATCTCTGAAGTTCTATCCCCAATACTTTGTAAGTTCAATCATATCATTACCTCAGTAATAGTATTTCTTGGGCCATGAGAATAATCTTGGGATTATTCTCATGGCTTCATTTTGTACCTTCTCCACCTTGTTTAGTCTGCCTTTACCAAAACAATACATGACGAGGCAACATAATAAGAGATCTCACAGTATGTCATGTGATTACCATTGGAATGTGAAATATAGAAATATGATTAATAATTGTGGACTGTATGGGTTTGTGAGCCCCTTGAGGGACCTTATTTAGACGAGGATAGAAATAGCCTAAGCTACTCTATCCTTTTGAGATGTACTTCCTTTTCTCAATAAACTTACTTGAACTGAGAGGCATCACCCCATGGGGGGAAGGGGGATGTCATATCCCTACCCATGGGTAGCAAGCTAAGCTTGTCTTTTTGGAATGTATTTTTTAATCCATGTGCCAAGCAATTATAAGTAAATCAAATGAACTTGTGTCCGGTTACTCTATTAATATAACCTATAAAGGCTCAGAACCTACATGCTGCACGAAACTGTCTCTAACTCTTTCGTTCATTTTAAAAGTTTATCTGAATCGTCTTTAATTGCAGCCATTTTGAATCCATTTTTTTAACTGAATATATTTTCCGCGTTATTTTTGTATTTGCTAATTTTCTGTCAGCGGTCAGTCCTGTGTCTAAATCATATATGTATATGGTAAATAACAAAGCACTTTGACACGCCACCATTCCCACTCGGATTTAAGTCCTCGTCGAGGCATCTAGAATATTAGTGGCCCTCGGGTAAATCCAGGTAAATACCACAACCCATTCTAATCAGTCTTCGCGAAGCACAGTATCAAAAGGTTTGCCAAAGTCAAGGTACACAGACTCAATATTTTCCACTATCAACTGCCTTAGATAATACTCTGAACACAGCTGTATAGGTTGTGAATACTTCATTAATCTAACTTTTCAAGATGTATACAAACCATCCTGTGAGATGGGAATAATAGTTAAACCGATCACACACTAGAAGGTGAAGGGACGACGACATTTCGGTCCGTCCTGGACCATTCTCAAGACAATCAACTTGAGAATGGACCAGGACGGACCGAAACGTCGTCGTCCCTTCACCTTCCTAGTGTGTGGTCTGGTCAACGTACTTTAGCCACGTTATTGTGACTCATCACGTGCAATAGTTAAAACTATAGCTAGTTCTTGATCTACACTGTGTAATATCTCATATACACTGTGTAATATCTCATATA